CTTCCCTTTCTTTAGCGGAGACTCTGTACGGTGACCGATGCACAGGCCGCGCGTCGTCCTCGGTAACGATGCGGTGCTTCGCAACGGTGGTTTGGCGCACCTTTGACGACGTGGCAAAGCAGTCGCGGTATTCGGTGAGGAGGTCACTGAGCTGTCGTCGTTTCAGGCCCAGAAGCTTAGGGTCAATGTCGAGCTGCGCTGGCGACGTACTGTCTTGCTGGGGTGGCGAGGATTCGTGAGTAATGGCGGCGATAGCGGCGGAGTTTCGGAGTTCCTCGACCTGGCCCACGGCTGCACCTTTTGTGAGATGTTGCGCTTCATTTCGAAAGTTCGTCACGAGGACCACAGTGCGACCATCCTGAAGTTCAGCAACTCCTCTTGCGACGCCTATTCCTCTTCCAAGAAGCAACTGGAGGCTTCCTTCGAGCAGAACTTCGCCGCAGAAAGCTTCGGTGATCCCGACGGGTACGAGAACACTCGACCGCGGCGGTAAGTTCACGTGGCTTGCGAGGACTCGGACCGCAGACGACGTCGCTATGGGTTCCTCCGGTGGTGAAACAGGTTTTCGTAGCGTCAACCGGTTTGCTTCGAGGTCGATGACGGCGCCATACTCGCAGAGGAAGTCCATTCCGAGGATGACGTCCCTGGAACAGTCTTGCAGAACGACGAACTTCACAGGGCACGTCTCACCGTGGATCTCGACGCGAGCAGTGCGTCGCCCGACTGGTGTGATGAGGTGCCCACCGGCGGTTCGTATTTGAGGGCCTTCCCACGGCGTTGTCACTTTTCGCAGGCGGCGAGAGAGCCTCCCACTCAAGACTGAGTAGTCTGCTCCGGTGTCCACGAGTGCCGATGCGTCGTGGCCGTCGATAATGATGTGTAGATTGTTTGACACCGATGCAGGGACGTTGTTGTGATGCGTAGCGTCGAGAGAGTGGGAGCGCTCCGGCGTTCTTGGAGGTTCTTTACTTCGGTCGTCTTCGGCAACGCCACCTCCAGGCGTTGCCGCACTTAGTTTTCCCGGCGACGCAAGGGCGACAGGCTCTCTCGGCGGGGTCGTGGCGCTGGAGACGCTGAACGTCTGGGCGACGGTGAGCGGGACTCACGGCGGAGCGGCGTTGAAGATGGCGAACGTCGGAGATACTCCTCGATGTCACGAGGACGTTCGTCGTACCTTGGGCGCGGGTCGTTCGGGTGGAACCCGCGCAGCCCCAGTTGTCGGTAGGGGCATCGACGGTAAATGTGGCCGGCTTCACTGCAGTGATAACACAACGGGCGTCGATTGGCCGTCCTCCACACGTCGGTCTTTCGTGGCGCAGCTTGTTCTGGGCGGACGTACGCCCGATCTTCGTGGCGTCGGGAATACTGCGGCGCTGGAGGTTCACGTCGAGGTGGCGCCGTATACGGGTGAGCAGGGGGTGGTCGTCGGGTAGCTGCAGCGTAGCTCAGCTTCGGTGGTTCAGGAGCGGCGCTGGCGAGAGCTTCTGGCTGTAGCGCCTGCTGCAGTTCTTCCCGGACAATCTCGGCGACTGAGGGCGTAGCCGGGCTTGTGGCAGCAGGTAGCAGCTTCCTGAATTCCTCCCGCACAACGTCCCGGATAATCTCGCGGAGGTCCGGGCTGTTGTAGCTGGAAGTCGAGAGGGCAGCGACGCCGGGAAGTCGCTGGTAATGGGAGGCCCGTGCTTGAAGGGCACGTTCAATGTTCGTTGCCTCCGTGATGAATCCTTCGACTATGATAGGCTGGGCTCGCACAAGGCCGCCGAAGATGTTCTCCTTGACGCCTCGCATCAGGATTCTCAGCTTCTTGGCTTCGGAGGCTTGAGGATCGGCGCGGTTGCTGAGTCGCAGGACATCCTCCACGAAGCTAACGACGCTCTCGTTAGGTCCTTGGATCCTCGTTTGAAGAAGTTCTTCCGCGTGTTCTCTTCGTTGTTGGTTCGAGAATGTTCTTCGCAACTCAGCCTTGAGTTGCTCCCAGGAAGTGATCGATGCTTCGTGGTTCTCGAACCAATTCCGGGCAGTTGCTTCCAAGGCAAAGTAAGCATTTTGAAGACACTGTTCTGGTGTCCGCCCGTTATGACGGGCCACTCGTTCGTACTGTTGGAACCAGTCATCGATGTCTTCGTGGCTTTCGCCGTGGAAGGGAGCCGTTGTCCGAGGAACGACAGGCAGGTAGACGACGGCAGAAGCAGCGGGGGTCTGCGACTGGTTGGCCATCGTCGTCTTGTTCGGCTTGGGCTTGTCCAGCAGCAAACCGTACTCTGGATCCTCTCCCTTGGTGCGGCGGCTGGTCCGAGTTGTAGGTTCCTCGTAGAGTGGTCTCCTCACTGGGCTTGGAATCGGAGTTGCACTGCGGGCCCTTGGAGGGGAACGCTGCACGGGCATGCGGTACCCCGCACCTCCACCAAAATGTCACGGGTGGTGACCAAAAATAACAAATAAACAGGAAGAAATAAATGTTTAATGTGGCGAACTTGTGCCAAAAATAAAAGAGTACAAAAGATAATAATAGACCGTCGCGGGCGTCGAAGTCGGCGTGGCAGCAGAGTCGAACGCTGGGGCGAGACTGACTGTGGCTCGCCATGCGGAGCCCCTTATGTACATGCGTGGTCTTCTGGAATAATCGGCGTAGAAACTTCGACGCGTAGAACATTCGGGCCTGGAACAAGCAACATGATTCTCGAATTCTCCAGAACACTAAATTGCAGGAATAAACAAAAGACAAGTCACTCCCAGGATTCGAACCCTAGCTTTTCGCGTGGGAGGCAAACGCGATAACCGTTAGGCCACGCGCGCGCTGCCTACTTGGCCAGCTGCGCGCGCGGCAATATCTTCACTTACCTTTAAAACACGTTATAAATAAGGATAATGAAGCTGGTACTGGTAATTTCACTCTGCCAGTTCTTTATTTAAAGAAACTGTTTGCATGATTCTAACACGCAGACAGATTTAGCTTTCAGATAATCAAAAAGTAAATTGCTGTCGATTCTACCGCGTAAGTGAAATAATGAAGATTGACCACATACCTCAAAACAGGTTTTATGAAACGCACGCCACCACAGAAATAAATGCTGTGCACTAGTCCGACGATGGTTCTTCGCTGTCTACAGAGGTAATTAATACTTGCTTTGGTCTAAGGCGTTTTAAGTGCCGCGCTTCCTGCGCATGTACGAGTGCGTGGCCGTCCTTATGGCAGGGTCGTTTTTCAAGCAACACTTTGCAAGCTCGTCGGGTGGCTGGGATTGCGAGGCCATGCAGTGCTGCGCCATTGTTATCTTTCTCCGCCAGCGTGATGCCCTTTCGTTCAAATAAAACCTCCTAGTAGATTTTTTTTTTTTCATCTTAAAACGACAGACACGAGTTTGTAGATGCGAGAGAATGTGCACGATACGGATACCAAAGTGGTGAACGTAAACTAACGGTCACGATAGCAATGGGGCTAGCCACCTTATACCGTACATTGAGCATTGCAAACATAGAACAAACGAACGCAGCTGCTGCAGCACGGCATGAGAGTTGACTTCCCCCTTCTCCTCTTCTCCTTCCTGCGCACAAAGAATCGGCAAACTACGCGACCCGGGAGAGTGTTTTTGCTTTTGTAGTTTTTTTTCCTCCCCGGGGAAGTGTGCTGCGTGGCCGTAGAAATGAATTTAAGCATCTCCCGGAGCGACGCGCCCGGAATCTAGCTCTTTTAATCTTTTTTTTTTATTTTCTCGCGCGCGGGAGTTTTTTTTTTTTTTTTTCCAAAAGCGGACTTTGAGTGTTTGTTGTAACAGTATGATGCTTTGAAAAACGGTCGTTTTATCTGGACCAATTTTAATGGGTAGGGCCTTGAATTTATATATTTTCTGAAGGCGTGTCGTTATAACCGATGGGTCGTTATATGTGGGATCGTTATAAGTGGGTTTGACTGTATTTTACGGTAGTGTTAATCAGGGCGTGATCTGTTTTTGTTTCTACAAATCCTCGTCTGTGGGCAGTGTCAAGAGCATTCAGCTTGTCTGGGGAGCTCTAAAAACCAGCCATGATTATCTGGCACCACCCCAAAAATATGAACCAACTAACTCCTGCAGCTCTAACCATTAATACAATTATCGACCCCATCTATTTTAGGGGACACTCGACAAACTCTTTATGGTGTATTTACACGACAGAATTTTATCTCCGGAGAAAACTGGGTGCATCATAGAGCTGCGAATAGAAAGAGCCATGAGCAGGATGTGCATCAGAAAATTTGAGCGGGCATTTACAAGATGGAGTTGAGTTTACCGTAAAATACTGGGTAGCGCCCACCAGTTTTCACTGAAAACTGGATTAATCGAAATATGGGTGCTTGTCCGGCCAAATCGGACATTTAATCATATAATTTGCAGAATTCCCAAGTTTGGAACATGCCAGTTGTGGGTGCTTGAACAAAGTGGGTGCTTCCGCAGTATTTTACGGCAGTTGGGTTGGCAGAGCTTTTTTCGCAACCTTTGCGTACTGATCAAAGCGTGAAAAAAAGAAAAGGAAGACCCCCTGCATCTCAATGCCACTGACCGTAATTTTATATAGTTATTCTGGGAATACTATGTGGCCGGTATTTTCTGGCTCAGACAAAACATGCAAGCACAACCCAATGAGGGAATGGCACAGGGTGGGCACATGCGGCCAGATATTCCCCTCTAAAGCTCCTGGTGGCCCCCCAAGGTAGCCAATGTACATGACAGTAATCGTTTCCCAAGAAGGGGTCCGATCACCGGAACAAAACGGTGGACATGCCGAGAGCCGGTCGCAGATTATCCGTGGCTACCCGCAGACTCGGGAGATTAGCGAACATTTGTGACGTGGTGCCTGTGAACTCGGAACTCTACGACATCCATCCCCTCCTCAGAGAAGAAAACTCCATCGTGCGAACGCACCATTAGCCTCGTGTACCGATCGTTCGTGGCCACGTGGCATGGGTACGTGCTCGGAGAACGTAGACGTGGGGGAAGCTTGAGCCGGAGGTTGCCTCGCAGGTTCCAGCGACTGCTGAGTGCGCCTCCACCCCGGCGCTCCAGCTCCTGCTCGAGCGAGCAGGGCGGCCACGGCCGGTTCGACTTTGACGTCTCCGACTTCTTCATGTTCGGGTCCCCCGTTGCCCTGGTGCTGGCCTACCGCAAGATGCTCTCTTTCGACGACAAGAACGGTGCGCGCCCCTTCTCTTCTCTGCATGGGGGGATGTCCCGCGGGCCAATGCATGTCACATCTCGTTAACGTGGATCCCGTTAATGTGATCGCCCCACTACATATATAGACGTTTTTGGAGACGAATCGGGTAAATACTGTAAAATACCGGGGGAGTGCACCCACCCCATTTTCACTGAAAACTGGGTTAATCTAGACACGGGCTCTTGTCCTGTCAAATCGGGTGTCAACGTATAAGTTCTAGAATTCCCAAGTGTGGAAAATGTTATTTGTGGGTGCTTGAATGAGGTAGACGCTTTCGCGGTATTTTAAGGTATGCACATTTTTGTCCCTCTATTTGAGACAACTTGCATTAGGACAATTTTGGGTGGGAACGGAGGTGTTCATATTGGCAAGACATGACATACCATCGAAGATGGGGCCTGCGCATCTATCACGTCGTCGTTAGTGGAGACAAGGGTCTGGGGCAAAATGGCCGACACGTGTGTCTTGGCGTCTCCGCCAGCCAACTTTGCTTCCTTTATGAAACGCTGCAAGACGTACAAGCGGTGACGTGAACGTGAGCTGAGTGGCACTGCGTATATCTACTAGTGGCAGCATTGGAGGCGGAAAAATGCAGATCTTGTAGGTGGTATGTGGGCTCCTTGGCGGGGAGCAGGGCCCTGGGGGAATAAGGGGACCCACATCGTGCCGCTTTGACGGTGCGAGTACAAACCAATTTCGAGCCGGGTGCTCGCTTGTTAGCCGAAGGCTATGGCTTTCCAATCAAAACCTTAGAATCTTGCCGAAACGAAAGAAATCTAAAACAGTGTAACCGAATTGCAGTACAACCAGCTGGGCGTGCGCAGCTAATGGCGTATGACACATGCAGACTTTCTGCCCTGTTTATCACCACAGAACAGCAGCCTTTGTGTGTGAGGGATGTGCACCAACCATCGAATTATTGTAACGCCACCGATGGGTAGATGTGTATTAGCAACACTGGGAGATTCATTCAAGGATGGATGTTTTTCAAATTTTAAGAAGTGAAAGAGATAACGGCATTTGCTGAAGGGCAAGGAGATCAAATTAGGATTGGGCAATATTCACGGTTTTGTATACCAGTTGAATAATTTTCATATTTGTTTAGAGCTGCATAGAAAATTTACTTTCCAGCCCTTGTGGCTAGAAATTCAAGGAAATAGCTAATATTTGGCCGACAAACGAAAAAGTCTCATGCATGGTGTGTTGCAGTACTGCAGAAATTTTTATAAATATGTTTACTAGTAAGCTTACTTTAGGTGCCTGGCGTCCTTAACCAGAAATGACGCAAAAATGTCATGTAGCTGCCCACAGTGAAGGAAACACCGCTGGCTCGGGTGGGTCCTTACATGTAGACCAAATGTGCAAAAATGTGAAAAAAAAAAAAAAGTTTAGTGAAAAGACAAAAAGTGTAAAAATAAGCTACTTCCTCTTCACTGATAATGAAAGGTCAAACAAACAAAACCACAGAGGGAAAGAAAAAGAAGGTGTTAAAAGCACAGCAGTATCGCATAGTTGAGCACCGTCGGCCTGTTCATGACGAACGGCGCTTGGGCCGCACGTGTCAAAGACGGCGGAGCTCGACTCTTGTCTTGCTGACCTTCCCCCTCGTCTGTTCCACACGCAGCGCCGCTGGTGCGCCCCCAGTGCTCCCAGGTGTACAACCTGTTCCACCCGACGGACCCTCTGGCTGCCCGGCTGGAGCCCCTGCTGAGCGCCCGCTTCTCCCAGCTGCCCCCCGTCAACGTGCCCCGCTACCAGAAGTACCCCCTCGGAGACGGCCAGCCCCTGCACCTACGTGAGCCTCCGTCTTTGCCGCACTTTAGACGCCTGCCACAGACCGGTGGCTGCGTGTTTCGCTGACCCCCCGTTGAGATCCTTTCTACGGTCACTGGCAGAAGGAGAACGGCAGGACGTGTCTTTGCAGCATGTGCTTCATGCCTTCCATTTTGCTTTGGCTGCATTCACGTTCCCAAGCTGCACAAAACTCGGAGCAGTGTCTAAGGTCAGAAAGTTGTGCCGGAGGTAAGACAACCAGAGCTCTGCTCCGCTGTTCTCACCTTGTCAGTGACTAGAGTGGTTACCCCTAGGAATGTCGCAAACTTCCGTCAAACCCGCGGTTCGACGTTGATCTTCAACGATCGACTGTTTTGGCGAACCTTCAAACTTTTGGCAAAATTCAACAACATGGTGTTGCCCGACATCTATGCAAAAATTTCAAATTTTAGTAAAAAAAATAATGCGTACAGTAATCCCTCCTTATAACGAAGTCAACTAGATGGCTCAGATATTCAATATAAGCGGTAACTCTATAAAAGTGATAGATAAAAAAAAGAAAACGGTGCCAGCAGCCTCGAAGTTGCAGGGAACACTGCAAAACGCTCTGACCGGATGTTTAATCAAACAAACCTTAATTACGAACATCTCGCGGCAGCTTTACCGAGTAAAAAAATAATTAAACAAAGTTCACCAATAATTTAATTTGTGCATCAGTTCTCCTTGAACTGCTCCAAGCATCGCAAGAACACTGTCACCGCCGCAGCACTCCACTTTGTTTCGAAGCAGCCATTGGGTGTTTCGCGTCTCCGCAGTTGTCGGCGCTTCCCGAGGTGCCTCTCCGATGTTTCTTTGTGTTTACCCTGGCCGCACGCAAGGTTGATCGCAGCATTCGTGGCAGGAGTAACAACGGGAAGGTCCACATTGACAAGCGCGAACGATTCAAAGAAGTTATACTCCGCGGCTTTGCCAACATGTTTTCACACATTCCTGTGGAGATTCTTGCAGCTCTGGGAATCATGCCCCGGCTTGGCAATCATGCTTGCGAGAGAAAATACAATGTGCACAAAACAGTTGGTGATTTTTCACCTTTGGGTCGCAGATGCGGTGTGGTTTCTTTTGCACGAGGAGCTTCTCGACCCTGTCCAATAGGCCTTGCTCGTTCTGCAAAATGGTTGACAGTGTCGAACAGCTGATGCTGGAATGTTGAATTCTTGGTATGTTTGGTATGCTGAGCAATGTTTTTCAAACTTCAAAGACAAGGTAAGAAGGAAAAAGTTAAAAAATAATTTCATGGCCCTTTTAACTTCAGGTTACTGTTTTGTTTGTGTATCTAGCATTGCTTTTTTTTAATTGGGCATAGAAGTTGCGGAGGTTGACCACGGTAGTTATGGCCAATCACTGTGTTGCTACAGTCGAACCCGCATATATTGAATTTAAAGGGGATCGTAAAATAGTTTCATATATCGATAATTTGGTATACAAAATTATGTTAACTTAAGCTCCACTTGAAATTTCCGCGTGTCTCTGCTAATACCGAAGGCCGCGACAAATGGGACCTTACCAAAAAGAGCGTCCAAGAGCTGCTAAATACAGTAGAGCTTAGTTGGTGAAGATCAAAAACACCGCTGCGTTTGCAATCGTTTACGCCTGGCCACAACCTTCACACCACGCCAACAATAAAACACGAAAATAGTTTAAAAAAAAAATGAAAGAACAGAAAAAGCCAGCCGCATAAAAAAAACCTCTTGATTCATAGAATATGGTTAAGCGAGCAACAAAAAAGAAACCTCACAAAATTCAGGCAGTAAAAAAAGAAAGGCAAAAAAAGAAAAAAAGCTTAAAGAAAAACGGCGAAACAAAAAGGTAAACAAAGATAAGGCATTCAAAGTGCAATTGCTCAACCACTGTCAACACACTCAACTTGGCAAAGGCTTTATTTTTTTTTTTTTTTTTCTTATTTTATTTTGGGGTTAAGGAGTCGCACAGCGACAGCAGTGTTCGGGGAAAGAGTGCACACTACCATTCCAACAGGGGGCACTCCCTGCCCTTCTTAAGCGCACACGGGCCCTTTCCCCTGCTTTTCCCATCCTCCACTTTTTTTTCTTTTTTATATGGTTGTTTTTATTTTTTATTACAACTGCTCTTTTGCTGCATATCCCCGTGCGCGTATGCTGGCTTGGCGCTCTGCCAGCCCCGCAACGCCAGCTATGTGCTCGCCGCGGGCGCAGTGGCGCAGTCCGACCGCGGGAGAAGCGACGGGCCACCGTGCTTCGTTCGCTACACTGATTGTCCCCGCCATGGGAGTTCGATGCAGAAAAACAACGCTCCTGTACAGTTACATGTGATTTTCAAGGGGATGTTTGGACTGTTCTATATAAAAAATCATTTGAAATACCCGGGTGTGATATAACCGGGCTCGACTGTACCTCGGTTTTTGCGCGACCGCAAATAGCGCAGTGGCTGGCCATTACGTGACTTTAGTTGTGACTACTGCAGCCGTACAACAGGTTGTTTGAATCAGATGGATAAAATGTAAGCCAATTTATTTCCCTTTCATTCCATCTCTTTTTTGTTTGTAATAAATGCCACAATGGCCCTCAAGGCTATTTGATAATTTTCTTTGAAAAGAATTAGCTGAACCTTAGTGTGTAAGAAACAAAATTAATTTTTTTCTTTCAACTTGGGTGAGTACATATTTTCAAATATACTTTCATATAATAAATGCACCACCTACAGGCACCTCTGACATAAGTTGCGTTGCAATGCATTAAGAAACCGATTTATGTGGTCCTTTCAAAGCGCCAGTGTGCCATGGAGTCCACACTATAGATCAGCACCACAGCTGTTGATAATAAGTGTGCCTCATCATAAAACAAACGTAACAAATATTGTACACACTTTTTTTTAATATACAGTGTACACCGCATATAACGTATGTCGCGGGAGTGGCGAAAATCCGGACTATAAGCGGTACCGCGCTATAACCAAAACATCAATTTTTCAGGCCAAAATACATGCCATGAGACAACTTACCTTTATAAAACAATTTATTTTATATTAGATGAAAAATAAAGCTTAGTTTGAGGAAAGTCTTTATTTCACCAGACTAGTGCAGTTCTCTCTCAAGTGTGCCACACATTTTGAAAGAAATGAGTGACTTTTGCTTGGCATAGCCTTTTAACGGTGCCGCGGGTTGCGGACGGACGTTGTGAGCGTTCAGGATTGCTAACCCTAATCACTTTTCTCCGGTGATGAAAACGCGTGAAAATTCGCATCCTTTATATGGTACGCGCCAGTAATACCTTCAACTTGAGCGCGGGCATGAAATGCTCCAAATAAGAAATCCGGGCGATGTTCGAAAACACAAATGCTTAGAAAGCACCACTTTAGCCGAAGTAAACAAACACGACGACACGGGCGTTTCTACCGTCTTGAAAGTGCCGCCACGACATTGCCGCACGAGTAGGTGGATCTTCCCTTCTAGTATGTGCTGGGTTATCATAGCGACACACAACGAAAATTCACAGTCAAGGATAGCGCTTTTACGCGGAACGATGAGCTTCCACCACGCTGTCTACGACGACGATCACAGCCAGAGCACTGTCACAATCGACGCCATGTTTGCGGATAGAAGAAGCCAGCATGCGACCGGCATGCAACGCGCGCGAACACGTCTCCTTGACTTGCAATTGGTCTGTCGTTCCGGTTGTTTCCAACCTTTCCAACGCAGCGGAGGGACGCACGCACGTGAACGACACGTGCATGCATCCCTCTGTCGCTATGGCAACTGAAGCCTCTCTCTTCGCTTCTTCCCGCTTCTTTGAGCAACCTCCTTGCCTCGCGAGTGCCACTTGCGTCTAGCGCTGTTATCTAGTGTCGCACAGGGAAGCGTGCTCGCTGCGCCGGTCGATCGGCGTGGTCGGCGGGCTGTTCCAGAAACCGCACTATAACCGGTATTTCCCTTCGCGCGCCTGCATTTTAAGCGGTATGTAATTACATGGAGTTCTATAAGAGGCGAACCGGTGGTTTAAGAAAGCCACGTTATACCCGGTCCTGCACTATAAGCGGTTACGTTGTAAGTAGTCTATACTGTAATTTTATTCCACCCTGAGGGGCTAGACAAAGACCATTGGCCCATACCAAAGGCCTGCAATGCTACACTACCACAGACAACATAAAGAGAAAGTTATGCAAAAAAGCACATGCATGTACAGTCGAACCTGGATATATTGAATTCAAAGGGGATCATAAAATAATTCGATATATCAATAATTTGATATACAAAAATTAGTTAACTTAAAGGGAAGATGGGGCACTCCTACATTTGAGAAAAAACGCTTGAATTGCGTTCATTTGGCCTTTAGAATAACAGATAACAAAATTATATTTCAATGCGACGCGCCGGTAAGCCACAAGAGCAATTTCAAAATAGGGCTGAAGCCCCGCCCCCCTAGCCTTGGGCAGCCAAAAGATCCGTCGATGACGTCACGGACAGCGACTGTCTGTCGCGTTTTTCTCGCGTTTAGCAATACTTACGCAGCAAATGGTTTGGGTATTCGGGTTCACGGGGTAAAAATACACTAGAATTCACTTCTAACTCATTTTTTCCAAGAAGCTCCGTAGCTTCCCTTTGAGCTCCAGTTGAAATTTCCGCGCGTCTCTGCTAATACCGAAGGTTGCGACAAACCAGACCTTACCAGATAGAGCCTCTAAGAGCCGTTAAACACAGTAGAGCTTAGTTTGTAAAGATCGCAAACACCGCAGCGTTTATGCGGCAGTGTTTGCAATCAAGCACCGGCAACAAAACACAAAAATAATTTTAAAAAAATTAAAGAACGGAAAATGCGAGGCGCATAATAAAGGACTCTCGATCCATAGAATGAAGTTAAACAAGCAACAAAAAGAAACCTCATTAAATTCAGGCAGCAAAAAAAGAAAGAAAAAAAAAAGACGGTCAAAGCAAAAACGGCGAAAGAAAAAGGTAAACAAACATATGGCGTTCAAGGTGTGATTGCTCAACAGTTGTTCTCGACACACTCAACTTGATGAAGACTTTTTTTTTAATGCGAAAGCTTTAACTGCCCCATGGAGCGAGCTGGCGTCATCAGTTTGAAGCGCGAAAACGGCACGTAGTTTCCCCGATCCCAGAGGAGCGAAGTAAAGCTGATGGGCCTTCAATTTCATTGGCTGGCACGCGTCGACGGGACTCCCATTGGCTGCTGCGCTCATCACTTTCCACAACCGCTCACCCCATGTCGCTGCGTGTCCATCAGTGCGCCGTTAACACGGAGCGTCCAAAGTGAGCGTGCCCAGGGAAGCACGCGCGCTGACCGGCGACGAAAAGTATGCAGTAGACGAAAAAGAGAGCAGACGAGCGGCTTTGCATTCACAGCTTATAAGAAGTGCTTAGGTGTACCTCGAGCTTTTTTTTTTGCTTATTTTATTTAGGGGCTAAGGAGTTGCGCAGCAACAGCAGTGTTTGGGGAAAGGGCGCGCGCTACCGTTCAAACACTCCCTGCCCTACCTATGCGCGGGCCCTTCCCCTTGCTTTTGCCATCCTCCATTTTTTTTTTTTTTTTTACAACTGCTCTTTTGCTGTGTATCCCCGTGTGCGTATGCTGGCTTGGCGGTCTGCCAGCTTCGATACAGAAAAACAACACTCCTATACTTTTACATGTGATTTTCAAGGGGATCTTTGGACTGTTCAATATAAACAATAATTGGAAATACCTGGGCGTGATATAGCCGGGCTCGACTGTACACACATACACAGGGATGGGGGGGGAAGGGTGGGGGAAGGGTGGGGGGAGGGACAGTTTTTTGTCAGATGGGGCTGGGAATTAAAGAAGTTATTTCTGGATTGAAATCAGCTGCTGAAGCGACAGGTCGAGGTTTTGTCAGGGCATGAACAGTATTGATAGTTGCACGAGACTGATCATCAGCCTACCTTTTTCTTTCTTTACTTTTTGGAACCATTGAGTTGCTTCCTGCTTCCTCAATTTGCGAGTCACATAACACTCACCCTCAGAATATGGCCCCAGGAATCTTTTATTCTCTCACAGTTGGTACTCGAAGAAAACCATTGGCATTAGTGGCTCGCCAACCTGAATACCTAGAAAGGTGGAAATTAATGTGCCCTTTAATATAACTTACAAAGAACAAGGATTGATGAGGTGCACAACCAGTCACCCTTTCAACAGATCAAAGCTCTCTGAAAACTTCAACTGTGACAGGCATCTCTTGCTCACAGTTTTTGTCACTTCTGCCTAAAAAATTCCTATATGTAGAAGGCGTCATACGGGGAAAGTTGGGGAATCCTTAAGTCGTTACGCTGCTCCATGACGAGAAAAAGATAAAGTGGGGTCGGCATGCTTCTCCCAATTTTCGGCTTGCAGGGAACGTAAGGAACATGGGAAAGGCCTCTGAATAACAAGTGTTCGAGGGACTAAAGTTCTTGGATGATCATTGCACTTCTTGCTTCCTACAAGTACCGACATTCCTTGAATCGCCGATTGCACGACGGAGCAGGCTTAACTGGAAGCGAATGACAGGACACAGCGGCAGAATGAACCGAAAGCTGTCACTTTGAATTTCCTCGGATTGTGCTTCATCGTGCGTGTCGGTTGTCATTACTTTCGAAATAAATTGAGGGACTTCAGGGGGATCACAGAAGTGCCTCGGTGTCGCGGGGGTAGGGTAGTTCCCTTTGGAAGTGAGTGCCGTGTGCCATGCACTCAATGTGCTGACCCTGTGTGCACATGTGCATGTGCAGTGGAGTACCTGCAGAGCCACGCCCACCTGTTTGTGGAGGGGGTGGTGCCGTCGGCGGGCTATGCGTCGATGGGGCGCCGCACCAGCGAGGCCAGCATCAGCAGCACTGTTTCGGGGGTCTCGGAGTCCCTGCCACTCAGCACCATCACTTCACGTGAGCCCCTGCCTTCTTTCTTTCGGCAGATCTTTTTGCTAGTCACGGCGGGGGGGGGGGGAAGATTTTTAGCTAATTAGACAAAACAAAGCATTGCAACATGCCGTTTTTTCTGAGACATATCTCAAAAAAAGGTTGTAATTAGGCATTTTTAACAATGAAAAGGGCCTCGCACGATTGTAGTTTCGGGTTTTTTGGAACGCTTAGGGCATATAGGTTGAGTTTGCAATGTAGGAAGACAATCTCAAATTCCACTCTAGTGTGCCGTTCACCCTTTGGCAGTCAGGTTGTTTTTTTTTTCTCCGATACATGTGTGCTTGTGTTAAGGGTTTTTTTTTCCTTCGAAAGCGTAGTACAAACAAAAAGTCGATAATAGGTTTTTTAAATTGAGAGAGGCTCTTTGCCGACAATCATACTCTTTGACTGCAGCTCCAACGTCGAGGTTGACGCCCACTTTTTGTTGATGCCTTCCTTGGATGCCGACATCAATGTTCCTGGGTCCGAGTGCCTCCTCTTGTTGACGTCGTCGCCAGGCTGTCCCTTTGTGGGCTGCGCATGACGTCTCTTGGCAGCCTGACTAACAGCGTTAGGTGGCTCCTGCAGTTCGTATCCCACACTGCCCTCGCCCTCCCAGTGGCCAAGGTCTACAAAATTCCTCTTCAACAAGCCCCGGGACGTCGCTGGTATGGGCAGTGGCACACGGACATCGATGCTCGTCCTCTTGGGGGTGTGCGTAATTGACGGCGACCCTTTGCGAACTAGGCTGGTATGGGAGCCATCCGAACATACACCTTCCTCGACTATGGCGTTGAACGAAAAGTTAGCTTGACCCTTACCGAAGAGTTTGATCCTTGTCTTCATTACAAGGCTTTACTTCTGGCAAGCTGTGACAACGGTCTCAACTGGATGTAGCTTTCCAGAGAAAGGCATGGCAGAGAGTCGACGAAGCTGGAGTTCTTTAACAAGCTTTATGTACCGTAGTGCTCGAGTTCCTCTTTGGTGACTTTCTCACTGCCTTCTGCTATTTGGGTTAGAGGTAAGGCTCTGGAGCTTCGGTCCTGACCTCCTGGCTGCTTCTGAGGAGGCTGTGGTTCGTCGTCGTTGAGCGATCCAATGGGCGTTGTCCACAATGTCTGTCCTCGCTGACTCTGCTGTGTGGGATGAGTATCAACGGGATCTGGTTCTCCCTTGAGTTGCCGAAGTTGTGAGAACCGGGAGTTTCTGCAATGCTTCGATTGTTGCTGTCTGGTTCTAGACCTGAAGTGCTTATCAATAGAGGCACTTCATACTGTTGGTCTCGCATTTTTATCTCCTTTTCAAAGTGCTCACGCGCTGGGTGGTCAAGACATACTGGAAGAATCAGCAATTCCAATGGCGTCTAGGCGCCATATTTCAGAAGGATTACAGTGCTCGCTCCCATCGCTGGTGAACGCACATGACATAAATAGAATGGGGACTGCACTTTGGGGATTGCGCTTTGGGGACTACCACTATAGTTTGCATAGGTGCCCTGCACCATCTAGCCAAAGACAATATTCGCTAATTTAGCTTTCTCCAGTTTACAAAACAAGATTTATACATCTTTACTGTTTAGACATGGTGAGGGCTCTTGATGGTTGATGTTGTACCGACCAATGGTTCCAACAAGGCTCCGCACGAGCTGGTCGCCTACTTCTTCTCTTCTGAGCACATGCTGCTCGGTCTCTTTTCCTGCGAAGTGTATAGTCGGGCATGCATCCACATTGGTGGGAAGTGTCCTCAATATTTAATAGACGGTCTCTACGGCTGTCAGTGTCTCACTGACACGGTTATTACTCCTGTGGCAATCCTCCAGTAGGCATCGAACCTGATGAGTACACTTATTTCATTTGGGCATTGCGCTCCCTTTGGTTCTACTTTAGTGGCCAGCATGTTTTCGGAGCGGAGTTGGGCTTGAACCTTGTCGTCGATTGGGTCATTGGTGACAGTGCATCTCTCTGGCACCTCCAGTGCTTCCAATGTGATTACGGTGCTGTTGAACTGATTACGTAAATCGAGGCTGACTCGTCGACAGTCATATTGTGATGGACGGCGAGCACTACCAAATGTGGATACGGTCAGCTTATCGTGTCCAAGAAGAGGGCAGTATAGTTTCTCGGGGAGGCCACAACATACAAAGGTTCTCTGGCTGCTGCTGTCCAGTAGGATCCAAAGGTACCGTACAAGCCCAAACTTGAGCAGTTTGAAGGGAAACAGACTGTCCATTCTTTGCCACATTTGAAGGAGCAGTCGTAGCTGCTGTGGTGTTGTCATAAGGGTGCGCCTGAGATTGAGAAGTGCCTTGTGTAAATGGAAGGGGACGAGACACATCACAGAGCATTGTTAGGTGGTGTCCTCCACAGCTGGTGCAGATAAGGTTGCTTGCTGAATGGCAAGCCCGTGCGACGTGGTTGCGTTTACTACATTTAGAGCAGCAACATGCTCGGGTCAGTTGTGATAGTTTTTCTTCTGTTGATAGTTGAAGTTGGCAACTGATCATCGTGCTCATTGGAGCTGCAGAGCAGACAGCTGAAGGCGTTATGCTGAACAGATTCATTAGTTAGCGCAAGTGCAGAGGGATTGTTTTGCATATATTCTGCTTGATGCCTTGGTTGAAAAGGCAGGGCTAGGGATAAGCATATGGATTGTTTCATGTGTCCTTCTTTGTAGGCATGTGCAAATAGTGTTTTTTTAGTTCGAAGCGAATTCAAAGCGAATAGTAATTTGCTTCGAATATTTTCAAAGCGAATAATTCGAATAGATGTAGGAAAAAATTATTAGCAAAAGTTATGCAGTGGTCACTTCACAGACCATTTATTTTCACTGCAATGCACCCTCAAATCAAAACTTAAGCTCATGCACAAATCAAAACTTAGTACAAGAAAAGTCAGTGATTTTCATGAAGACACGAGCTGCTGCACATGATCAGGGAGGAGAAGCTCCCTCCTACAGCTCACGATGCTTCCTGCGCTTGAGAAAAGCCTTTCACTCCTAGTCTGGGTTGCTGGTATCGAGAGATACCTACGGGCAACATGGACCAGGGATGGGAACAGATGTCTTCCCCTGCACCTCCACCATGCCAAGGGGTCTCCTGTGCGCGCAAGGGGTGTCTTCAGGTACTCAACAGACTCGGTAGCGAATTCGTGGCCTGGCTTTTGGTGCGTGTCAGAACTAAGACTGGAGAAGACATCCCACAGGGTGTCTCCCAACGAGTCTCATATGCCTCCGCTAGTTTCGGCGGCTGCATCACTAGGCTCGTCCACTGATGCGCTCTCCTCGACGGCCTTCGTCAGGAGTGTGCATGCCCATTTGTTTTCTGCCTCTCCAGTGTAGCACCCGTCCTTGTATTTGGGGTCCACCAACATTGACAAACCTAGAAGGCGACACATCTAATTCCCATCTGGAAATCGTGTCTTGATGCTTTGTATGAGGCTCGAGGCAACTGATCCTGCTTCATCGGTAGAGTGTCGACTGAGAACAACCTTGGTGCACTCTAATAAGGGAATCACTTGGGAGAGGGTCGGATAGCTGTCTCCAGACAGCTCAGCTGTGGCTTGCTTGAGAGGCTGCAAGACCTTCACTACTGCAGTCATGAGCCTCCACTCACTTGCACTGAGAGGTTCCACTGTGTCACATTCCGACAGCTCCAAGCTGACGGACACGCGAAGCTTCACAAGCCTCTTCATCATGGCGTGTTCACTGTTTCAACGTGTTGGAACGTCTTGCACAACTTCAATTGGCTCAAGGTTCATGTTCTTTTGGATTTCCATAAGGCGCCCGCGGGCCTTTGCACTCCTTTTATATCGAGCCACAATGGTTCTAGCTTTCGCACATAACTGCGAGAAACCCGCCACTTCTTTTTTGGCGTTGCTGATGCACAGCTGCAGTGGAGAGTGTGTCCGAAGCACCGCACGCCAGACCACGGTGACCGTGCAAACGCTGAGGTGAAATTCCTTGCATTGTCCGTGACTACATAAATCGGCATAGTGCCTGGTGCTGGTAGTTCCCAGTCCTCGATAGCACTTTTGATGAACTGTTTTAGGTTTTCAGTCGTGTGGGAGTCACTCATGTCCGTACAAGCCAAAGCGTGCACGTGCTGTCCAAATTCTTTGTCCATCACGTGGCAAGTCACGGAGATGTAGCTATCGTTTGCGCGCGATGTCCAGCCATCCGTCGTGATGGAGTAACATTCTACTCCGCTACTGAAAATGTCTCGCAGACTCTTTCTTAGTTCTTTCTTTTTGGACTCTTATAGATCCGGGATGACAGCGTGCGATAAGGTCGTCCACGACGGCATGGTGTAGTCGGGCATGGCAAGCTTCATCATTTCAACGAAACCACTTTCTTCTACGATGCTGTATGGATGCATTCCGTACAGCATACCCAAACTAAAACTGTACAGTCGGTTTCAGTTTGGGCTTGCAACTGTCGGCTACCGACGGTTGCTGATGATTCGGTTTACTCCCATTCTTGTGTTTGACTGCACTCCCGCGTGCTTGACGCTCACATTCGAAAGTCTTGTACAAATCAGGGTGCCTTTTCAGGTGCGTTGCGAGGGTCGTTGTCGTACCCTCGCAACGCACCTGGAGTTTTCAGCGCTGCCTTGCATTTGAGACACCGAGCTTCATTTCCCGGTGGCACTTCCAAGAAGTAGTTCCATATCGGATTTCGATACACACCGGCTTCACTTTCATCGTTCCCGGCTGCCGTCGATGACCCGTCAGCCATACGAACAAACACGCAGCACCTAGAACGAGCACACTTCGGAATCCTTTGTGGAGCTGCGACGCACGATTTTCTGATCGGTTTAGCATGTCTTGGATTGGATTGGATATTTTTTTATTTCTTGATGCCGATGCGGCTTTCATGAGTAACAACCGAAACCGATACTACCAGATACAATCGGCCTTCCTTCCGCTATTCGTTACTGCCGACAAACTTTTTCGAATATCGGAATTCGGATCGAAGCGAATACCGAATAATGTACTATTCGATTGAATATTCGGAAAAATTGAATATTCGCACATGCCTACTTCTTCATGGATCTCGACTTGGATCTGGATGAACCTCATGATGAGCTTGATTTGATTGCCTGGTGTTAGTTCAGTATCACTGGAGTTTACAGTTGTCATACTTTCTGAGTTTTTGCTGATAGAGGGTCACCAAATCTTCAAGAAAGGACTGCCTCAGTACGCGGGGTAGCACCACCGCATAGTTGTCAAGTGGAGCTTTCAAACCTTCTAAAGATGTTGTGCTCAAGCGGATGGCATTGAACGGTTGGCTAAGTTGCGTCACATTCTTTGAGCTGCTGATTTTTGGGAGACTAAGAAGGTGGTCGATGTGTTTGTCAATTAAAATGTCTCATCTTTCGAAGTGGTCATGCAGTGTACACACTGCCAGTGCATAATTTTGTTCAGAGAGGCGAATGCCTTCAACTGCTTGCCTTGAATTGTCAGTGAGGCATGTCATTAAGTACTTGAATTTTTTAATGGCTGGGAGATTGGGATTACTGTGGATAGCGAGATCAAAATGGTTCCAAAACGCTTGCAAATCCTTGAGATTTCCTGAAAGGTTGGTCGTTGGAGTTTTGGAAGTTTGACAGTTTGCTGGCTCCTTGATGCAGGGATTGGAGGGTTGTTGCTGGAAGTCTCTGCCGTTGGAGGGAGGCTGCCAGACTGTAGGGTGTCAGATGGCATGGCCGTCATGCGCGAGTTGATGGTCAGAAGTTGGGCTCTGAAGTCCAGGGTGTGTTGAACGCGTGCGATTCCTCAATTAATTCCCAAGCGGTAGTCGTCGGCCTTGTTGAGCTCGTTGCCCAGGTCTTCATCTGCAGTCAAGGCCAAAATGCCTGTCAAGGTCGACCAGGCCAGTTTGCTTTTCGATCAGGTAGTTAAGCTGTATGCGCAATTCAACCTTTGTCGAGTCCGGCTGCTCAAGAAGAGCGTCAATCTAGGCGAGCGTCTGGGCCACGGCGGTGCGGACAACGTCACAGGTCCTTCGCAGGCAGTCCATGTTGTCTCCCGGGGTTTTGGCACCAAATTGTAATGGAAGGAGAGACCCAAGTCGTGTCAGTTCCAATGGCCGTTTATCGAAACGCTGCCCCTGTGGTAACCACTCTCTCTCATTCCCCCGAATCCCCCTGCTTGTTCCTCTTTATTTCTCAACAGAGGGTGCTTTTGGTAAACCTCAGAATAGCGATGTTTTACTAGGAGACCTAGCTTCTTCGGGTTTCTTAGTTTCTTAGAAGCTCTCTTCACGTTCTTCTGCCAGCTTCGCTCCCCTTGGTGTTTTGTTTAGTACCAGTGAGGCGAAACATGCTGCAAATACAGCATTTATAGTTCCTCAGAGACATAACAGAGAGCAGCACCTCTGGGGCATGTGCAGTTTTGCATTTAGGTGAGAAATATTAAAAGTATCATCGCCACCATACACGTACGGCAACGAGCGTCAAAGGGTGAAGCGGCGTGCTGTCCGTCAAAAGTAAAGGCCCTGGAACTGCATGTCACTAGAGTGAAGGTTTTGCAGTATTTGCGAGATCAAATGTACATAGAGCCTATACATATAAGAAGTATATATAACATTGTCAAGAGTTTTTCGATCCAACGATGGAAGAACGATGCACGAAAAAGATAGGAAATGTATGCAAGTGCTAAGTGTTCCACGACACCACCCGATAGATGGCGCCAGCGTGTCCTCCCGTCATAAGAGATCCGAGGAGGTTTTAAGGCGTTTAGTCGTTAGCAGTCGCAAGCGCATGGATCAGCCTTAACTTTTATTTAACGGGCAGTTAGGCGGTAAAGAGACGCAATCTTCTTTGGCGGTGCGCCGCCCTATCGGGGTGGTCGTCGCGCGAGTTTCGCCCTCGAGATGGACCGGCGTTCTGAGCGGGGCACATTCGTGACGCGCAGTGACACAGAAGTGGTGGGGCAGTCGGCGCCTGGACTTTGCCCTGTACTGCCCGGAGGGGCTGGCCAACTTCCCGCCCCACGTTCTACCGCACCTGTTCCACGCCAGCTACTGGGAGTCCATGGATGTGGTGGGGCTGCTGCTGCGCCAGCTGCTCAGGGGAGACTGCGCCCAGCCGGCCCCGGGGGGCGCTCCGGCCCTCGACCGAGACCTGGCCCCCTTTGTGCCAGGGCAGCCCCGCGAGAAGTGGCTCCGCAAGCGCACCTCCGTCAAGATCAAGGCAAGGGGCCCGCCGCCTTACCCTGCCGACGCGCTTGTCTACAGTTGCTTTCATTGTACAGTAAAGTCCACCTGTAACAGTAATGAGGAAACCCGAAAATTTAATCATTCTAACCGATTATCGTTGTATCTAGACTAGGAGCTCTAGATACTGATTGTCATAAGCAATACATTTTTATATCTACTATCGTTATAAGTGGATTGCACTGTGTGTGCAAACGAAACCGAAGTCATGAGCGCGAGCATGCTGTCTCGAACGATGCCAGTACCGCACAAACGTGTGTGCTTGGCAGGGACGCTGAAAGCCCATAGCTCATTCTTGTAGCTTCTGCCACATGTTGTAACATAAATATTGCTTTAAATCTTTTTGTTCTTAAAAGGTTTTTCTTTTTGTGACATACGTGTCTGGTCTAGACACTTAAGACTATTTTTCAGGCATTAGGGAGTTTTAGAATAACGCTCGCAATTTTAGCGCACGCTAACTCGAAATTTAGCGCTTGTATTAGCACACACGACGCAAGAGAGTTTTAGAATAGCGTTTCTCCATCGCGACGCAAAAGCCCAAGCATCTCATGCTTGCGACGCCACCAAGATACAGTCACAATTTTTATTTCACACACGAAATGCTGTAACTTTAGAAGAAAACAAGTTTTTTGGTCCAGAGTACCATTTTAGATTTGTTTAAACACGAGAATGCAACGCGAGCGGTTGACCGGTCGTGTCCGCTTGCGTCGCCTCGGCAAGAGAGGTCTCGTGTACTGAGTTTCGCACATTGAACCTTCGCCCAGAAATGTTCGCACGTCGCAGGCGTCTAGTTGCCGGTGATTGTTGCTAAACCGAGTACAATGTCGTCTCGTATTGAAAATCGTAGTCACGAGGATGCTGTTGACGTCGCACTCACGACGCCGCCAAAGCAGCCACAGCAGCCGTAGCCGCCGACATAATCCTGAAAGCCGCCATTCTTTTAACTCTGCTTGCCTTGGCTTTAGCCAACTTCTCATCACGAATCCTCCTTGGAGAAGCGCAAAGACTCTTTGTGCACACACACTATTTCCGAGAAATAGCGCATGCTAAAATTGCGCACGCAAAGCGCAAAACCTGGTTTGCGTTCGGAGCACGCGCAGTGGCGACGACACTATTCTTTGCGTACGCAAAGCTTTAGCATGCGCTATTCCAAAACTCTCTATTCAGTGTCCTTATGAAGTGAAACAAAGTATAACGACTTTTACGTGGATCTGCATAAACAAGCTTGACAGGCTGTACCTGTGTTGCTAGACTTGCTCGGTCGGGGACTTTTCTTATACGCTGTACAACAGAAAGCATCCTAAACCATGTCCAGCGGCCGTGCTACTGGTGCGTAGGATAGTTCGTCTTCTAGCAGGTTGTCTTGGAAAATACCGGGATTAGCGGCTCTGCATTCAAACAAATAGGCACACTCCAGTGAGTCTGCTGTGAAGGCATTGCTTATGGAGGAATGCTGTTTTTGCTATGGAAGTGGGCAAGCATTTGAAAAGTGTTCTTTACCTGCAGAGAGACACACTCTTGAATGCTAATAAAACAAAAGCATCCATTAAAAATTGTCACTGCAAACAACAGTAAAATATTTCAATAGCAGGTAGACACCTTGGAAATCTCGACAAAGGGTGACTGGTAATAAAAAATAACCGCATCTCCACGTGGTGAATGATGTTGATTGGGGCGAAGCTCTGGTGGTTCTGATGATACTGATTTTATTGTTTGTAGGTAGTGCTGATGGTGCTGACTTTTTTTTTTATTCCTCATAGGTAGTGCTGAGTTCTGGGTTGCGTTTCGACTTCATTATTACTGCTTTACGGTCGGTGAAATGCAGAGCCAGTGGTTCTTCTAGCGGATCAGCTTGGATCCGCTAGAAGCCGTGGGAACGCATCTCCACCGCTTAAGTCAACGATCCATGTCAGAAAGAGAATGTGTGGTATGGAACGTGGTTATATACGCATTTGAGCATTTGACTGCAGCGCCCTCTCGTCTATAAACGTTGAACCAATGCATGCAAAGTTTAACGCGATTATATACGCATTTGACCGCAGCGCCCTCTCCTGTATTGATGTTGAGCGGCTACATGCAAAGTTTCATCCATGACAGAAACCCCAGCTCTTGAGTTACTACCACATCTCAGAGCCCCCTACTCGTAATGCAGTCGTTGCCGAGTGGTTAAGGCGATGGACTAGAAATCCATTGGGATCTCCCCGCACAGGTTTGAATCCTGTCGTCTGCGCAAACATTTTTTCTTTTTATGTGAGCACGAACACCGTCTAGACGGACGGATGGACAATTGGCTAGACCCTAAGGAGCTTCGCCCCTAATAATAATCGCTCCTAATGCACAGTGTGCACCCCTTGGCAGGTGACATGTCTTGGGACCCCCCTCTTCTGAGCAGAGCTCTACAGCTGAGTTGACTGAGTTCCACCGTGGTAAACCACAAGTTGAATTCTCGTTTTTATACCTCTGGTACAGTGAAACTCAATTATAACAAAGTCAACTGGAACCAGAAGTAGTTTTAAATTAATAGCTTATCCGGAATTCCTTCTGTCTGAGATTGGCAAAGATTCAGATTTTCTTTGTGCACACAGTGCATAATAGTTGTGCGATATGTGGCAGACGCTTGCATATACAGTAGATGCTGTCTTACGTTTTGGTAAATTTGCGGTAGAAGGCTGCAATAAGCCACATTTATGTTTTTTTACAACAGCTGGCATGCCTGCACATGTTAACGCATGTAGAGGTGCGCTCTCCCTCTGAATATTTCCGTGCTGCGGGAAAGCGGAATGATGGCGAGCAGTACATATGCAGGACTCACTTCCACCGGCTGGTGTGGCTGGAGAACATGTGATCACATGTGGTAGAACTTTGTCGACATGCTTTTCAATGAGCTGCACAAAAAGTGCCTGATCAGAGACAATGGGGCAGTCAAGAATTCCCCCTTGGTCGGAGTTGAAAAGGAGTGCAACTCTCGAACAACAGTTTATTTCGCGTGGACATCCACAGGCTTAGAGCAAATGGACTCGTGCAAAAGTGGTGGAGCCGAAACAAAACCGAAAGAAACCACAAGGTTCATAACACCCACCGACTGCTTTCTAAAAAAGCAAATGCCATGGTGAGATTATAAGGTAATTGGAGCCTGGCTTATTTATCTAAACACCGGGTGGGTTTCTATAGCTTAGAAACATATGCTGAGCACCCTGTTAACATGGCACAACTGACTTGGTTAACATTGCACAACTGGTCTTGGTTAATCTAGTACAACTAGTCTTGTTTCATGTAGCACATTAACTAATAATGCAATGGTGCTCTAGACTGGAGTTTTGGGGTGTCTGGAAGTTTGACCGTTTGGTGTGCGGGTGGGGCCTTGCAGAACGTGGCGGCCAACCACCGGGCCAACGACGTCATTGTGAAGGAGGGGGACCCCCAGCTGCTGAGCGCCCGCTTCATGTACGGGCCCCTGGACATGGTGGCCCTATCCGGGGAGAAGGTGGACTTGCACCTCATGCGCGACAATGGCCAGTGGACCCTGCTGGGCACGCAGCTGACGGACCGCAATGGGCGCCTCGGCTTCTGCGTACCCCGGGACTTGGGCCTGGGCTACGGGCTCTTCCCGGTCAAGGCCATCGTCAGGTGGGGAAGCCCGCCCTTGCTCCGGTCAGAGTGCAAGGAGCATTTCAAATTCACAACGTAGTGCAAACTACACTCAAATAACGATGTGCGCCCAGGAGTAGTTTGGAGGTGTCTATGGCAGATTCTCAGCCAGCTGTGTCTTGAAGCTTCACTTTCCTTGAATGCGCCAAGCAACTTTGGCTAGGACATTCTATGGGGCCAGCAAGAGTGAAGCCATTTTCTGCCAATGCTTCCTGGTTTCAACCTGAGGGGGATGATCCTTGGAACGACAGCTTTAGATATCATGCAAGGTCCTTTTTTTCAAAGCAAACGTTTTAGTTGCAACTTCTATGATGGGCTTTACTTACCTATCAAGATCTTGATAATGAGCGTAACCTGCTTTGCAAGTGTTGCGGTCCATTGAGAGCCTGTTGGACTTGCGGCGCGCAGGGGAGATCACACGGCGATTGACTTCTTCCTGGCGGTGGTTCCGCCCAAGACGGAGTGTGTGGTGTTCAGCATCGACGGCTCCTTCACAGCCAGCGTGTCCGTGTCCGGGAGGGACCCGAAGGTGCGGGCCGGAGCCGTGGATGTGGTCAGGTGAGGCGCCTTCCACGAGGTGCACTCGGTACTTGGGTTTCAGTTTATGGTGGGGTTCCTGTGCAGGTGCCCTTAGAACTGAAGTCATCTGTGCCATAGTTTGCTGCAGGTTAAAAAAAACACGCCTCTCCCACAAAGCCCTCTGCTCACTATAATCGGTGGCTTCCTCCTCCCCAGCGCTCGGTCTGCTCGAGTGGAAAGAGTGGAGAGCTTTGTGAGGAAGGGAGCCTATCCTACTTTTATTAACCTGCAACAGACTATAACCTAAGGTTAATGCAACTTCCGCTAATATATGGGTAAGGGGCGACAAATTTTAAAATTGTTTCACTTAAAACCAAAGTCGAAACTAGCTCTGTGAGCTTTGGTTGTTGGAGGGTTGTACAGTCAGGCCACTTTGTAATGTACACTTCTTCCGTGAAAGTGCTTGTATATAATGAACAAAATGCCAAGGGGAGCAAAACTGGCTGAGGAGTGTGAAAAGGGAGCTTCTGGTAAACCTCAGAATGGCGTGCCGCTCTGAGGTTTATCAAAAGCTTCACATTATATATAATGAAGTAAAATTTCTGTTTGACAAAACTTTCTAACACATAGAATAGACAACTCCGCAAGCTAGGAATGACTATGAATTTCTGAGTTACGAAGCAATCTACTTTCTGTGAACCACTGCACCCATGTACACTAATGACATGCACGAAAAATGAGAACAGTCGTGGCTAAATAACTGCTCCGGTTGCGGTAGGTATTTAGTCGTGACACAGACCCCCAGTGCCTTTCGATTGTCAACTGCTGGTTTCGCGCCCCTGGCACGCTTGTAGGGTACCTGCGAGCACGTCCACAGAAGGCCTTTAGCCTGGCGTGTGCCACGCATTTGTTCCCAGGCACTGGCAGGAGCTGGGCTACCTGATCATCTACATCACGGGGCGTCCCGACATGCAGCAGCAGCGCGTGGTCTCCTGGCTGGCCCAGCACAACTTCCCCCACGGCCTGGTCTCCTTTGCCGAGGGGCTCTCTACCGAGCCCCTTCGCCACAAGGCCAGCTACCTCAGACATTTACAGACACACGTGAGTTCCCCCCCAGACCTGTTCCGCGTCGCCGCGAGCGCGTCTTGCAGCATTTTATGGCGGGCACAATGCTGGCGGGCAGCAACATCGAGACCTATGCGTACGCCGCTTTGCCGCCTACTCGTCGAGCTTTGTCGTGTTTGTTACTCGGGGGAGGTCGGGGACCCACTGGCGACGGTTTAACGGGCAGGTTATGTTACAAGAATGGACAGTTGGGCTAATTGATAAACATTCATGATAAAAAAAAAATTGCGGTGGCTTAGCTCGGCTATGCCAGGATATACGAAGCGTGAGCTTATGCGCACAAAATGAGAGGCGCTATCAAGCGGCTCCGATGCAGCGTCAGACTTGACTACTGCGCAACGGAGGTGCACAGCTGGGCACGCGGCGACGCCAGTGCGCCTGCCGCGGTAATAATTCAATTACAGTAATGGAATTACTGTAATTTAATTACTTTTCTTGGTAATTTGTAATTGTAATAATTACTTTTTACTAAAAGGAATCGTAATTGTAATTTAATTACTTTCTAGCATCAGTAATTGCAAAATTTCAGGCACAATTACAATTACTTTTGCAAAACTTTGCAGCGCCGACGGAACCTCTGAAAGCCTCAGCGCTCGCATTGGCAGCCTATCTCTCAATGAAACACTCGCGCAAAGACAGGCACAACATAAATAGCGTCGCATTGTTTGTTGTTTTGATGCTTAGACTGCGGGCTGAGAGACAATCATCTTTGGAGTCTACCTCAGCGGTGCCGTGTAGCATCGTCTGCGGTGCGAGGAGAAAACAATAGCGTAAATATGCCAACATATTGAAAGAAAAAAAAATTGAGCTTCAGCTGTCAGCTGAGGTTGGGAATTTTAATTGTCCATGAAGTTCTTTATCTTTCTTTTTTGTCAATTGTTTACGTCCCTCTTCCAGTACTGTCACATATTTGTATCTTTGTATTATTTTCAAGTTTATTTCTTGTTGGTTTTACTTCGAATATTATTTGCATAAGCAGTTTCGAGACTGACCTCGCACCTGTGAATATTGTGACCAATGATTCAGGAGCCCCGATTTGATTCTTATATATTTCTGAGCCATTATAATTTCAACTCATTGTGAATAATTTACAATACCATGATGTTTGTTTGTGAATTCGGTCATATTAGCGCATGTGGATTTTAGTTTTATATTAACACTTGCAAAAATATTAATATATGACTAATTGTCGCATTTTATTGGCCTGGCTGACAAAAGTCTGTCAGGCCAATTTTTTCTTTGGCGATTCGGCGTCTTCCAGCATATGAACTACTTTATTGTTATTTATTAAAAATATAAGAACGCAGTAGTTCATTTCCCCAAACTGTCAAGTTCTATCTTGAATTTAACAAAATTTTTAAAAGGAAAGTACAACACGTGGCATTTATGCAGCGATGCTTAAAGGGACCATGAAATGACCTTTTTACTTTTTCCAGATAACTTTTACATTAAACCGTCAATGTTCACTGAATGCCGAACAGGCATCCGTTTTCGTCTTGGTTTATTAACTTCTACACAAAAAATTAATGAAATATTGACTTTTTCTTTCTCTCCAACTGATCGCAAAACAAGCCGTGACGTACCAACACCACCTAGACAGAAGGCCTCCACACGCGTCATCATAGTCAGATCGATCGAGGCGAGAGATTGGGCACGAGTGCTGCGTCAGTGTTCGGCTGCGGCTCGTGGCCAATCAGCGCGTCGAAGGTCGGACTCGGGTCCAATAGCCGACCGAGCACGATCCGACTGTGATGACATTTCATAGAAGAAGAGGAAACCATGCGGAGGCCTTCTGTTTAGGTGATGTTGGACGTACGCTGTTTCCGGGACCGGAAGTTCTCTCAGCAGTAGGAGAATGGGAGCGTTAGCGGCAACGAGTTGGGGTGCGCCGGTAGGTTTTATTGCGCTGATGTCACCGACGTATTTTCTGAATCGGCGCCTCTGATCGCCGCATCGCAGCTGAGTGAAATTCAATGAGATATGTTGCGCTACAGCGACAGCATGGGACTAGTCCCATACGCCGGTATGCCTGTTGGGAAGTGCAGCGAGTTTTCCGGTGAAGACTCCAGAAGTCAACCCAACTGTCATTGTTGGCAAAAGGGCCGGCCCGTGTCAGTCGTTTGCAAATCGACGTAGATGGAAACAAATTGCCGCGGCGTTTTTAGCGGCCTCGGAGATGCAGGAGTGAGCCGACGTTAAAAAAGATACGTTTGAACTACGAGTGTCAGCAAGAGCCACGTAAATACCTGTTTACACTCGGAGCGGACGCGCGCGCTTGATGGAAGTGCTGTATTCGCGCTGTTGGTAAGCGCTTCGGGACCGTTCTTTTACGATTGCAACTCGATACTGACGCGACACTCGGCAAAAAAAGGTTGGACCATGGTTGCACGTATACCTCCCATGAACTGTTATAGCTCGACAGTGACGTGCAGTCTGTCAGAATAAAAATGGCATACCAATAACAAAGTGTACATACCGTGTTACGAAGGTAATCCATACGGCATTTATTTCAGCTCTATATCACACAAAACAAGAAGATAGAATCGACGAGAGTCCCTTTTCGACGAGTGTTCGTCAACACTGCCTCGGAAAACAAGGGGAAGAGATTGACCTCACCTTTTCATCTAAAATTGAGGTCAGCGATCAAACTATAATACGGCAAGGGTCCACAAAGGTCGTGCGGGCATGTTCCATTTAGCACGCCAGCCGGTCGTAGGCAGACAGTCTTGCGATGAAGCAACGCAGCGCTGAGTCGGAATGCCTGCTAGGCCTATATTCTGAGCAGCTCGCTTCGTCGGAGTCGGTGGATCCAGCGTTCTTGTTCGTCGTGGTCTGTTTTAAGTACTGTTTTCTTGCTGCTTGAAGTCGACACGCGCGAGAAGAACACGTAGAAAAATAAACGTTCAGTCAGTCAGAGTTTTGAGAGGAAGGAAAACAAAGAAAATAAATGTTCGTCGGTCGCCGCTACCCAAGTAATTGTCGGCCCTGCCCTACTGCGCACGCGCAGTAGTTGCTTCAATTACCACACGATAGATGGCACTTGGCTCTCAGCATTATCAAATTTGGCAATTTTTGCCACACATCTCTAATTATGCTACAAAATGTGGATCTGAATATTATTTAACAAAACTTTTACGAAACATTCGCCGGCTATTTATTGTTTACGATCGCGGTGCTGGTGAGGTAGGCTCTTACCCAATAGGCGACGTGGATTCGGCTGACGTGCTCCGTTTCCGCGGATGCATCTTAGTGAAAAGGCGAAGGAAAGAAGGCGCAAAAGAGTCCAGTTTTCTTTTAAAAGTTCTATAGCAAATAATTTTTTTTGGCTCCCTATTTTTGTGTTTTTGTGTTTCTTTTCACACCTTTTATGACGTGCGGCGGATGAAACTCGATTTTAAAATCATTTCATGGTCCCTTTAAAGGGGAACTCCGGCGACTTTTTGAGCAACCCCAACTAACTATATCTTTGAAATCGCCGTCCTTTACTCTTTCTAATATGTTATTTTGTATCATGAAATTCAGAATAGTTATTGTGAAATCGGCAAATGAAAATGACGCCAAAACGAAGATTCGAATATACCTGCGCTTTTCATTACCGTGACGTCTTGAATGTTCCGGCTTGCGGTTCGAGCGGGCAGTCTAAAAATGAACTATACCGAGCATTTGTATCGTGCTGCTGCGCGGGAGCTGGAGCGACATTCCAAAGCATTCATTTGACACCATAAAACTGCTTGTAATCAGTTGAAAACAAAGTCTACAGCCCAAAGAGTGAACCCCTGCACACTCATGACGTCACTTTTTCAATGTTGCCAGTAGAGCTTTTCACTTTGGAAAACACGATGAGGACCAAAATTGTAAATTCTGTAACTTCGCGAAAAAAAGTTATTTTGTCCAAATATTTGGGTTACTAGTTCAGCGATGTTTGTTGGTGTTTTTAGCTAGTTTTTAGGCAAATCGGGGACTATGAAGAAAACGGCAGAGTACCCCTTTAAGCCTCCTCAAACAATGGGGCAAGGAATGAACAGACACGTTGCATTCTATACAACTAGTTTTAAGTTATATGGCTCAAGTCGGGTCGCTCTCAGAAAAAAGTAATTATAAAGTAATTGCATTACCTTTTAAAAGTAATTTGTAATTGTAATTAATTACTTTTCACATAGTAGTAATTGTAATTGTAGTTAAACTACTTTTGAAGCAAAGTAATTGTAATGGTAATTAAATTACATTTTGGAAGTAGTTTACCCATGTATGGCTCTGACGTCACTCCTCTGGAATGCGCAGACCGGCGCGGCGGGCGCGGCGGCAACAGAGCGCGTGGCGGCGGCAGTGACAGTGGCTCCGGCGCGCCAGCTGTGCGCCGTATGACGTCACTGCTCCTCGCGCTTGTGCAGCACAGCTCTTTGGGAGCCACGCGAAACTGCTCTACCTCGGCCAGTGTAGCTCACGCTACAAAATAGCGCTAAACGCAAGGACACAGAGGATGCATTGCTAAATGGGAGCATACTCTCATTTAGCAGCGCGTTGCCGGGACTGCGGCTGTGAACCTCGCTTTAGAGACACAAATATTTTGTACAAACACCAAACTTTGTTGTCTAGGGAGATTATTGAGGCCTAGCATATAGCAAAAAAGAAAACAATGTGCATGAGCCAACCATCAGTGAACGTTGGGGTCAGTGAGATGGCCTTTTTGGACCTTGGATAACTTAGCCTTCGAAGAAAACAAAAAAGAAGCAACTCCACGGTGAAAGAAAAGGAAAACCCTATACTTTTCGTGTCTTCAAAATAAGGAAGTTGATAGTCAGCTCCTTCTTCTGTATGTATTCCTCTACTCTGTGTCCTTGTGTCTCACACAGTTTTTCATCATGGGCAGGTTATTGTTTCTAAGGCGATGTTGGTCAGATCCCAGTCCGTCATTTCATAATCCTGGCAGGTGAAGTGCATTTCAAAGAAGAGCAGTCTTCTGCACTGGGATGTTGCCCTCAAAATTATTCTAAGCAAATTGCTGATATTCATCTTGGCAATTCACTCATTGATTCCAAGCCACTATGAGGTTCGAGAGGCGACTTCCACGCCGAGAAAAATTTGGTACGCGAGGTCGAGTTCTGGTTGCGTTCCGTCTCGTTTGGTGAGCGTCCAAACTCTGGTCGACTTCATTGCAAGGCCGATGAATTTCAAATTTGCACTTGGTGTCAGGCGTAGCCATCCATTTCAGGCTGGGGAGCGACTGGGGAGTGTGAACTTGACCGGGCGGTTGGAATGATAGCCACCAGAACAGCCCCAAAAACTGTGTCATCCTGTGGTTGCATTATAATTTAGGGACACCCTAGATCAGCGGTTCTCAGACTGTGGTCCGCGGACCCCCGGGGGTCCTCGAGGGCATTCGTGGGGGTCCGTCCCAAGCCACAAAAACGCTTTAAAGAAAAAAAGCTCTCCTGTGCCATTGCACAATGCAGAATGCATTTGGGGTCATTGAATGGCCTCTAAGTAAGTCAGGGGGTTCGTGACGGCAAAATTTTGAGAACCGCTGCCCTAGATCTAGGCAGGCACAAGCCCATCTGCTGAACAAATTCCTGGAGAAGCATAAACAGCCTGTATGTCATGATAGCTTAATTGTTTGTGAGCTTCAATGACGTTGGTATAATACATAAGATTTATGTAACTGTTTACACCTGATCTTGAAAGTTAGTTTTCTCAGCAGAGTGCCAAGTGCGTCACTTTAAAAAATTCACAAAACATTGGAAGCTTAAAAATGTGCAGTGGTTAACCTCACTGGTAATGAAGAGACCCAGAGTTCGCATCTCGGCTCCACCAAGTTTTGTCTTTCGGCCGACATTTATTACCATGTAAAAGTGACCGTGTATGGCAGCTTTAGCTGCCACAGTAGTACCATGGTTTTCTCGGCATCATATTGCACCGTAATTCGTCACGTGCATTACCATAGCAACAGGCCAAGCTGGCTCAGTTTCCATAGCAATAAATAGAGCCAGATATTGTCAACAACTGCCAAAGTCACGTGCGGATATTTCAGAATGCTGCTGGTGTACCAGTGTCGCTTGCTACTTTCACTTCTTGAGTAGTGCGAACTTTGAATTGTAGGTGCACATCCCCGGGGTGTGCGCTGAACACGTGCGCGTGAGGCGCCCTTAACTTCAAATATGCCCGTGTTGCCGTGCCGGCAACGCTTTTGTGTGACTTTTACTCGATTTTACCGACTCTCACCAATTGAATGCATGGAGAGGTAAAACAAGCAGACTAATAAAGTGGCCACCAGGTGCCGCAGCGAGGTTAGCATGCCAACCTTTCAGACCTAAAATAAAGATCACTTTGTGCGTCATGTTGGTAACTCTGGCAGCTACAGCTGCCATATACGGTGGTTTTGTTCCAATTAATGCAGTCAGCACGATTCATATCATCTGCATATTTCGACTATTTCACCTTTAGAGAACACGAAAAGATTATGAAAATTACCCATAATTTACGGGGCATACTTGTGCTCCTTGTACGTCGGTGACACCATTTGGGGTGGTGCTGCAGAATGCACTCCGTGGACTGACTTGCAGAGAAAGAATGAGTTTAATATTTGCATTTTACGAGTGAAGCTGTGTGTGGCAGATTAGCCACTTTTGGTTCTTCTTTTATGTACATAAATCTTCTTGCGCGACTGACTTTGACTTTGACCTCGTCTTCCATACACCTATTTTCTCGCACACTGGACGCCCGTCTTTCACGCGAGGGGTGCAATCAGTGTCAAAAGTTCAATCCTCAAAATGGGGTAGTCGTGGCAGTTGGCCACTGGGCTGTGATGGTTTTCGGTGTTTCACAGTTAAATACTTCAGACCAACACCATGGTCCCTGCCAACGTGAGAAGGGCAGGGAGGAGCTTCAGTTGTCCCGCCTCCAGCATGACCATCCCACCCGCCAATGCTTCGGCATTTCGCGCTGCTTGAGAGCATGCGCAGAGCCAAAGCATGGCGGGAGGCACCGGGCACATGCTGGAGGCCTGGAGTTCAAAAGACACGCCCTGCCCTTCCCACTCTGAAAAGGGTGAGCCATTCAGCGATCGGGGTATGCGGGTGTGCAGTTAAGGAAGGGGGGCCCGTTTGTGAGAGGAGCCCACACCAGCCCCAGTCTGTGGGGGGGGGGGGGGGTAACAGATGACTGCTTTTCTTGCAGGCGGAGGTGGTTTACCACGCTGCGTACGGCTCGGCGAAGGACATTGCTGTCTACTCTGCCCTAGGGCTCACCAAGGACCAGATCTTCATTGTCGGAAAAGTGTCCAAGAAACAATACTCTCAGGCCATTGTGAGTCCTTCTCGCGCGCAACTTCCCGGGGCACTGTCTAGGCTGTCCTCTCAAGATAGTAGAGGTACCATATGCAAATATCAGCTTTGATTGAAAATCGAATATAAATATTCAAGTTTGATTGCGACTTGAATTTAAATGTTTTCAAATATGAATATCTTACATTTATAGTTTGAATTGAGCACGGATACTTTACGAAATCACGGCTGGACATTTTTTTCCCGAACGGTATGAAAAGGAGCAGTTTTATTTAATCAGAAACATACACGCAATGGACCATTTCAGAAAGTGGCCGGCTCGTGAAGTTTGGGTATGAAAATATGTGAAACAATTAGTGAATTAGGAAGGCCTCCTAGAGCAAACTTGGGGGCAAAAAGATAAGCCACAATAGGTCACTGCAGCTCGATAGGGCCAACCATATCGAGGGAGTGCGCATGTTCACATATTTTTATACCCAGAACCTCCTGAACCCCGCTTTCTGCCACGTGGTGCTAATTATTTCTAAAAAGGTGGATTCAGAAAAAAATATTCTGTTCAGGTGAGTTGTGTAAAATACAGTGTAGACCGCATATAACGTATGTCGCGGGAGTCGAGAAAATCCGCACTATAAGCGGTACTGCGCTATAACCAAAACATCAATTTTTCAGGCCAAAATACATGCCGTCAGACAACTTACCTTTGTAAAAGAATTTATTTCTATGTTAGATGAAAAATAAAGCTTAGTTTGAGGAAAGTCTTTATTTCACCAGACTAGTGCACTTCTCTCTCAAGTGTGCCACACATTTTGAAAGAAATGAGCGACTTTTGCCTGGCGCAGCCTTTTAATGGCGTCGCGGGCTGCGGATGGACGTTGCGTGCGTTCGGGAATGCTAACCCTAATCACTTTTCTCCGGCGATGAAAACGCGTGAAAATTCGCATCTTTTATACGGTACGCGCCAGTAATATCTTCAACTTGAGCACAGGCACGAAATGCTCCAAATAAGAAATCCGGGCGATGGTCGAAAGCAGAAATGTTTAGAAAGCACCACTGTAGTCGAAGTAAACAAACACGACGGCACGGGTGTTTCTGCCATCTTGAGAGTGGCGCCACAATATCGCCGCACGAGTAGGTGGATCTTCCCTTCAAGTATGTGCTGGGTTATCATAGCGACACACAACGAAAATTCACAGTCAAGGATAGCGCTTTTACGCGGAACGACAAACTTCCACCATACCGTCTACGACGACGATCACAACCGACGCCATGTTCGCGGATAAAAGCCGGCCCGCGACCGGCATGCAACGCGCGCGAACACTTCTCCTTGACCTGTGATTGGTCTGTCGTTGCGCTTGTTGGTCGTGTTTCCAACACAGCGGAGGGGCGCACACACGCACATGACACGTGCATGCGTCCCTCCGTCGCTATGGCAACTGAAGCCTCCCTCTTCGCTTCTCCCCGATTCTTCGAGCAACCTCCTTGCCCCGCGAGTGCCGCTCGCGGCTAGCGCCGTTATCTAGTGTCGGCGCAGCCGGCGGGCTGTTCGAGAAACCGCACTATCACCGGTATTTCCTTTCGCGCGCCTGCATTTTAAGCAGTATGTAATTACATGAAGTTCTATGGGAGGCAAACCGGTGGTTTAAAAAGCCGCGTTATACCCGGTCCTGCACTATAAGCGGTTACGTTGTAAGTGGTCTATACTGTATAATGTAATATGGTAAGAAAAGCGATGGCTACCTTATTTATTTTGAAATATTTGAAATCTTAACAGCTTTATGCAGGATGTGCAGAGGTAAACAAAAACAAATAATAAAGGAACTTCCGGGAGGAGTATAGAAATAAGGGTTGTGGCACAGGCTAGCTGGTGAACGTTCATACTTAGGAAAAACCTGAGACAAGGGAAAAGGAAGGGACAGACAAAACAAAGTCTCAAAGATTTGAGGGAGGAGTATGTTACTTTTGGTGGGCTATTGTTTTTGCTTGTTTTTGAGGACACGCGGTGAGTAGCGAGTACTTTAGAAGTGTCACCGTCGAGTGCTAACTTCAGTACCTCCTAACATTTGCTCATATGGGATTGACATGCCTTCCTGATCTCTTGGGCGAAAGGAAAGAACATTTGTTCCTCAAAGAAATGACAAATGTAGACAAAAATTATTGTGCATTTTTTCTCTTCGCCGCGGAAAATAACATGGATCACTTTTGTTATTTTGGTTGTACCGAATAATATGTACCTTTATCATAGTCTTGTTCAAATAGTGGATTTTGAGTTTGAAGCGAATACAGTATAGACCACTTACAACGTAACTGCTTATAGTGCAGGGCGGGGTATAATGCGGCTTTTTTTAACCACCAGTTCGCCTCCCATACAACTCCATGTAATTACATACCGCTTAAAATGCAGGCGCGCGAAGGGAAATACCAGTTATAGTGCGGTTTCCGGAACAGACCGCCGACCCCGCCGTGCGTCACTAGATAACGGCGCTAGCTGCAAGCGGCACTCGTGAGGGCAAGGATGGGAAGGAGGTTGCTTGAAGAAGCGAAGAGAGAGGCGAAGACAAATGACTATGCAGCAAGTTACAATGCAGCGAGGTGCGACCGACACACGCACGCGCGTGCTTAACTTTGAAAGCTTTATCGAGCCACCCCAAGCCTTTCCCCCTTTCGATTTCACCCCCTCGCTCGAGTGACGCAACACCAACCTCATTTCTTACACTGCGCGCGCATGCAAATCGAAGGCTGGGTAGCTGGATAGTTCCTAGTTTCGCTTCTTGCAGTTTGCTCACTTACTCCACGTTGTATGTTTGGACTGCGTGTGGATCACGTTAAGCATATCATGCGGAAATCGACCGTCCATCCCGATCTCTCCGTCTCCCAAGCCCAAGATTGCCAAGAAACGACACGCCCTGTCTCTCAAAACTAAACAGAGCATCGTCAGAGATGTCGGAAGTGGCATGAAAAAAGCTTCTGTCGCGGCCAAGTACAACGTCGCTGACACAATGGTTTCTACTGTCTGGAAGTACCGGGAACAGGTATGAAAGTAGCTACAGCAAGATTCTGCGTCATTCTCAAGAAAGAAGATTCGTACGTCAAAGTATGAGGACGTCGACGAAGCCTTGTTTAGGTGGTTTCGCAAAGTGTGAGCCAAGAACGTCCCAGTGAGTGGCCCGATGCTACAAGCGAAAGCTAAGTCCTTTGGACATTTGTTTGAACATGAAGGCTTCAACCCCCTCAACGGATGGATCCAGCGGTTTAAAGATCGCCACGGGATTAGCTGCAAAGTAATCTCGGGCGAAAGTGGGGAAGTCGACGACGCCAGCATCCAGGCATGGTTTCGCATTCATCTCGAGACAATGATTTCCGCGTACGCGGACAAAGACATCTATAATGCCGATGAAGCTGGTCTGTGCCACACATGCTTCCCGATCGCACTCTCGCGTTGAGAGGTGAACCCTGTTCCGGCCGCAAAGTCTCAAAGGAATGTGTTACGGTTTTGTTTTGTGCAAATATGGATGGCTCCAACAAGCGGCGCTTGTTTATCATTGGGAAATACAAACGACCTCGTTACTTCAGGAAGCGAGAATGTCTGTCTGTGGTGTAAACAGCAAATGGAAAGGCCTGGATGACCCAAGAGTTCTTTGCTAGTTGGCTGAAAAAGTTTCGATGAGGCCATGGTTGCAAAAAAACGGTGCATTGGACCTTTTTCCAGTAAGCTTTTGCACATGCGTACACCTCCTTCCCTAGCCTTGCTTCCCGCTCTCGCCATTTTTGCAGGGCAAGGTTCCAGTCAACCAACATATTCAGTACCTACCTTTGCGCGTATTTTGTCTTTTAGCAATTCTTGTTTGAGTATACGCTAGTATGGCTCATTAAGGACGATGAAAATCAATACGGCAGCTTGATGCCGATGTATTCTGACGGGTGGAGGCAAGTTGGGCTTTGTTTTAAGAAACTCCGCAGATTTCGCTTGTTACTGGAAAGGTCCATTGCTTTTGCTTTTTCTTTATAGTTCAGACGCAAGCCAAGGTCATACTTTGTGGAAACAGAGATTATTATCAACTTCAGGTAGCACGAACGCCCCTGTTTGCTTGCTGTTAGATGCCAGAAAGGCAGGCACGAGCGTACCTGGTTGTTGGCCACGCAACCTGCTTCCCACCGGTGACGTCATGTTTGGATGGCAGGGAAAGCTAGGGAAAAACTAGGGAGAACAAAGTTTCAGTTTTGATAGTGAACTAAATATGACTTTTCTTTAATTATTAGAGTTAAATCTGGGGGAACAATGTAGCATTTCAAAATCAGGAAGCCACCCGCATTCAGATAATGCCTCTGGATTAGGTAGCTCAAAGAATCGGTGGAGCTCCCCTTTAAGTGCGCTTCTCACCAAGCACCTGTGTACTGCTAAAAAATCATACCGAAGGAGCTCACAGGCTCCGCGGGTATTGCTACCCCACTGTGCACAGGTGCTCGGCAAGAAGCGCACTTAACGTGGCTAACCCACCGCGATTCTGCAAGAGTATGTGTTAAGCAGTGATGTCTTGACGACCTGAATTCATCATTCTTGGTCACTTTCTTTTTGTCAAATTTGAAATTGAAGAGAGAATATTTGCATACAACAAGCCGATTTATAAATCTCGATTAGGATAGCTGCAACAAACTCGTTTTTTACATGGCACAGTTCATAAATATAGTTATATTAAAATTAATTGAGCTTAGAAATGGACAAGTGGAAGGTTGGGAGTAACCTTCATGAGTTCAACTGAATTTTCGTTTAAGCATGGTTTATAGTAGTAAAAGGCTCGGAAAAACTATACAATATTTGATTTGAAAATGTTCGGTCAAAACCACCATTTGCTATGAATTCGCTTTGAACTCAAAATCTGCTGTACGCACATGCCTATCATATTATCCTGAGTCATTGCCCCTACCCAAGTCATCGCCCACCCCACTTTTTGGGTGAATATCAATTCCCAAATAAACACAAAGTGATTGCCGTTTGATTGTTACAAATACCCCAATGTGGACTCCACAATTATTCATCCTACCCAAGTGACGCAGCCATGGATTTACGGTTGAAGGACGTCTGTGACGAAGTAAAACAAAGGGGGCAAAGACGCTTGACGTTGTTTAAGCATTTCCTCCCTGATTTCCGCGACTCCGAAGTTGGAGTACATGCGTGTAAAAGGAAAAGGATGGAGGTAACAGAATAAATCTTTGTTTGGCTTACAAAAAACTGTTCAGACAAAAACAAAAAAAAAAAGAAGTCGGAAAGATAACAGAAGCAGTAACTCATTCAGGGATCACAAGATCAGCAAACGCCTTATATCCCGGAATGTAAACGCGGAGTGTTAGGTCAATGTCCGTCTCCACCGAAATACAGTCACCGCGAACCCACTTCTCCACTTGGAATTTCGTGACCGCGGTCGGTAAGGCTGTGTATTGTTTGAGACCAAGCCAATCGGTAAATAAAGATTTGCTGCAATGCCGCACACAGGCGTTTGTAAACCGTCCAATTTTGAGCTCTGTTCGGTCGTGGTGCCGTCCACACCACGCAGCAATGCCGCCTCAACCTGCATTGATAGCACGCCACGCACGGATGCGTCTGTGTATGCACCAAACAAGAAAGTTGCACAACAGCCCTTGTGAACTGGGTCCAAAGCCAAAGTACCTGTCAATTCGATCGCTGGCTTTGCCGCTTCCCCAGCGTCGCTCTTCGTTGGTTCTTTCATCCGCTCACTTGCTCGCTCGTTGCACCTGATTAATTTTTCTGTTTTCTTGTCTTTTTTCTTTTTACTAACGAAGAAAGCACGTTTCCAGTGTTGGAAGCGTGCTTTCACGGAAAAAACGCTTGCGCTGTGTGCCGATCTGCAGTGTTCATCAAGCATATGCAAGCAATGGACATTGCAGTAGTAAAACATTATTTCATGAGTATTTCTTGCATAAAACAATGAAACTAATTTGAGTTTTGAGTTTAATGTATCTCTTGTGCAGCCACGCTAGATTTTTACAGAAAAATGAGCGTTGTTTTAGCTTTTTCTAAACTTTTCGTGCTTACCCACCGAGACATGGCCCACGCCACTCTTTTTTATATGAATTTCAGGCGGCAGGGGGGTAGGCATGACTTGGGATATTACGGTATTTGTAAATGAAACCAAGGGCACAGAAATTTCCGCATTCCTCCCATTCTGAAAAAGAGATGCTCACTAAGGTAGCTTCAAAATTATTACAACTAAATTGGCAGTAAGGATATAAAGATATACCGTATTTACTCGCACAATGAACGCACTCGCGTAATGAACGCACCCCCCAAGTCTGCTCTCAAAATTTCGACTTTTTTTTTTCACTCGCGTAATAAACGCACCCCGAACTCTGACGTCAAAATTTTGACCCCCTCCCCCCATGCGCGCGAAATGAACGCACTTTTCTATCCTGGTGCGGCGAGGTCGCGAACGCATGGGCAGCGTGGGCGAACAAAACGCCTTGCGTTAAAAAAATTCGCAAAGATCCAACGGGGAAGCGAGAAAAAAAAAACATGAAGAGGAGCTTTTTTTTTTTTGCAGTCTGGACTTTGGGTTTGCGCGCCGCGGCGCGCAAGGAGGTAAGAAAGAGAGGCGGAGAAGCGCTCTAAGCGAACGAAACAGCTTGCGAAAGGCGGCAAAAAGAAAAAAAACTCTAAAAAAACACGGAACTAAGAGAAAACAAAAAAAAGCTTTTTTTTTCTTCTTTTTTTTTTTTTTTTTTTTTTTTTTGCACAGCGCCGTTTGGTTACGAGGGGTTGCGCGCCGCGCGCAAGTAGGTAAAAAAGAGGAACGGAGAAGCCCTCTAAGCAAACGAAACAGCTTGCGAAAGGCGGCAAAAAGAAAAAAAAAAAAAAAAACCCACGGAACTGAGAAAAAAAAGGAGCTTTTTTTCTTTTGCACAGCCCAGTTTGGTTAGGGGGGTCATGCGTCGTGCGCAAGGAGATAAGAAAGATAAGCGGAGAGCCCTCGCCTAAGCAACGCCTAAGCAAACAAAACAGCTTGGGAAAGGCAGCAAAAAAAAAGAACAAAAAAAAAAAAAAAACAGAACAAAGAGGAAAAGAAAACAAAGAGGAGTTTTTTTTTTGCACAGCTAAGTTTGGTTACGGGGTCGGGTCGGGCGGGCGCGGCGCGCAAAAAGATAAGAAGTTACTTCGATTTTTCAGGATAAAGGTCCGTTCAATATGCCAGTAAATACGGTCGCAAAAATTTTACTTCGCGTAATGAACGCCCGCCCCCCCCCCCCCCCCCCCCCCCAACTTTGCATCGATTTCTCGGAAAAAAAGTGTGTTCATTCTGCGAGTAAATGCGGTGTACTTGCAGTACTTTCTTTCATGGATTATCTTTGCTGCCGACATTCTCTAAACAGTTTTGTTCGCAGTCTTCTAAGGGAGCAGTGATGGCCACTTAATGTTTGAGTATTGAAGTGACAAAGCTTGGCTTGGAAAGTGTGCGCCATAGTGGCAAGAACAGACATTACTGTCAAAGCAGCACTCACTGCGACGTCATTTGCTCCAACAATTGAAAACCTGTCCGCTTTGTTTTCAGAAGTGACCATTTATTTGAATGTTGCAGTTTTCAAGGCACCTCGGTCGCCGCCGTCCAGTTATAAGTGGCCAGTCATTTAAGCTCTATGGACATTAGCAATTTATTATTTTGAGAGTTGAATAGTTATACCATGCCTTTAATATAAACTGGAGTAAAATTGTGATCATTAAGCTGAATTATTTCCACAAAATGTAAATACTAGCACGCAGTAGCATTTCGGTGCCATTGCGTGGGACACATGGCGTTGTACAAACCGTGGGCCTTCTTCGCAGGTACTGACGGAAGGCTATGCTTCGCACCTGACGGAGCTGAAGAGCCCCGGTGTACCACTGTGCCGGCCCGCCCAGGGCAATGCACGCATGGTGCTGTCACGCGGCTGCTTCGGCCTTCCCGGCCAGGGCATGGCCGGCCCCGGCGGGGCGCTCCGCCGTCGGCGCTCGGCCAAGCGCACCACCTCATTCCCATTGTCGGCGCCCCCTCCTGGCTCTCCGGGTGGACCGCGGCCGGGCTCCGGAAGCTCCAAGGTGTGACCGGATCAGGCAGCAAGGCGCGCCACCTGGCAGGACCCAAAGTATGCCGGGCCGGCGTTACATGGAGCAACAACCTGGCAGGACCCAAAGTATGCCGGGACGACATTGCGTGGCGTGCCAACCTGGCAGGACCCAAACTATAGAGGGCCGACATTGTGGGCGTGCTAAACCGGCAGGACCCAATCTATGCTGGGCCAACATTGCAAGGTGACCCCGGTGCTTGAGGATCCCACCTTTGTAGCCCAACTTTCCATTGTGCCGCTGCCAGACGTTTGGGCGCCGCTTCGAATGCTCATTCCTGTGACTCAATCCGAGGAGAGCCCTAGGTGCCCTCGTGAGGTTGTGAGACGACTGTGCAGAAGTCGCGGCGAGCGAGCGGGGCCGGACTTCTGTAAGAAGTTCTCCGGAGAGTCGCTTATGCAGCTTTGATACCGGGCCGAGAACCCTCGGAATTCGAGGCTGGAATGAAACAGTTTCCTGACGCCTGTACATAGAGGAGGTTGTGAACGGCGTTAGACAAAATTTGAAACCTTTTCTGGTGCTTTTTTGATTTTTGCCTGAAAAATGAGTGACATGGGACGTGCTTTGGTTGTAAAGCCTCATAAGTAGTGAGCCTTCACAAAGGGCTGCCTGCTCAATTGCCAACTGGAACAAGCGCAAAATATCTCTTCCAGAGAACTGTTTCATTTCAGTGAGACCGAGTGTCGCAGTGCTTTGGTGCTCTGGTGCTCTGGTCCCTGGAGCATCGCCACGGAAGTACTTTGAGTGGAGGGAGCACAAGGCAACTTTTGTTGCTGTGGGAAATAACCATAGAGAATTGTGGAGAATCGACAGTGGGGCATCAGACCTTCTGGAACCTGGAAGGGGGCAGAGGTCAGAACACTTTCTTCGGGTTGAGTGCAACATTTTATTTATTGTGTTGATGCTTCTTACACAATGTCAGGGCTGTCGGTGAGATGTTTTGAATAGGGATTTGTTGTGTTCCCTTTTGCAAACTCTAGTGTCTGTACAGAAGGCCAGTGAAAGGCCGGGTCACAGTGCCGCGCATCATTCCCAAGTGATTGGTTGTCAGCGACTGCAAACTGCGTTGCTCCTTACTACCTAGAGCTCTGCAGAGTAGTCCTCAAAGTTGCTCTGGCGAGGAAATCTGGGCTCCGCTTCTAAGCAATTGTGTTGTCCTCAAAGTGCACCTCCCAGGAAGCGGGTGGAAGAGCGGCCAGGTTGAAGCCCCGTGGAGTCGACCTGGGCCTTTTGTTTGGCAAAGAAGGAATTAGCACGCTACCGGGAAAGCTGGTTTCCATCCGTGTTCCCGCGACACAAATTGTTATACGGCATCTAGTACATGCTAGGAAAGTGTGAAACGGCAAATATGCCAAGTCCTGCAACGGTGCCGGCTTGTTTTGTTTTTCCATCACTGTCTGCCCTAAGTATGTTGCATCACTACTAAGGCTGTTGGATGACGAGCTCCCGCGCATTAGGATGCTTCTTATAAATGGCACGCCGGGATCTACGGAAGCATACGTAAGTGCACCATAAAAGCTTTGTGCATTCGAACACTGCTTAAGACTCGAAGCCCATTGTGGTTGGCATAATCGTTCCCCACCAAAGAAACACATTTCATTTTCAGTGTGGGGCAATTAACCATGCCGACTAGAGTGCCTCAAAACACGAAAACAGTGAGGTCACTCGCAAGTGTGAAGGTGTGGACTCGACAGTTGTCTGCATCCCGCATAAAAGATTTCTCTTAATGCTAGCACCACAGACCGCACAGGAAGCCCGGCTCTGTGGCGGAAAGGCCTCCGAGATGTCACAGCACTTGGCGCCGTTGAGGCGTTGTTCCCCCTTTCCCCGTAGCTGCATCTTTGTGAAGTTGATGGCAGACCCTCGTTTACTGAGAACCGAGAGACGCGATAGTTCCTGGCTGGCTGCATGGAAGCAGTCCGCCCTCGCAGAAAGGTCCCTGCGAGGCTTCTCGAGCCCCACACGTTTTCTCCTGCTGAAGAGACCAGTACAAAGTTTCCTCGCCACAAGCTGAACGTTGACCGACGTCTGTTTTCTGCGAGGCGACCCCCCTCCCCCTTGCATTCCACCGGGTTCCCCCCCCGTGGCCCCCCCGGTTGTGAGAAGCACACCCCCCGGGAGGGCCTGCGGTGCCGTCGCGCCGTGGCTCTTGCGGTCTAGTCGTCGACGACCAGTTTGTTGTGGGGTGTCTTTTTTCTTTTCACCAGCGTTAAGTTTGTTGTTTCTCTGCCGAAAGAGCGAGTGTTTAGTTTTCTCAATGTCGTTCACAGTCTTTGTCGTCGTCGAGTGGCGCCACTTTGTTTGTTGCGTGGGGTTTTACTTGGGGGCCTGCTTTCAACAGGGTGAAGAGAGAAAAAAGGTGCTGCTGCTTCGAGATGCCTCGCCGAAAGTGAAAAAAAAAAGAGATTTCCTTAGCACGGCCATTCTACAATGTGTCCAAATGTGGTTTGGCTCATTTTTCGTGAGGCAAAATTGAAGGGCAATAAGTCCATCTTGGAAGTGCATACGAGTAGTGCCAGACACGGGGCACCTTCTTTCTGCACCGGAACTGGTCGGCAAGTTTTGACAGTGTTCGGAAGGACGCAGCCAGCAGTGTGCAGATTCTGCAGCCCCTTGGTTCCTAGTCTTTTGTGTGCAGTACCATAAACTGCTTTGCCATACCGTTTTTTACTCTTAGGCCACCGAGAAGCCCCAGTTTTCCTGTACAGCCACAAAAATGGGGGTTCGCGAGCTCATTCAAGGACAAAGCCATCTTTTGAGGCACCGGTATTCCTTGGCGTACACTAGCGAGTGGTAAAAACGGGGCAATTGTATCGGACAACTTTCGAGACGACAGTTTGGTGAGCACCAGACTGCGTGTCCCGCTTCAGTATTCGTGCCCCAAAGACGCTTAATTAATTAACATCAGTTTCGAGGCTCTACTTTGTGATGACCTTCGGTTGCCCCCTAGTCCTTTATTGGGTCTTTCCAAGCAGCACTTGGCCCACTTCCTTAGTTGCCTTGTCACCTATTGGGAACATTGCTGGAGTCTTGATCCGCACCCAAAGCACCGTCTAGTCACCACGAGGAATTAATGTTCCGAGGACTGTGGAGGAGGAACGGCGTAGCACCCTTCCGGCTTTTACTCTGCATAAGCGGCCATACTACAATAGGAGGAGGGAAGAGCTTGTCACAGCGACTGTAGTCTTTGAAAGGCAGCCTCATGCACGGTACGGTTAGTGCGGCAGAAGCCAGTTTACAGGCTCACGTTAATTGTTACCTCTCACAAGGACCCTGGGTTCACACACCGCTAGAAGCATACTCACGTCGTGTTGCAACCATACTTCACGAGGCAGGCTCGAAGTCCTCGCACGTCGCCCAGTTCCGTTCCTCACTGCACGTGGTCTTCGTGTATCGTTGCCACAGACCATTGCGGTCAGCCTCTTGCGACAGAGCGCAAACGAGGTTGGAGGTTCGTGCATTCTGACGCACGAGGCAATGCGTCGTCCTGCTGGCATCTGCGTGGTTCCTTCCGGCATTTTGGTGCGGCAACCACGTTGCGGGACAGCGAGTGTTTGTCCTCGGGTCGTAGGACGTCTGGCTGCGCAGTGATTTGAACAGAAACCATGGAGAAGCGAGCACGCGTGCGCAATGCTGCTTTTGGTTTCTTTCTGCGACGTTCCACTTTTTTTCTTATACTTTCTTCGCTGTTGCTATGACGACTTCATGTCGATCAAGACAGGAGCCAAACGATACATTTTTTATTTACAGAAATAAAAAAAAAAAAAAAAAGGTGCTGTGTCTGTTTTGCTAGACTGCCTGCCATGATCCCACGGCAGAATGTGGTTGAGGCAAGAACCGTTGGTGCTGTGATACGACTCTGGCCACACCCTGTGGTAAGTTAGACAGCACACTCTAGACCTACTGTTGCAATTAGCTGCTAACAATAAGACAAAAAAGAATTGTGCTGCAAAGTGCTCATACTTGATTTTTGGCACTTGTATTTCCTCAAAGTGTGTCCTTACTCCTGTTTCTTAATCTAGCAGCACAAAGGCGTCCATGCCTAGTGGGACTTGTGACATGTTAAATTAAGCAATCACCACTCGGATGTTCCCCGGTACACTGGTCATTCAGTTTTGCAGAATGAGCCAGCCTGCCCGTAAAAATGCCATCCACCTAAGCATTGAGCCGATGTTTTCTCTTTGTTAACGATGCACTTATGTCGTAGCAAAAATATATGACTGCAGAGGCAATGCCAATGCCAGCTATCATATCCTATTGATGACAAAACACTTTCATGCAGTCAGTCCAGGTATGGTATTCTGACATTTTCTTTCGATTGACAAAGTTTGCGATTCGATTTAGATTCTAAAACATGCAACCAGAATGTGTTGACTATTGAACATCTTCGTGAAGAAAAACTTGAGAGGTTCGGAGCAGTGACGGCCAACATCCTGTAACTCAAGGGTAAATAATGTAAGGGTCCCATGCTATCTGTACTAGCCCTTGTGCACTGTGCCAACATCCTCGCAAAATGTGCATTCCTTTTTGCTGTGAGGCAAATATAGCATTCTGCAATTGAGTTAAGCATAGAGTGTCACCTCTAAAGACTTGGAATTCTAGTTAACTAATACTTCCTATGTCACCGGAGTAACGGTCACCAACCTCCCACGTACCATGTGATGCTACGAGCAGGTCATTCGGCCTATTGGTGCTGTCTCACAAATGTGCCATGAAGATAGTTGCGTGCAGAGAGCGACAGACGTGGCCACTTTAGAGGGTCACTCTAACAAAGAAATATGCCTTTCACATTTTTCATGCAGTGAGCCAGCTCATAGAACCAGGTAGAGAAGCATGCATGAGCATGCATTTATCATGCTGAAATTTAGTATGGTGATGTATTTCCCAGTGGTGATTTCAAATATGCAATTAGTTCTCAGATAGCTTTACTAGATCCTGAGTTATCAATAATTTGTATTTTAATTAAGTCCTTATGGATCGTTAGCGTAAAATCCTTCAGAATATGTCAGAAATTTGTATAGAATTGCATTCACCAAGACGCGCTTTGTGCAGTGATGCTATTTTAATCCGGATTTAATTATATTACATTGGTAAAAAAACATTTGCAACCAAGTTGCACAAAACGGGAGGCTAAATCTTTTTGAGACTAAAATTATTGTACGACTGATAAAGCAACAAAAATAGCATCACCGCACAAAGCATGTCTTGGTGAATGCAATTCTATAAAAATTATGATATATATACTGAAGAATTTTACTAAAAAATAAAAAAAAATGTATTGATAACTCGGTATCTAGTAAAGCTATCTGAAAATGAATTGCATATTTGAAATCGCCACTATACTAAAGTTCAGCACGATAAATGAAAAATAAAATAAAAAGTTAGACACTAAAGAGACACTGACAGGGTATTTATGCTCTCCAAGGTACTAACGTGAAAGCATTAGCTGTCCCATGGAGCGAGCCGAAGTCATCAGCCGCGCCAAACGGCAGATAAACTCGTGAAGCCACGATCTGAGGCATCCATGGAGAACCTCCTTGGAGGCATCCCAGCTTTGAAGCTACCCAAAAAGCCTCGCAAAACGACGAGTAAATGAAGCCAAAGGAGGCCGCCGCGCGTCAGTTTCAATCAGCGCCACCCCATGGCGCTGCGTGCCAGAATTGGCTCTGGATCTGGAATCGGCTGGCACGGCCGATGCCAGCGAGGCGCGGCAACTTCACGAGGACGCATGCAGGAACGACATTCATGTTTTCGCATTCACAGCTGCAGCTCATAAGAAGTACTTGGGTGTACCTCGAGCCTTTTTTATTTGTATGTGACATATGAGAGCCGAAATTCGTTTTCTTTCTACCCGAAAATTGCCAATCAAGAACTGGCCAGTTTGAGTCGCACTCACTCTATTCCATTTTCTACGGACACAACCGCCAAAGATAATCAAAGTCACACGCTCAATATAAAAAATAGAAAAAGAAATATTATAGTCATTTTTTGTGGCCTGTAAAAAGCTGCAAATACGTTGATTTCATAAAAGAAGTTGCACAGCCATGTGATTCCGGTAACTGTCTCCTCCTCTTTAATTTTTCTTCTTCCCCAATCCAGTTTCGGTTTTGAGCAGTTGTGTTTTTCTTTTTTACTTTACTAAAGATATATGTGACGTTGCAAAATATTGATTGGGTAGTCTCCTGACTGGAATAGATCGCCTAGCAAAAAATAAGAAAACATTTTGTGGGGTGTCAGTGTCCCTTTAAGTCGAGTTGCAGCCGACAGTACGAGCTGATGGGACCGATTGGACGTCGTCAAAAGTGCATCATTGTGTTGTTCGTCGTATTTCTGTATGTATTCCATTGTCGCTGAACCAATTGCGAACAGAGAAGGCCCAGTGGCTACGTTTACATGGATGCGAAAGCAGCACATCGGATCCAGTTAGCGAATCGGATCCTCTTCAACCACGTTTGCATGGATTTGGATCGACCTATAGCGGCACCTCTTGTCGAAGGATCACAATGCAAACCTCGTGACCTTCAGATTGTTTCCGAGGTGTTCGGTTTGCCTAGCGGCACGCAAAGCGAAGCTCCCGTAATCCCTCGCTCGAGCACTCGATTCGTTCCGCTAGCGTATACATGGAGAGTCTCGATTCGGATTGACCATCTCAAACCACCCCGTCCCAGCGGATCGGATCGGATCCGATCTGAGTTGTTTACATGGACCGATTCGATTCGTTAGCTGGATCCGATGCGGTGCAGTCGCATCCACGTAAACGTAGCCACCGACTTATTGCGCTTTTGACGCTGCTCGATTGGTCCAATTACCTTGTAGTGTCGGCTGCGCCTGGACTTGAGCTGAAACGAAGTATTGTAGCAATATGGGAGAAGTAAAAGTAGTAATTTTGAGCATCAAAATTACGCCTTGGAGCAGGTCATTTATAACGAAAAAATTGGCAGCTGTATTTCAACCTACCAGACAAACCATAGGGTGCAGAATTGCGACGTAAGAAATGGTAGGTCTTCATGACGATGTGGTTACGTGATGTTCTGCAATGTGGTCGGGTGACATTGCAGCTTTGAGTCGTGGTGACACTGTCATCTGACCCAATGTCACGTGATGCGACACCCAACATTACTACAACATTGTTGACATCGCGCCATCATGTGATACCATGACTTCGCATCATGTGCTTTGTGACACTGTGACGTTCCATGCAAATCAACTTTAGGGGAATCTCAAATAATCTCAGGGTTTGATAAACCATAATGAGCAGACTCTCCAGAGATCTGGTGTAGGCAATCAGTTTAAGTTCATGTGTAATTTACTAGACATGTGAATATCAAAATTTTTACTCCAAACCGAATCTGCATGAATATTAAAATTTTACTGCGGATCAAGCACATATATTTTCTAATATAAACACTTTACATTGACTGTGAATTGAGTATAGGTACTTTAACCATGACTGAAAATTTTTTTAAGAAAGCATATAAAAAGGAAGTTTTATTATATAACAAACATTTCACATATATACTTGACTACTAAGAAGAAAACTGATGAGGTGAATTGGGCAAAACATTTGTAACATTGCAAACAAAGAAACGACTACCTTATTTATTTAAATATAACGTAAGGTTTTCTCTTTCGGCACTGTCTTAAAGTCGGGGGTCGAGGTACTATAACTATAGCCAAAGAAGACTGACCTGCAATACTGAGCACATTGCCGAGACCATCGAGCAAACCGAGGTGCTACGACATGTCAGCCGTTTCACTTAGCACGCTGATGCTTTATGCATCAGCGTGCTAAAGCAGTGATGCTTTACGCTAGAGCGTTGGTGCAAAGCAGTGAAGCTTGACGCGAGAAATGTGTGAATTCTGAAGACGTCCATAATTTTCTTTGAAAAACATGAACACTTCGAAAGTAATTCGCAAATTATTCAAAGTTTAGAACATTCGCGCAATGTCGAGAGGCAGAACTTTTTTTACTACAAGCGTAGGGACTTGGAGCTAATTGTCGAACATGCTTGTTGGGCAACTGGCTCGTGCTGGATATGTATGCGGAATTGCTTGGGAGCGTAGGAACCTCGCCACAGGAATAGATTGGCAATGCTGTCCCTTAGCATTGTCTATATGTCTGGTGACAACATCTACGACATGTCTAGATATCTGTCCTGTGCTACTACTGGTTGATTTGTTCTGCTCATTCGTTTCTACTGTACTATCCTGGCATGCTGCTCACAACACTGCATATATTTAATATTATCACAGATTCACTTTAGCATAAAAACATACACCATTTCTTGAGCCCGAAAAAGGCACCTGAATGTAGAGAAAATTTTCATCAGAGGCATTTGTGTGGTGGATTTTACCTTACGAGGTTTTAAGGCGCAGCTTCGTTCCTGCGGAATATTAAAAGGCCCTTAACATTCCCAATGATGGGCTTTGACGCAGGTGGTCGAGCCGCCCAAGAGTAAGAACCTATGTTGCTGCGTCATCTGCTTTTGATCGAACGCCTCTAACGCAAAAGGGTTCAACGATACAATGATTATGACAACCATGTCCTACCCACCACCATGCAAGAATTAGTATATTCAGGGCTCGCACTGGCTGCAAGAATGATTGACGTTCCATACCATACAACACAAGTAGTAAAGTGTGCAGCCACCGAATAATGAAGCATGGCTCTGTCGTCTTTCTTCCATTAAGTTTTATTTTGAAGAGTCCACTTCCTCGACATTCGGGCAGTTTCGGATTCTGAACCGGATACCCATAGTATCTTACAGACCTTCTCCAAAGCTAAGCTCTCATCCTCCGAATTAAATTCCGAGAAGCATTAAGAGTCTGAATCGAAAGAGCCAGCTCTCAATGCCAATACCTCCGGAGCAGCCGACATGCAAAGCCAAAAGCAACAACCTTCTCCTGCACATCATGTGTGCAGAGCATCCAATTTCAAAACTTGGCGCCCTTGCTCCGCGGGTTTCACATTCAAATGTGTAACTGCCCCCGTACAAGTACGGCGAAGACCATGAAAGCACAGCTTCCGACTGATGTTTCAATGACTACAAAACCAGCCACATATTTACATTAGTAGGCTTCTAGGTGGATGTTACCAACTCAAAGAGCTCTTCGGAGACGGATGTTATTGAGGCTACGCACTGTGATGCTAAAAACTTAAAAAATTACCTTTGCCATTTTGTCAGACAAAAAGTCCGTCTTTGCCACAAATAGCTGGTCGGGTGGAGGGCAGAACACCGAGCACCCATACAGTTACATTGGTGCCATCCACAAAAGCAAACTGTCCCTGCTCCTAGAACCCCCTGCCTGGTTTGACAATTTTCTCAAACAAATGTTGTTTGGATTACATAGTAGTGTATGGCAAGTAAAAAGCGACACACTTGGTACAACCAAATAATCGTGTTTTTCCTACTTTTTCTTTCCGATTTCAAAGACTGCCATAAAACCTTTAATGTAGTGGAAAATGTTACTAAATCGGGCCATTATCCTGAGGCAAAAATTGATGCTCGTCAAGCCCTTTTGACTGAAAACAAAAAGTGACTATGCCATATTTATGCTAACTGCCTTGCAGTGTACACACAATCTATTGTTTGAATGTCACAGCATCTGAAACTTTGTGTGGGGCCTGCCTAATACGTTGATAAATGTGCCTTCAATGAGCAGATAACTTTTCTGCCACTTGCCCATCTCGTTTCTTGTTTACTTTCAGACTAAACAGCACTGGGATTGTTTATGAATTCGTATTGGTTACTCCTATAGTCCAAGGAACTTGCAAAGTTTTGCTCCATCCACTTACCTCCAAGATTAGTTTACAGATACAAAATAAACGGGGGATGACGCCAACAGCGAAGAACTTTTTTATTGACCGGACCGAGCCAGTGGTGCGACTGCGGCATCCCATGACCTGTCCGAGCAAGACGGACATATTGCAATCCCATTCATCTTGTCGACACACACTGTATAAAAATGCCTTTAAAAACCAATATCATGATGATGATGATAGCCAGTGTCCGACGTGGTGCCCGCACAGGCAGCTGCCATTTAAATCACAGCCTGCTCTGCTCGGGTCAGAGGATGATTGAAATGGCACACACTCCTCTCCCTCGGGCAGAGTTGCTTCAGAAAGGTCTGCAAGGATCCATGCCATGGCATACTGTGATCTGTGAGCCTCTACATTCTGACCAGCCTGTTCTGTTGGAGAAGATTGAAATTAGTTTTTTTCAGAAAGGTCCATAAAGAACCCCCCCTACGGCTCGTCATTTGTGAGCCTCAATGACTTTCTGCCCGACTGTCCGGCGGCTGTCGTCGTCTCTGAGGGCTTGACTTGAAATCACAGCCTGTTCTGCTGGGGAGATTGAAATGGCTTCCCTCCTCTCTGGCGTAGTTTCTTTCAGAAAGGTCCCCAAAGATTCCTGCAACGGCTTGTCATTTGTGAGCCTCTATGACTTTCTGGCCGTTAGTCCGCTGGCCGTCGTCGCCTGCTGAGGGCTTCACGAAGGGCTTCCTGAAGCGCACGAAGGTGGAGTCGTGCGACCGCAGCAGAGGCTCCGGGGGATCCGTGTCTCGGTCGTAGACAGTCGAGATGAATGCCCGGTCGCCCCCTCGCCGCCTCTTGCGCTTCCCCACGTGGCGCACCAGGGCCTCTCCGTGGAAGCTGCGACACACGGTGCAAGTTCCTCATCAAACCGAGTTTCTAGAACGCAGGGATTTCCCAGAGTACCCACGTCCCTAAGCAAGGTGTTTTGTTTTTGTCCTATTTCGGTAGGTCTGACCCACCCATTGACGACAAATATGAGCCACGCGTTCCTTAGTATGTGCAGTATTGTTTACATCGACCGAAGGCTTATTTACCGCTTTTCTGCGTCGACACCGAGATCGGGATGGGCTCCTCGGGCAGTCATAGAGCGGCACTAAACCACTTTCTGCGGCGGTCTAGTTATGGCAGTAAGTCAGCCTATGAACTCTAAGCGTCTTAAAAAAAAATGAGCATTCCTCGCCCGATGGTGCCCTCCAGTGTCTGCGACAGTTCCGAGGTAATTAATCTTTGATACCACTTTTAATAGAGAAGTCGGCCATGCACGAATGTAATTTTGCTTTTTTTAGGATGATTAGAGCCCCTAGATTGAGTTTTGACCATAAACATTTGCGGTTCCCCGATTTCTGCCCCACGACATCGCACTCTGCCAAGCTGTTGCCTGCCGCGATCGTGACGGTGGCATGGCGATGGAAATGGAAGCGGTGAACGCCTGTTCTGCCATAGGTCGCTCTCCACCCTGACGGTTTGTGGAAGCTTCGGCAGTTGGAAGTAAGGATGCTCCGACGATTGCGACACCTGCGTTTGTTCGTCTTTCGTTTTTTTGTTGGAAATCCTACGGCCAGTTGCCGGGACTGCGACATCTGAGGGCGTGGCACGTCGGCTCCTGTGACGTCACTTGTCGCCAGTTCAAGACCACTTTTGACGCGTGAGTGGTGTCAGATGCTAAACGCGCTGGCCGAAGGTTGGTTCCGGGCGCCGTGCCTCGACACGCACGGGTACGACAGAGATGCTCTGAGGAACTGCTGTGTGGTTCCTCAGAGCATCTCAAACTCAGCCATATTCTGTGCGAGTGAATCGTGGAATTGTCGTGAGATCTGCTCCATCGTAGCAAGTGTTTACTGCCTTGTGTCATCATATGGCCTCTTCTGTCAGTCATGCGGAGACATCAACCGCACGCTCATTTTCCCTGCCTACCGAAGGTAGTGGATATAATGTCCTTGGTACGGTCAAATGCACTCTTAACGAATCCAGGAACGGAAAAAAATTGCGCGTAATAAATTATCCTTTTTCACACACTCCTGCTGTTATACTTTCAACGTAATTTCGACCCACTTTTAACGAACGAATATGACGTGGCGCCGCATATATGACAAGAACTAAATTCCCACAGCTGAAAAATTTTGCCAACGCATCAGTTTATTATGTTTCTTTTTTGTTTTTTTAACCTTTGGCCAGCGCTCTGCTCTGGTCTTGAACATATTTAGGGATGTGATGTGACCAAAACCACAGCTGTTTTGGTCACCCTCGGTGCACCTGAGTGCAGTGTTGTACACCTTCCTCAAAAAAAGAAACGAAAGTTCGCTCCTCGTTCCTTTTGATTTTTGGAACGCATTCCCGTTACAAGTTCCATCTGTGAAAAAGGAACTCATTCCCATTACAGTTAAAAAATATGGAACGTATAGTTACATATATGTTACATTTCTATTTTGCTGATTACCATATTGAATTAGATCGATCTAAGTTTTTTTGTTTTTTTTCTATCTTATTAAATGGGAACGAAATTCTATGTCGTGATGGAAGGGCACCAGGAGATGAAAACAAGCGGAAGTGGGTTTCATTTGTTGACATATTTAAGTTTAAAAATCTCAACTTTTAACCATATTCACATTTGTGGTGGATGATTCAAACGAGCCAAATGTACTGTTGCCCCACATTGCACAAGCGTTTTACAACAATCTCACATGTTTCAATCCAACAAAGTCCCTTGTCCGAACTTAACAACAGTTGCTTCTCGATGTTTGTGTCCGCAAGACGGGCAAGTGAAGAAGAGGGTAGGGTTTTGGAAGGCCAGTCTTGAAAACTACAAGTCCTTCTTCGTGAAGGTTGGATTCGTTGCTCAGTTTAAAGGGGTAGGGAAACGAAATTTCAGCGCTCATTTTCTGGCTTTAATGTGTTGCATGTTGCACCCTAACCTCAAAAACACCAGTCTTCCGTTGAAAAGCACAAGAAAACTAATTTTAAAGCTAAATAAACGATCTTCAATGTGCACCTGGTGGATGCATGCGGAGCCTATTTGGGAAGTAGTCTAGCAACGTTGTGGAAACTGCTACGTAGTCGTGACGTAGCAGTTTCCTTCAGAGCAGTGCCGCTCTTTGGTATTTCAACATTTTCCTTCTTAGCTTTCCTCCTCAACTCACAAGTCGCGCATTGTACCAAACGGTTCAAGAAGACGGAAAGGAAGGACTCCCCTATTTCTCGGACCCTCGTTCGTGCAACCGGACATAGCCATTCTCCCCCTAGAAGATTAGCACGTCGCTCAAAACTCGAACAAAAGTTGCTTTCCCCACCTCGTTCAGCCCTAAGCTGACAGTGTTGTGGAAGCTACGTGCTCCTTGGGCCAGCCACACGCTCGTCACCCCACGGGCACTTCGAGCGGCTCAGTTGTAACGCGCTGACGCTATTGACACCATCACAACGCTGACAACGCCACCAAGGGCAAAGCTCATAACCACGCCTGCCTTGCTACTCCACGAACGCGGGAAATCTTTTCTTTCTGTTCTTGTTTGCGCCGGATATCCCATGACGCATCGCGCTCTCCGTTCACTTCCCTTCGAGCGCTTGCTCGAGTGCACCTTTTGGAACGAAAAATATGGCCAATCGTTCAAAATACAAACGCGCGATTATCATTTACGGTTATTATCCGTCATGCTTGACTCATTTCCGAACGAAATCTGAATATTTCAATTTTTGTTTCCGTACCCCTTCAAAGGTGGGGGACAAGGGTAGAAGAAATAGAGATTAATTTTTTTGTACATTTTAAGTGACCAATGTTCGGGGTGCAAGGGTGTGTTCAATGTTTTTTTAACCTGTTCTTTTGTTGTGACTCTAGGTTCAGTATGGAAGTTCAGAAATGGCTGCAGTTAGCCTTAGATTTCTGGGTGTATGAGGATTTTGGAAGCAAAGAAAGTAGCTGAGTTTGAAACGTCCCTCTTTATATGTCTTTTCCTTCGACTAAAAGTTTTGCTTTTTGTACCGCAGTCTCGGGCACTGAAAAAAGAATCAATGTCCACTAGCTCTCCCGCACCCGACTGTTACCAAGCGAGGACCACACAAAATAATCCCCAAGATAAGTTGCCGCAAAATTATTGAGATCCTGCTCTTCGTAAAGATATTGTTTTTATACTTTTAGAATTTCCCCTATTAGAAATAAAATAAAAATGACCCCACTGGACAAAAAAAAAAAAAAAAAGAATGCCGTTACTCTTTTTGTTTTAGTAAAAAAGTAACGAGTTCTTGTTCGAGTTCCACTGATAAAAAGGGATTGGTAGCGTTCCTTCGTTCCTCCTAAAAGGAACGCGTTCCGGAAACGCCGTTCTGTGCAACACTGCCCGAGGGTGACCAAAACAGCTGCGGTTTTGACCATTGTTTGCTGGTCCCTCACACTTCTGCCTTCACCACTAATGGCATCATGTCGCCTCCAGAAGCTTCCTACCTCCATGGTTTTTCCAGACTAACCACTGTTTCAGCAAACCCCCAGCTATCCGCCGATGCATATCTACCAGCCAAACACTGCCTACTGTATGCGTAATTGTTTACGAGGTCTGTAGACTTTTGCACCGCTTCATCACATCCATGTCAAGACAAGGGTTCCAATTTGGTCGCAGCGAGATCGAATGTGTGTCTCGCGGAGTGGGCGAAGATGGTGCTAGAGGATAGTTCATCTGCTAACTTGAACGGAGAGCGTGGTTCGTCAGCTACAAAGCGCCATTCGCGGACGAAAATAATACGAGAAAACGCCATACGTTGTCTGCCAACGGATTGGAAAAAAAGTCGATCGTCCGCTACAAGGCAGCCTCGGCGGAGTTAGATTGGATGCGGGCTGAAATTGTGATCGTCCGCTATTTTGCGTTTGAAGCCACTAACAACTCGTGCTTTGTTTACAAATCTAAAGTTGTTCTGCTGCCGTACATATCTTGGCAACGTCAGGTGGGTGAAGGAGTACTAAGGACAATCGCATCAGAGGCCGTGATACCTTTCTCGCTATTTGTGCATTGATGAGACATTGTCATCAACCTTTTCCCCTATTCTGAGCTTGCGAATGGGTTAAACACACAAGCTGCAGTGCCATGTCCAATCGGCAGCTGACAACTTTCTCGCTCTCACCTTGACCACTGGAAGTCGAGATAACCTAGGAAGGGCTCCCTCGACTTCCAGTCAAGCCAGATAGGTATTCCTCGAGATCAAAATGTTCGGAAACCCCCGCCCTAAGCTGAAGTCAAGGCGTGGGCACGGCCACTGCCTGGGACACTCACCCAAGTCCCGACCGGTCCCAGGGATGCCTCTTGCTGTCCTCGATGGGTTCTGCGATGCCTCCCCGGCCCACTCCCTGGCCCTGGCACCAGCCCTGGCCCTCCAGGATGCGACTGCCAAAGCCCTGCACGTGGGCGGCCAGGCTTTGAAAAGGACAGCTTCCGGAGTGCTCGTTGGACTTGGAGTGTCGCAACCACCGCTCATGCAGTCATACCTCAGCAAGACTCACTCGCGAGCGCACTCACACAACCTGCTTACCCAATAACAGCCTCAGATGTGAAATGAGGGTGAGTGACTTACTAAGCCCCAAAAATTCTTGAGTTTCGTTTTGAGAGAGGGGTGTGAAACTGACGAGTTTGGTAGCTTCGTGAGCGAGGAATCAAGGACGAGCGAGGGAATGAAGCTGAGGGTGAGTGCACTTTGAATTTGTATCTACATGCGAGTTTCGAGGCGAGAAAACGTCTATTTTGATTTTGAGCTGATTACGAGTTTGACCGCGTTCAGCCTAAAATGCCGACCTCTACCCATAATGCATCCATGCAGTGTTGGAAGGCTTCTTCATTCTCCAGCAATTGCAGATGAAAAGCAATTATGGTTCCTAGCTTTTGGCATACTGACGCTGCTGTATTTTGGTGGGCAAACCTAGTCTCATAAGCAGCATTGGCATAATTTGAAAGGCCCCAAATTTTTCAAGGTGGCTAAAACCGACGATCAGTTTTATGCTGTGTCCTTGCATACCTGGCAATGAAATGGCAGAATTGTGTTCTTGCAGTAGAGCCATGCCAGCAAAGAAACAAAGTTTCAGAGTGTACCTTACACCCCAAAAGTATTTGAAGAAATGAAAAGAAGATCAATCCGACCAGTTTCAGAGCTTTTCCCACTAAGTCACTTTTGAGCATGCTATTCTGAAAGTAGATTGGCAAAAATACATTTTCTATACTTTTGCTAGCAAAAGCTTCGAGCATGTTTAGCCACCACAGGTAAAGCAAAAGCAATCGGCTGAAAGAACAGGGAAGCATAGGGTGGGACCCACAAACTGTAACTAATAATTTTAGAGCGCAGCTCTTAGGTGCTCGTTCCCGTGTTTCGCGGCGTCGCTGTCGGCGTAACCACATACCTTGGATTATGGGACGTCACAGACCTATTCCCCACCAAATTTAGCGAAGAAACAGAATTGGTGTGTAGCACTGTGACGTCCCATAATGCAACAATGCGCATTCCATTTCCCCGCCAAATTTAGTGGTAAAACTGGCGTCACATGACCTCAACACCAATTCAGTTTCCCGCTAAATCTAGCAGGGAATTGAATTGGAGTTGAGGTCGTGTGACATTAATTTTCCCACTAAATCTAGCAGAGAAACTGAATTTGTTGATAGGTGACGTGACACGAGGTCATGTGACAGTTTTCCTTGCTAAATTTAGTGGGGAAATTGAATTGGTGTTGAGGTCACATGGCATCAATTTTCGAGCTAAATTTAGCGGAGAAACTGTGGGAAGGGGGAGGTTATGGAGGAGGAGGTTGAGGGGAGGGAAAAGGAGGAGGGTAGAAGGAGTGGAGGGTTCTCCGTACCCTCCCCTCCTCCTCCTTCATAACCTCCCCTTCTCCTCCATACCCTCCCTTCCTCCTTCGTACCCTCCCCTCCTCTTCTCCTGTACCCTCCCCTACTCCTCCTGTATACCCTCCCGTCACGGTATATCGCAAAATCGAAATACCACAAGAGCTGTGCTCTAATTTTGCATTACAGAGATTTGTAAACTCCTTTCAATTTTTTTTTTAACTCTTCACTGAATGTGGTTTCAATATCATCCGATTTCTGCTTTAAAGAGGTACTCCGGCGATTTCTTCATGGTCCCCAATTTGCTTGAAATTCTGCTAAACTCGCCAAACAACATCGCTAAAATTGTATCCCAAATATTAGGTTAGAATATTTTTTTTCACAAAGTTATTGAATTTACATTTTTGGTCCTCACCATGTTTTTCAAACCGAGTCTCTACTGGCAACAACGAAAAAGTGACGTCAGTGGAAGTGCAGGGCTTCACTCTTTGGACTGTAGAATTTGTTCCCAACTGATCTGAAGCAGTTTCATGGTGTCAAATGAATGCTTTGGAAGCTCGCTCCAGGACCCGCGCTCTAGCACGGAACAAATGATTGGCATATTTTATCTTTAAGACTGCTCGCTCGACTGGCAAGCCTGCCCGCCACTGACGTCACGGCACTGAAAAGTGCGGGTATATTTTAATGTTGGTTTTTGCATCATTTTCATTTGCCGATTTCGCAATAACTATTATGAATTTCGCGATACTAAATAGCATACCGGAAAGTGTAAAGGCCGGGGAGTCAAAAAATATAGTTAGTTGAGGTAGCTCAAAAAATCGCCGGAGTACCCCTTTAAAGGGGCCCTGCAACAACTTTTTGACTGGTTTTTAATTTGCACCGAACCTGAGCGCACTGAACGTAGTAACTTAAAGAAACTTTTCTTTTCTCAAATTTCGCTTTATTTTAAAAGTTATAGGCAAATTAGAATTACAAAAACAAGCAAAAAATAACCTCCTTCATGACGTCGTAGGTCCTGGCTTAAGTGGCCGTGAACTAGAGGAGGAGTAGTGAGCTCGTTGAGTGCTCACGGCTGCCGCACTCCGTGTCGACGGCTCTAGAGGGCGCCACTAAAGCATGTGTTGGATATGCTGTATGAAGCGGGCGGCCAGGGCGGCTTGCATTGCTTTTGCTTCGCGATTAATGACTAATTCGGCATAACACTTTATTGGCCACAAACGACAGCAAACACGGGGTAAAGATCAGTTCAGAACGGGAGCCACTTCGCACTGCCATACCGCCAAATGGCCAAATCGCCAGCCAAGCCCGCACCGAAAGCCTTCGAAACGCTCGGAACCGGTCGGATCCTCGAGCCGGTATACGACCGCAGCACCGCCGCGTACATCCAGAGACCTTTCTACGCTTGCCGTTCGTTGGCGCCTCATCCCATTAGCCCTCTCTATCTCAAGTAAGCGCCGTTTTTTCCGCCGCTTGGTGGCGGGTTTGTCAACGGGTCTTTTCTTGTTTCCGTACTTTATAAACTGTATTTGTTTCTTTTCTGTGATCTAAAGTAGTGAACAAAAACTACTTTCATACATAATTGAAACAGTTCGCGACACTTATATTTTGTGTTTCGACTAAAAAAAAAGCTTTTAGCTGCTCTGACCAGTAGTAAGCCCAAGACCACAGACGTCACATATTGCGCTCTTTCGGCAACGCGGGTCACCCTCGTCGGTGGAGCAGGTTTCCGCGTCGTCCGGTTAAAATATGACTCACTGATATTTAGTTACTCTCTCCATGCCCGCTGGCTCGCCCGAACCCCAAGAGACGTGGAAACCGCAAAAAAGGCAGACGCTTAAATATGATTGCAGGGCCCCTTTAAGCATCCCTCCTAGGATGAATGGCGGAAGGCACGCCGAGAAGTGTCTCATGCGGCCTTCATTCAGTTCTCTTTGTACATCAGCTTAAAAATAACCTAAGAATAAACACATTAACAAACAAAAAAAAAAAATGATTTTTTCTTTTTTTAGATTAGACATATGAGAGACTTTTTTACAGCCACTATGACACAGTTCTTTCTGGCCGAAGTCGCCTACGGGAATAAAAGGATGAAAATACACCGTGGTGCATCCTTAATCTTTTCACCTGCGTTTCCCATGCTGGACTCCCCAAGTTAAGACTCAATAGAGGCCTTGAACTGGCCGGAAAAAAAACAACCTCAAAGTATCCTTCACATGGCCAATTGCCCCTCTATCCAGGTTAAAAAAAGGGTCCAATGACTGACCAGACCTTCCCAGTGCCAGCTTTCCTCCTGCCCCCTCTTCCCTCCTTGCAAAACAAGCGAAGAAACGGGCTTTGATGCATCTAAAAAAAGTTTGGTTCAAATCCCAAACTACCCTGCTCGCTGAAAGTTTTAGACATGAGCGCAACTCTAAAAGAGGCGTTTTCTAAACTGCCACACGTCGCACTCACTTGCTTCTCCTTTTGTACGAGCGGTAGAACAAGAACCAGCAGCATTGTTTCGTGTACGCATTATACCATGAGTGCATTTTTGATGGACATGACCCACAGTTTGTTCCAAGGGCCAGGGATTGATACCGCCCACCCCGTAAAAGGCTTTTTAAAATGTGAACACTTGCCTTGGTGTACCGCTCAAAGGAAGCCAGCCGGTTCTCATCGTCCATGGGTTCCTCTGTCTCTCGAAGCCTCCGGTTGTGCAGCATCGACACATAGTCTCGAGCGTCCTTGTCCCCAGCACCTGCACGAGAGACGCCTCCGTTTAAATCAACCTTTTACGACCCTTAATGCGTCGGCAGCACCACCACTAGAAAATATCTGACACGGCTTCCAACCCCCTCCACTGTACCGCTCCTCTGGGAAGATCCACAGCTTAGTGTATCTCATAATGCTGGTCCTCACCGCAGAGCCACCACGAAGTGACCCAGTGTTGCGCTTGACTTCAGTCAATTTGGAGCAGCCAGAAATTCATCTTGGAGCAGCACAAGACAGAAGCTCTCATAAGAAAGGATTCATTCTCGCGTCTTTCACCACTGTGTAACCCTTCGAGGGCATCACTAATATGCCCTGTGGTTTGGGTCTCTTACTCCACAATCCACGATTAGTTATGCTTGCAGCACGAGCAGCAACAACATTATGATCAGCTTCATTGTTGCAGTTACTTTCAATGTGCACACTGAGTGCCACAATATTGCTATCAGTCAATAGTTGTTTCAGGGTTTGAATTGAAATATGCTTCCTTGGAATGATTCCAAGTAAAAATAGTTTGATTACTGAATCTAACATTTCCCACAAGCTCTGCAGCCCACATAAAAAGATACATGATTACTTAGGGTCAACAGGGAACTCTACTAATATGAGCATTTTCAGGGTGTGACCGACGAAACATTTATGCGGGTTTAAAGTCTTTTACAAAAACACAACTTACAATTTCCCATAAGCAGGACGCGTGCACAATAGCTCGTAAATTTTTGGATTTTGGGAAGTAAGCGAATCACTTTCAAGCTATAAAAGGACAAAGTTAGAAACTGCTTCAGTGTGTAGCTCACGTCATCCGCTAGTTATCATTTTTTGACAAAAAGCAGATACCCCCAGCTCTGTGCTTTAAAATGTGGGGAAACGGACATCGCTTTGCCAGCGACTCGGTGAAGCTACCGTAAACGTGCCAAGCATGCTTCGACAGCTGCAGTACCACAGAAGGAAATAAAACGAGCAATTTTTCGGGACATGGAAATGCAACCATCCTCGTACATTTTGTAAGACAAGCCGTCACCCGAAAGCAAAAAGCAGGCTAGCTGATGACAACGATGGCACCTTTTAACGCGATATGCGTCTCCTCACAAATGACAGCGTGAAGGGGCCCTTCTCCGAAATGGAGTTCATAAGCTTAGGTGGTCCAATAATGTTAGGGGAAACTTTCTGCAACAATAAATCTAAGGTGCCTGCAATGGGTTTCCAACTGGAGTGTTTGCTGCATCCTCGTTCAACATGATTTTCATCCGATGACACCAAACTTGTGTCTTGCTCTTGCCTGCCGTGATACTGAGAGCGGCACAGCTATGGAGATGGATGATGCGGCGGGCGCCTGTTGCGCTCCGGCTTGACAGTCTACGAAAACTTTGGCAGCTGGAAGTTGGGACTCCGCAACGACAGTGGCACTCACTCTCGCTCGTCCTTTTTGCCGGAAATCCTACGACCAGTCGGCAGGATCGCGACATCCGATGGCATGACGCCACTACTGCAGTGACACGATTTGTTGCCACTTTGGAACCGCTCTCGACGCACGGGCGGCATAGGATGCTAAACACACCGGTCAAAGATGCGTTCCGGGCGGCGTACGTTTCCACAACGTAACTGATCCTGAAATGTCAGTGGCAGGCGGTAAAGACAAGAGCGGAACACAGCAAATCATAAGCACTGACATTGCTGGTCCCGAGAAAAAGAATGAGACAGTAACAGAAAGGTAACAAAGCAATGCAGACAGTAGGTTAGGGGTGTTTCTTTTGCCGCAACACGTTGAAGCTGTCCGAGCGCTCGACAACTTTATTTAATTTTTATACAATGCGCGACGCCGGTGTTTTTGCACGACATAAAGCTAGAAAACCACTAGCTACAGACCTTGCAAGTGACGTCTTTTTGCTCCTTTGTGCATATCAAAGCATCGCCAGCAATACGGTCCCGTCGAGACCACCGAAGTCCGCATCCATGCCCTGCCGTTTTCAAGCGGCCCAAAAGCGTGGGACATTTCTCTCTGGATTATCATACTAACTGAATGGTTAGTGGTGAACCTCTGTGACGGTGAAAGCGTGGCCCTCACCTTGGCGGTAGTAGACGCTGGTGTCAAGGTCCCAGTCGTCTGCGGTCTGTGCATCGAAGTCCCCCTCGACCTGGTCCCAGAACTGGGCGTCCGTGTAGAAGACCAGTCCCGAGCCGCCCTTCTCCCACTGCACCTCCAGCTCTTCCTCGAAGAGCCGCTCCCGCGTGCGCTCCTGGGAGGTCACGTCCTCATGGAGTGCCTCGTGCCGCTCCCACTCCTCGCCCTCCTCGTCCTGAAAGCAAAGGGACAGACGACGAGCTCGTGACGCATGCACACAGAGTTTACGTCTATGTCACCGATCATCGCCTTCGCATACATGCCTCGTTCCAGTTTTAAAGGAACACTGAACTCAGAAAAGTTTTTATTTTTAAAGTGCCCCAATGCTCAACATATGTCACCCACACCAAAATTTCTTTTTTTAGCAATACAGTGATGTTTTGCTAATATTCTCCCAAAAAAAATTGTCCATATTGTGAGTTTTTCATAATAACTAGATAAAAATCCTCGCATTTACCCACTTCGTGCTCGAAGATGTTGTCTATATAGTGGGGTATGCATATCCATACTCAAAACACTCGTTTTGAGTATCGCGACATGCTTCTGCTTTAGGACAATGTGCCGAAATAAAGTATGTCTTGGAATCCCACCTGTCTCAAAATGGGTCTCGCAACATGAATTATGCACTAAAATTAGTATTATTATTTTATTTTCCGGGGAAAATTATTTTTCTGACATACTTCTGCAGTCCAAATCTCTAGGAGCAATTCATAACATGCTTCCATTGCCAAAATATCAGGATTGCACGTAACTCGAAAACCGTCTCGCAACGTAAATGCTGCACTAAAAAACTTTCTTTTTTTTCTTTTCGGGAAAGGTCAGTTTATGAAATATGTGTCCCATCCTAGTACCTAAAAAAAAAAAAAGATTCTTGAGAGTTCAGTGTTTCTTTAAAAAAAATACCTGAAAAGAAAAAATTTTTTTTTAATGTTTGGTCGGGATACATGTGTTAAGAAATAAAAATATGCAAAAAATAATCTTTCTAGAGGAATATTGACGGCGAGAGATCTATTTGAAATTCTGCGCACAAAAACCATGAAGTCACGGAATGGTCATTCACCCTTGCGACATCAACGAAATTGTTGTTCGCTCTTTCCACCTCAACGTGAAAGCGAAGCTGATCCACCTCTCCTCCCCGTGCCCAATATGCCAATAGAGAAAACAAGTGGAAACGAGGTAACTACCGACTAAATTGCGTCTCGTGCCGTCAATATTGCTCTAAAAAATTTTATTTTTGCGTAAAATTCATTTTTTGACAGTCAAGTCCCAACCATTGTTTAAAAAAAAAATTTTTTTTCTTTTCAGGGGTTTTTAAGACAAGTTCACACACACAGCGCAGCGCTGACTCGGCACCAAACTTGGTACCCATTTAGTGGTGCGTTTCCTCCCTCTCACTTTTAGGTTCCTCACATACCCATGCAGTACTGCAAGTTGTGAGCAGGACGGTGAGTTGGACTTGTTGGTAAGGAATAGACATGGTTAAAATCAGCGAAAAAAGGTAGGAAACTGTAGAAGAATGCAGGTGACAAGACAGATGCTGATCTCAGCGTCTGTCCTGTCTCCCGTATACTTCTACAGTTTTTAACCTTTTTTCACTGATTTTAACCCTGCAAGTTTTGAGGTTTCCTCACAACTTGCAATACGGCAAAGTGCCTCGTTGCAGCGACATCCACTTCACGAAGTCCCACACTTGCAATCTAAGCGCTCTTGGGGCCAAGTCCGATTCCGCCCGCTTACGAGCCGGGAAGTGGATAAGTCGCAGACAGCCGGTACGCCGGCAGTGTCCCCTCGCTGGTTGTCACCAATTGTGCAGCAGTTTCTTTCCCAAAACAAATGTCGTACGTCAAAGAAGCTGTTCTCGTGAAAGGCAGTTTTAGTAGATAGACAATAGCAAAGCAACCAAGCCTCATGGCGAATTCATACACTCGTGTTTGATTGCAGCCGAGTGCATTGTGCAGTCTCGTGACCTCTTGCGATGAGAGCATACACTTGCGCCGTCTGTCGAGTAGCCACAAAACAATATCCGTATATATATATATATATTAATTTTTTTTTGTGCATCATTTTCAGTTTTTATTTATTTATTTACTGATACTGCTAGCCTCTTCAAGGCTGTAGCAGGAGCAATACAAATGAGAAAAAAAAAAAAAAAAAAGGAAAATGTCGTTGCACAAAAAAAAATCTCGGCACCACACTGCTCAACTGCAATGTGTGCAAAATATTCTCAATGAGCTCAAAAAACTTTTGACGATGTCCACTTCTCATAAATGACGGGCACATTTTATCTTGCAAACACTGTAAAAACTTTGCTCGAATGAAATGTAGTCCCACATCCAGCTCATAGACGGCCCCAGTGTGTTCTCCAGTCGTAAGAGATCACGAGACAGCATGAGGCTGCAACCAAACGCGAGCATGAGAACTAGCCCTCAGCCGGCATGAGAATTTGTTCGCCGTGCCACCCAGTGAACCGCACGCGGTCGCACAACAGTGGTTAACCAACGAGGGGATGGTGCCGTCATACTTTCCCGCGCTGGACCGACGGCTGCCAGCAGACTATACCAATGAGTACGATGATGCTGGCACAACATCACCCGCAAACATATGCCAGTGGTCCACTCGTGGGAGAGTGGCCAGCCAAGGGTGCCGCCGGACCCATCAGCCATGTGCGCGAACAAAAGCGTCGCTGCAGTCGGCCCTCCGAGATTGGCCAAATGATGGGTGCAAGAGCACTGTTGGATGGTCAACTGTGACAGTGCTGGTTTAAGAACGCGATGGGCTCCTAGCTTCCACCGTGTCCTTTACACACACCGTCAAACTTGTCGGAGCAACAGACGATAAGTGGGCAGGGTCACACATCGTGACATCACGGCGAGGCAAATCCTGGTCATGATGTCACGAAAGAAAACTATAAGAGGGCACCACTGAAACATCTCGGCGCTAAACACGCGCCTCTTGTCGCACTAATGACTGTAGCTAATAAATGACACCAGGGGTGGACGCAGGTATTTCCAGAGAGAAAGGGGGGGGGGGGGGGGGGGGGGTCAGCGTATCAGATGTTTCAGAACCCCTCCCCCTCCTTTTTGTTAACCCGCCATAAATTTTTACACATGCAGAATTCAAGAGGAGGGCGAGAACATCCGATCCCCCCCCCCCCCCCTCCCCTCTTAATCCGCCACTGAATGACACCCCCGGACGACGACCCGGGAGTAGCCAGAACGGCGCCACCGACCGAGTCGTTGAATGCAAGAGGGTCTTACGCTCTCGTTGTCGTCGGGGTCGTCTGCCTCCTCGTCTTCGCGTCTGGTGTCTTCTGCGGGGCGCTCTCGCGACGCCGCCGTATCCCCGCCACCTCGAGGCGCGGGAGCGCCGCGCCTCGAGATGACAGTACCCGAGGCCGTCCGCACAAAGTCCTCTTCGACGGCGGCACCCCACTCCGCCCGCGTGCCGTAGTCGAAAGGCACGCTGCCGTAGAGGCCCCGCGCCCTCGATCGAGGGAACTCTAGCCCCAGCTTCTTGATGAGGCGCGGCGGCAGGCGGCAGGACTGAATAAGGCCCAGGAAGTGCTTGGTCGGCGTGCCCACGTTGCCCCTGGGCATCGTCGGCGGCGGACGCAGCTCGATCATGTCCTTCAGGTCGGACGCCGAGATCGCCTGCCGGTCTTCCCGGGGCGCGCTCCGCTCACCGCGGGTCACGTAGCGCGGCTGGGAAGCGTCCGACGCGGCCGTCACGACCCGCACTCGCCGTACGAAGCACTTCGTCGGCAGAGTCTGGCCGTCCCGGCCGACCCAGTGCTTGCGGTCGTACATACGGAGGCACTGGTCGACGCGGTCTTCCTCGACACGAGCGATGCAGCAGCAGGTCGTGCCCGTGCGGGTGGAGGCATCGGCTGCGTCGTCCATCACCGACGGGTCAGATCCCTTCTTGAGTTGAACCTCCGGCCGGTGGCGGAAATGGAAGCAGTCAAATCCTGATGTCTCGATAAATTCGGAGAAGAAATTCCGAAGGTCGGCGGAGCGGTAAGATTTGGGAATGTTGTTCACGATCACGTAAACGACGTTTCTTTGCGTCACGGACTTGCTGCGACCGTCCATCTTTGCTGAATTGGATTGGATTGGATCAGATTCAATCATGCTCACAAAGGCTTGGGTTGTAAATAGGTTTCCGTGTTTTCGGAGTTTATTTTTCAAAGTATTAATAAGCAATTCTTCACTAAAAAAGCATCAGACGCAGAAAAAATTGTGAGCAGTAGCATAGCCTGCTCTTTTTCAATTTTAAGTCAGGCCCCGCTCGGCGAGTGCGGCTATGGCTACCTCGTTGGGCTATGGAGTGTGGCAACCGGACGTCCATCTTGCACGCTGCGAAATTGCGTTTTGCTAGCGTTGTAGAGGCTGGCGGCAGTGCTAAAGACATGTTTTGTACTCGTTTGTCGTCATTCGACGGATCAGCTTTTGTTTTTAATCCTATCTAAGCGGTGAGACTTGATGTTGAGAATACACACACAAAAAAAAAAAGGTATACGAAAGCGCAGTGCCGCAAAAAAAAAAAAAGCGCGTCTTTGTGCCTTCACACGCTTGAATACCGCCGATCAAGAATCGGCACCGCGGCAAAGTTCTGAAGGTGTGTCACGCGTGGACATGTCTTTGCATCAAATATCGGCCACGGAGTTTTGGATCGTCCAGCTGTTCCGGCGAGCTGTCAATAAAGGGGGGGGAGGATCTGTACGTACGGTTGCTCTGGTGGGTATAACAATTAACTTATACCCAACAGCTCCTATGCAATATTCACCATGGATGCATGTTCCAAATCTACTCGAATGAATCACATCTCAATTAAAAACTCCCATTAGGATCCAATTGGAATTTTCCCATTGGTACCAGTTAGGTTTCCGGACAACCAATTGGTCACTGTCAATGGGAACAATGGAAAAATTATTCGAATTGGTGAGACCCGTTGGCCAGTGTGCTTCCAGTTGGAACCCACTAAAACCAATTGATTCCATTTTAGCTGGCATACGTAGCAGCACAGATAGAGCTTAACGCTGTAGCAAGGAGTGATTTCAAAGGTAAAAGTACAAGATGGCGGGAATGAAAATCTTTGCAGCGCGTGTATCTGTTGACCAATCACAATCAGGCGAGCCGCGCTCAAACGTCAAGTGCAATTAATCAGGTTCATAATGAACAGCACATCAGTGATCGAGGAGGTGTTGTGTGCGGTATTACGTAAACCGTCCAACGACAGAAAAAAAAAGAAAACGTTGAATCAGCTGCGCAGAACTGAATATGAAAACAAAGCTGCATCCATGCAGTTTGTTTTTCTCCTTTTACAACAAATGTAGCCTTATGGACAATAAATAAATAAATAATATTTATTTTTATTATTCCTACTGCTACTAATATTATTATTATTATTATTGACCTTAATATGTTTATATGAAAAAAATGAAAGCCGTTTACAACTCCCTGTAACACTGAATTAGAGCGCAGCTCTTGAGGAGGAGGAGCCAAGGCCACAAAGGTCACATCACCGCCCCTGAGGTCACGTGGCCCCCAAGGTCACGTGACCACCTCCCCAGAATCACGTGGGGGTCACGTGATTTCGGGGAGGGGGGTCACGTGACCTGGGGGTGTCACGTGACCTCGGGGGTCATGTGACCTGGGTGTGTCACGTGATCTCGGGGGTCACATGACCCCCAGGTCACATGGCCCCCCGAAAGAAATTTTTCCGCTAGATTTAGTGGAGGAAATTTTTCCGCTAGATTTATGGTGAAATTTTTCCGCTAGATTTAGCGGGGAAATTTTTCCGCTAGATTTAGCAGGAAAATATTTCCGCTAGATTTAGTGTGAAATTTTTCCACTAGATTTAGCGGGAAAATATTTCCTCTAGATTTAGCAGGGAAATTTTTCTGCCAGATTTAGTGGGGAAATTTTCCCGCTAGATATTTAGCGGGGAAATTTTTCCGCTAGGTTTAGCGGGGAAATTTTTCCGCTAGATTTAGCGGGAAAATTTTTCCGATATATTTAGCGGGGAAATTTTTCCGCTAGATTTAGCGGGGAAATTTTTCCGCTAGATTTAGCGGGGAATTTTTTTCCGCTAGATTCAGCGGGGAAATTTTTCCGCTAGATTTACCGGGGAAATTTTTCCGCTAAATTTAGCGTTGAAATTTTTCCACTAGATTTAGCGGGGACATTTTTCCGCTAGATTTAGCGGGGAAATTTACCGATAATGCACCGCGCGGTTACGCCGACGCCGCTCAAGCCGGAAACGGGCGCCTAAGAGCTGCGCTCTAAAAGAAAAAGACGTACCTTCCCCCTTTTTTGTCACCACTGGATGCTGGATCAAGTTCGCTTCTATTCTGGACCGTAAGTTACAAACACAGTTTTCAGCTGACGACTGTATGTGCCTCTGGAGCAGCGTTTTACTCTACTCTAGAGTAAAGTAAAACGCTGCACCACAGGCACATACAGCTTCGCACACCTTGCACTCCCAAAACACATCCACACGGTGCTGATTCTTCATCGGTATTAAAGCGTGCTAAGGCACAGAGACACAGCGCTTCGGCGTGCCAAGGAAGCTTTGAACATGCCGCGAGACCGGCGAAACTTGCTTTCGACGAGTTGTGCCGTTTTCCTGCGGCACTGCGCTTCTGTAAAAATTTCCATGTGTTCTCAACGGCAAGTCTTACGGCTTACACAGGGTTTTAAAGAACTTCTTCGGTGAATGACAATGAGAACGTGCCTTCAGCATGCTGCAGCAAGCCTCTGCAACGCTAGCAAAAACACGATTTCACTGCAAGATGGACGCTCAGTGGCTGCACTCGCGCTGCAGCGACTAAGTGGACTAAGCGTCTTCTGCTCGAAACGTCGAGAATAAAGCCTCTGCTGCTGCTCACAATTTTTTTCTATGTTCGAGTTTATTTTTCGTCAAATTCGGAGGATGTTTTTCAAAATTTATTTTTTGTCAAATTCGGAGGATGTTTTTCGGATTTTATTTTTTGCTGAAAATTAGGACTTTAGACGAGTTTACTTTTGTTAGTTTCCGAATTCTCCGAAATTCAGTCTAAATTTGCAGCGTTTTCTATTTAAAAAAAAAAACAGGTGTAATTGTGCGTTATATTCAAAAGAACCCGCTTGTATCGATTAATATTTGTTCAGTTGGATCCAAGGAGGATAGAAGGGTAGGAGAGGGCATGACGTCAGCCGCGTAGCCTCCACAAGCCATGCTTCCTTGACGCCTCGCCTCTTTCTCATTTTCCTCCTTACTCTCCTCACTTACCAGGCCAACGTGACCAGATCACGTGACCGTAGCTAGCCTTCGTCTAGCTATGGGGTACTAGAATACACCACAGTCTAGCCTTCGATCTAATAAAACCTACCGGACGGAGCGCGCGCAAGCCTGCAAGGAGTCCTCCTACAATCAACCATCCATCTCACATGTGACATGTCACGCGCACCAATAGCGAGAGATCTACGATCACGTTGGCCACAACATCGTTTAAACTTTTTACGGGAGTAAAAGTTTAAAAACGCCGTTGATGGCAATACCAATTTGTCCCACAACAAAAGTTGCAAACAAGTGTCACTTCCATAAACGTCAATATCATAAAATATATAAACTTCTGAAGGTAGTTGCTATATCTCGCAGCTGCACTGGGTGGAGTATGTGGTAAAGGGTGAAATAATAACTCCAACTGCCCACCCCCTCTTCGCCCTTCTATGAAATCTCTATGGGTCATAGCTTTCACCGTTACAAATATGCAACCCCTCCTTCCTCTAAAAAGCACAAATAGTATGGCCTAAACTGGAAGCCCCAAGAGTGGCTTTTGTTGTGACCCAGAAGTCCAATGACCTGTTGTTTCGAATGAATCTTGACGAGATAAGCGGTAGATTCCTTTTGTCAATGGCAAGAGATTTGAAAAAAGCTGGGGTGGCATTTTCTCACAATCATGGACCTTGTGCACTGACTAAATCTAATTGAAGAATACTGTCTTTTTCTTTTTTGCATTTGTGCATAAAAATTCTTAATTTATCGCAAAATACCGTATTGCCCAACGTTTTACTGGTGGGCGTTTCTCCGAGATTTTTGTATTTATCCCAAAACACGGAACCTATATCTAAATTAACTAGGAATACGCCTCCCGGTTCGAGTGGTTTGAGCGTTCGTGTTGACCACTTGATCGCACATTTGATCCCGTCAAGCAGCAGGGAGAGTTCCCGAAAAAAAAAAAAAACTGTGTTTTTCGACCGGGATACGTAGAAAGCTCAAATTTTGTGAGAATGTGAAGCTAGCGGTTGGAGACAATCGGCAATGCAGTTTGGCACAAGTTGCACCACCTAGTGGCTGCAAAAGAAAAACACTGGGTAGGCCAGGACGCCCCGGGTCGCGCGGGGTTCACTACGGTTGATTGAATGCTGTTTTATTGAAACATGTTTTAGAGAAAGGGCACATCTTATCGAAGCTTCGTTTACAGAAAGCAGAGCCAAAGTTTGAATCCCTTTTAGATAGTTTTAGTAAATGTGTCCGATGACTTCGATAACGGTACCCGATACTCTGTCGCCGCCTTAGCGCATGCACCGTATTGCTATTAAAGGTATAAAAAGACAAACTCAAGTGGCGTTTACGGGTGAGCCAGGTAGGTGAACATTCTATATTTAGCCACCAGTCTGCTGTGAACGAGAGTGCTGGGTGAGAATTAACACATGCCCCAGTGATATACACACAAAACAGGGGAGCTTACTAATGTAAGCTCCCCTGTTAACTGTCCCATGGAGCGAACCGGTGTTATCAGCTTTTGAAGCTGCGAAAAAGGGCACCTAAATTCGCCTGTTCCACGGAGCGAAGCCCGTAGTCTGTAGCAGCGAAACAAAAAATAAATTCCCATTTCCTGCAAAGCGTCATGTCAGATGCTTCATCACGGAAGCCACCGGGCCACTTAAAGTCAAAACAAACGCGCCTGAAAAAAAACAAAAAAAACACAAAGCAAAGCACAGCAACGCAGATGCATCGTCAAGGAAGCCGTGCAGCTGAGGGGGGCGCCGCGCCTGCGCAGTGGGGGAGCGTGATGTCACCGCCGGAGCGCAATGTGGAAAAGGAAGACGTATCACGCTGCTTGTAGGAATGTGCTGCGTGTACATTCGTACACGCAGCACATTCCTACAAGCAGCGTTCCCTTTTCGATGAACGGCATTTCTTTGAACTGAGGCTCTGCTTTCTCCAATGGAGCTTCGGTAGAACATGCCAGTTTTCTAAATTGTGTTTTGATGAAATGGTGTTTGATAACCGTATTGAACCCTCCAGAGGCATCCATTTTACCGAAGCTCATTTTAGCAAATGTCATTTAAGAAAATCCTTTTATAGAGAAACTCAGTTCAGAAAATAGCGATGAGCCTCCTTTTAAAGAATTTGGCCGCCGCGAAGCGGCCTGTACAGGTAGGCCAGGTGGCTTAACTTTTTTGTAATGAGCCGCCACAGGTACGTCGCTGCAAGGCGGCATGGATCAGGGCCGGGTGGGCGATACACGCACGAAATATAGGAGCCTTTTTTAAAACAGCCTGTTCTTTTCGATAAAAAGCATTTCTCTAAACTGAGGCCATGCTTTCTCTACACATAGCCTTGATAAAACGTGCCCATTCTTTAAAACATGTTTAGATGAAATGATGTTCGATCAACCGTAGTGAACCCGACATCCAGCAAGACCTTTTTTGCAGTTTTGGTGTACTGAAGTGTTCTGCACAACTGCGCGGGGACAAACCGACGGACATTGGCAAACACTATTCGGCAAGCCCAGCTCTTCGTCTTGCACGCGGTTCAGTCATCCAAAGCGCCAGGCGTAAATTGCGAGCTTTTTCCGAGCACATTAAAGTTCACACACACGAATGTTTAGACACTTTTTCTGAACGTATTTGAGGTCATGCCTACAAACTTTTACAGTATATTTATTCCAATTTCCACCCACGAATGTTTAAACTTTTTATGACTAAGGTTCACACCTTGGAATGTTTGCATAGAATAAATTGTTTCGAGGCAGTTGCAGTCTCATCTCCAGCGCTCCCCGAGTGGCGTACTTGCTTCTTATGTTTTCCTGGATCATATGTTTCATTTCCATGGTTTCTTAAAAAAATGTGTCAACCAGGTTTTACTGTATAATGTTACGTCATCCAGAATCTAAAAAAAAGAAAACAAAAGAAAGAGCTAAGGTTAGCTCTTTGAATTTTAATTCTTTTTAGGCATAATGTAGTAGGAAAAATGACGCCTGACCTCATTAGTCCAGCGATAATGTGAAATTTTTATTTGAAAAATCGTTGTGGGCGCTACAAGGAGAGAGATATTTCGGGTGCCTACATGTGTCTGTCAAAGACATCCTCTGTTGAACTGCGTGGGCGAGCACGTGATGCACTCAATGCGCGACTTATGCGGTAAAATGGCGCCATTTGCCAAGACTATATGCACTATATGCGCTCAAGCTGAGCCACACCAGACTGCGAAAATGGCCGAGACGTCACCACTCAAGCAAAAGCGCGTGTATGAACGCACTCTAAGAATTGTTAACCTTGTACATGTCTTCAAGCCAAAACCAAGAGGGCCAAGAGTGCCTGCAACATCACTCCCTCTGCTTTGCGCGTGCGTTTCCCCGATCACATCACCTGCGGTGCAGACTTGTGGGTTGCAGAGTCGGTACAGTACATAGGAATGGACGTCATGAGCGCTCTTTGAAAGGTTAGTTTTGGTTCAAAGCCGTGTACAACAATTACATGTCCTACCCAGTAGCACCCACGACGAATTTTTTTTAATAAAAATTGAACATTGTGGGCTAGACTAATGAGAATGAATGTCAATTCTCCAATTATGTAAGATCCCGAAGGCTGGAAATTTTAAAAGTTAATAAAAAAACTTTTTAGTTATTAACTAGCTAATTAACTAATCTTACCTCTTTTCTAGTGGCTCCCAAAGCACCCCAGCTTAGCCCCAGGGTTAAAACACTCAAACACAAGTTCCCTATATTTAAAATTCTGGTCCCATTAAGAAAACCAGCCTGCGTATAGATTAGACTCCAGATTGAACCAAACACTTATGAAATACAGTGACAATCGGTAAAAACAAATTCTTGAGAAACGCATTTGGCGGCTTGCCAAAGGGCTGTGCGCATAAACCGAGTATCCTTTATTCTTGTCGTCGAGGCTAGAGGAATGGCTCCAGATTAATTTCGAGGGCAGCGCACGGCAGCGCCAGGTCAAAGCCCGTGATGACGTCTGGATGGAGCACTCCTAGCCTGCCCACCACGCTGCCACGAGCCACCACCTCCGCACAGCGACCGGGGAAGAAGCTCTCGTCTGCAAAAACGGTGGAAAAACCGGGTTTTATAAACGTCGATGAACCAATCTTGCCAAGCGTCCGGTGCAGTCGCGACACCGCCGTAACTTTAGTTTCCAGAAAGCGGGCGTCGGTGCACCAGGAGGCTCATTCCGTACAGTGGTGGTGCACTGCAGAGAGGCAAAACTTGCAGAGCTTGCTTTCGCGGGTGTTGCTTCTCCGCAGTGCACTGGTGCTTGGCGAGAAGTGCACTCAACGGGGTTGAAGCAGGGCCCGCATGAAATGTGAAAACGGGCAGCAGGGGGTTAATTTCAATAGCAACTTGCGCAGACACTGTGACGCAGCGGCATGGCATAGGTCCCGTCATAGCGTCCGCGCAAGTTGCTATGAAAACTGCCGCGCAGGGCCCGTTTCTATCGCTACATTAGACAACTTCTTGGCCTGATGAACAAACTTAATTTTGTTTTGAGTTGGCATGTGCTGTCTAAACAGTCCACATTAGAGAAACATTTCAGAGTGATAAAGGAACTTATGTCATACATTTCACAGATGTTTGATGTGTGGAACACCTGTTTATGATCAGTAGGTCTACGTAGAGGAAATCATAAAATATCTGCTTTGTATGTGTAGCCATTCATCAATCATAATTTCATCTTGCATAACGTTTACATCAATTCCTGATAACTCCAACAAAATTTGTGGCTTCCTGGAGTTTGAATCAGTGAGAGTCTGCTGCAGTTCCCTATGTCATTGACAGGCACATATTCTTTTGCATAGGTGACCTTTATCCGGGCTCACCCTTCCACAGAAATACAAGTAGATTTTGTTTTGCAGCAACTGCCTCATTTCACCACCCATTCAAAAACCCCATACAATTTCTAAAAAATACCCAATTGGGTGTTTTCGAAAATCTTTAACATTGTTCTTGGGATCACTTTTGGAAGAGCCAGTATGATAAAAAACCCAATAATTTCTAACCAAGTTTCTACAAAAAAAAACTCAAATTTCGCGGGAGTGTGAATGTTACGTCGGGAGTTGCTTGTAAGTGAATTTCAAGGTACCTTTCATTAATTTGCTGACACATATTTTATGCGTCATGACTGAAGAAAGATCAATCACATACAATTGGAAAATAGCATTAAGAGAATGTCTTAGAAAAGATAAAGAGACGCTAATTGAATCAGCTGACAGAAGTAAGAAAGGCTTCGTTGCTTTCATTACTGTTTGCCACATGCTAACATTTCTAACGAGTGCTGGCTCCGAGAATAAAAAGTGACACTAAAAAAAACTGCCCCAAGAAGGGCACGAGTGGCCCTCTTGGGGAGAACAGGGCGGCCTCACAGTGACGCCCACCTTTGGCCTGCCTTATGTGGTACTGGTCGTCCCCGTGTCCAAACGAGACTTCGAGCAGTTGCATCACCCTGTCCAGGAGGCCGTGCACTGCCTCAAAGCCGGGAGTCTTGCCGTAGTGGATGGCACAGACGTGTCGCCGGTTGATGGCTCCCACTTCTGCAGATTGAGAGAAGGTGCCAAGGAAAAGCCACTTTCAGGAAAAAAGCACACATCCCTAAAACAGAGACTGCTCAAAGCAGCCTCCTCTGTAGGACGTGCGGTTATTCTTGGGCCACTTGCAGCTTTGTTTGTCCGGCACCAGCTGCTTCTTTTCTAACCATGGTCAATACAGAACTGTAACATACTGTAATGTTCGCTATGGCAATCGCCATCACAAGCCCAAGTCATACTCATGCAGTGCTCATGTCCGATCCACGAGTTGCGTTCAAATATTGTCGCCAAGGGCTAATCCCCGCAACTATCTCGACACTGCGATCCCTGCAACTATGTCATCAAGCTTTTAGAAGAGACTGTTAGAAAAAGCCTGCTTTCATCCTTGAAATCACGCCCTGAATAAGTATTTTTTGGGTCAGTGGCAATGCTTGCGAATTGCTGATCTCTGCCATGGGGGCTGGATGATGCATGGCTGCTCTCCGAGCCTGGCGCAGGTGAAGCCACCGGAGAAGTTCGATGCTTGTCCCGGAAGTCGGGCGTCTGCCGGGCTTCCTAGTGCATTCGGTCAATGTTTCGGTTCATGCTTTGTTCTGTCTTTGAGGGGGGTTGAATAGTCCCATTTTGAATTCAATCCCGATAATAAGGCATTTGAACGTGGGACATATGCCCACTTGGTCAATCAGAATCTAAAAATTTTTCAGATCCAATAGCTTCCCAGGAGACTCCTCGGGTCTGCATGCTCTGTTGCTAAGCCACAAATACGCTCTCTTGAGATGACAAAAAAAAAAAAAAAACTCCAGCGCCCTGAACCCTGTTTAAACCAGTGCTCAAAAGTGTTGAAATGTCTGTCAAGCGCTCACTTCCGGGACAAGCCCCTTTATTTTTGGTACATACCTTCGCACCTGTTTGCTCAATGCACCATTCGGCCCCCTACCGCAATATCCCGCGTCATTGCCCGTTCCCGAGCCAACGCCCACCCCCACCCCACTTTTTGTGCGAATATGGATTTCCAAAAAAACAAAGAGTGATCGCCCACCCCTACAAATACCCCAATGTGGACTCCGTGATCCGCAAACATTCAACCTACCGCGGACCCTAAAGTCGGAGGACATTCGTGACAAAGGAAAGCGAGGGAGGAAACCACACTTCTCTTTGTTTATGTATTTCCTCCGCGATTTCTGTGACCTTGAAGTCATAGTACATGCGTGCGAAAATAAAACAACAGCAATAACAGAATGGAACTTTGTTTCATTCTGTTGTCTCCACTCCAACAAATAAAGATTTGCTGGAATGCCGTCCACAGACATTTGTAGAGCGCCCCATTTTGAGCTCTGTGTTCGTAATGCCATCCATGCCATGCCGCCTCTTCGCCCGTTGATAGCACGCTGCACATGGACACACGCATGTATGCACCAAACAAGAAAGTGGCGCAGATTGAGAAGGTGCCCAACTTGGCCTGATGCTGAAGTATTTGCCAACGCGATCACCAGCTTTCCTGCTTCCCCAACATCGCTCCTCGTCGCTTCTTTCGTCTGCTCGCTCGTTGCACCTGGTTTGGTTTTTCTATTTCCGTGATGACATTTTTTTTTTTTTCTAACGAAGATAGTGGTGTTAAGAATGTGCTTTGTGGGAGCCGAGGGTGAAAGACGAGGCAGAGGACACATGACAAGCGGTCGGCGGAGAAGTGACGAGCTGGTGCGAGACAGTGCGTGCTGAGCGAGGCTGGAGCTGGGAAGGAACGACCAAGCTGGGCTACCTGGCCTGGCCCATGGCGAACATCCGGAGCGGTCCACCAGCAAGGTTTGGAGACGGATTGGTGGAAACGGCGAGCGCTGGACATATGGCCTAGGCCACAACGATCTAGGAGGGGTTCCGCAGCAAGACTCGGGCTGTGATAGCCTGGGACAGCCAGCCTACACAGTGCCAGCACGGGAAGGGCGATCCGCAGGCCTGGACACGGACTCCAACTGTGAGCTCTGATCGACGGGCGACAACAAGGGCCGACGGGCCTGGACTGCTGGCTCTTGACGACGGGCAACCGGAAGGTGCGGTAAACCCATTCGCTGTCTTCTCGTTGTGCTATGTCACTCCCTGGGTGACGGGCGGAACGCATACCGATCGGGCGGCGATTATTAGTAGAGCGACCTTTATAAAGAACCCCACAGCTTTCACAGAACAAACGTTTGCAGTGTATGCTAATCGGTTGTGTTCATAGCACGTGTGCAAGCAACAGACTTTGCGGTAGTAAAACATTCTTTCATGAGCATTTTTTTGTACAAAACAAGAAAACTAATTAGAGTTTTGAGTTTAATGATTCTCTTTTCCATCTGTGCTAGGCAAATAGAGAAAAATGGGCATTTTCTTTCAGCTCTTTCTATACTTTTTGCATTTGATAAAGCAATTTATGCAAAGGTGCAATGAGCTGGATAAGAATAATGATATTAATTCTCTGGAGAAGGGGAACAAGGGGGACGAAGGACAAACAGAAATCTACAAACAGCATTAATTGCATTACAGTCGTCGACCCATTTTTCAGACTTCGCAGGGACCAATAAAACGTCCGCGTAATAGAGCAGTCCGAAAAATCGGCAGATAAAAAAACTTGCCTTTATTATGTCTAAGCAGGCCTATAAAAGTCGTCAATAGCACCTTCCTTCAGGTTATGCCTCTGCCGGCGTTCAGCCACTTTCTATTAGCTTGAAAATCGCTGCCTTCTTTTCTAGCGGTATGGTCGGTAACTTTCCCAGCTTCTTAGCAACAGTTCGCGGTGGCGGAAGAACAGATGGGGACATGACGTCCAAGCCAGCATACTTCGAAAACACGGTTAATTCACCTAGACGAGATGAGATGTGCAAGTCCACGACTGCAGAATGGCACATTAACAAAGCAAAATGGTAACAATGATTATGATAATGACATAGCGCAGCGTCACCTAGCGGTAGGACTTAGCAGTACTCAAGTAGCACTGCTAAACCAAGCCAATCCACATGCAGCCAGCATAGAATCGAAAATGGCCGCTCCTCAGTGGTGTTTCCCGTTGATCGCAATGAGTTTGTCCAAAAAATCAAACTTTTGGAGCTGAAGCTGTCTGAAACATTGGTCGTGATTACGCACTAGGTATTTCTATCGGGTAGGTCATGGTTCCTCCTTTAGGTCCGAAATATTGAACAAGTCCGAATTATCCGCGTCCAAAAAATCAATTGGCGACTGTATCATCATCCCGTTTGTTCTATTGACGTCCAACTGCTGATTAGCTCAGTCAGTAGAGCGCTCCACTGGAAATGTCCTGGTTCGATACCAGGACCAGGAGGATTTTTTCAGTCGCAAACCAGTCATCTAGCTGTGTTTAGAGATTTGTGTTTATCCTTTGTCCCCCCTTGTTCCCCATCTCCAGGGAATCATTATCGCTATTATGTGCTTACCCACCGAGACATATCCCACCCAACTTTTCTTATGAATTTCAGGCAACAGGGTGGTCGACAACGACTCGGGATATTACGGTAGTAAAGATTAGTGGTATACACATTTGCAAGTATGGCCTCAAGCGAGCAAGATGGCGGCGCCCAGAGGCCGTACTTGCAAATGTGCATACTCGGGCCACACTAGTGTCACCATGCCTGCGTAAAGTGAGAAACATTCCAGCTCGAAAATGTTGAATGTGAGGATGCCGACGCCGTTCCACGTCTGCTCAACGTCCCAGGCAGACTGCCCGCACCTGAGTCTGTGTCCCTGAGCACGACATCCTGCACCTCGAACAGCTTGAGGGGTAGGGGCATGTTCTTGTTGGCGTGCACAGTTTTCAGCAGGCCCGGCAGCAGGGTCGTCCTCGCCACCTGCACATTTTTTTCAGGTTTCCTTATTCCCTTCAGCAGAAAACAAACTGTAAAAGGCTCCTAATGATTGGTCGGTCGATCTGTCCACAGAATACTGGGCACAGTTTGTGCACCAACCCAGTGGTGGGACAACCATTCAAGTTCCTACAGGCCATATGCAATATCACATTTGTTCACATGTGGAATATGTCGGCATTCTAATCGAGGCTTCTACTCAAAACCTGTGCAAAGATAACCAAAAATTGACATTTCTAGAGACTATTTTATTACTAAAGTCTGAAAATATATCTCCAACCAAAAAATGAAAGGAAACTAACAAGTTATTTTCCAATTTTTCCAATTTCCTAACTTCTCTTATTTAATTTTTTCTTTTCTCTTTCTTTCTTTTCTTTTCTTTTTTGAAGACGAAGAGGTTAGGAGCTGCTGCTGTGTCCGCGCGCCTTCAGTCACCCCTGAAGAAGAAACCGTGTTGGTTTTGAAACGTCGGGTTGCCTTTCATTTTTTGGTTGGAGATATATTTTCAGACTAACTCTCACCCAACCAGGCAGATATCTGTCGAATATGTTTACTTTCCAATATTTTATTACTCCAAACCTGCACAAAAGTAACCGAAAATTCATATTTCTAGAGACTATTTTATAATGACATAAGCGACAATTGGCAACAGTTATTGCATTCGGCTCCTCCAAGTACCAAAACACAACCCACTTTTCTTCTACTGAGCTCTCAGGGGAGTGTTCGCAGGTGAGACTTTGCTATCTTACCTTGACGGCACGATGGTAAGTTTGGGAGCGTTGTAATGTTTTATGAATGCCAATTAAACAGCACTGCAGTTCGTCCTAATGCAAAATGCACATTGTCTTCACTATTCGAGAGGGACACAATAACAATCGCTGACAAAACAAAGAATCTCAAACCCAACCCTAGCAAAGTAATGTAACGCGTCTAATACTGTGCGGGCGAAGGTCTATCTCTAGGCTTGGCTGCTATCAAGGCGTAAAAGAAGTCACAGCTGAAGGCTTTACGATAAACAGTAGCAAAGAGAAAGCGTTAACGATGCAATGCCATGCAGAACCTTTATGAAGCGTCTTTGATGTAAATAACCTTTGACTAAAAGAATGAACACAAAAAAAGCTGTCATTTCACAAACAAAAATTAATGGGCTCATACAATTTACCATATTTTCTCACGCATAACCCGCATCAAAATTTATGGTAAATATATGCAAATTTCGGCAGGCAGTGCGACATTACGGCAATGCAGTTAAAGTTGTAGGTATATATTCCTCAGAGACCCTCCTCTCCAGTCTCTCCTAGGGACTTTCTCCTCCCCACTGTTGGGAGAAGAAAGCCCCTATACTTTGTTTCACTTTATGGTGAACCAAAGAGGATGCAACAAGCCACTGAAGCCAACCCATGTTGTTTCAAAGTCAAGTAATCTTTGGAAGGGACGCAGTGATGTGCAAAGTGCGTTATCATGCGACACAATCACGGTGCTAGATTCGCTGTGTTGGCTGGTGGCGTCGGCTGTGGTCAATCGCAAGGCGAAACAAAGTATATAGAAAGTCCGGATTTGACGACAGCGTGGAGCAGCGATCGACGTCTCGGAGCCCACAAAAACAAGGTAAAGATGGCTACCCGAGAAAAGGAGGAGAAGGTGGAAACCCCACTTTCTCCTCCTTTTTCCTGTAGCCATCTTTGCTTTGCTTTTGTGGGCTCTGAGACGTCGATCACTGCTCTGCACTGTTGTCAACTTTGTTTCCAAAAGATTGAAAACTGAGTGGCAGATCAGAACTACGACTGCTACGAGAGTGGTGGGGCAATGAGAACCTGCAAACTGCAAGACACAACTGATAATCATTTCGCAATCCGGAGACTGGTGCACAGCCCGAGCTTGAAAAAGCGCTCACGAAATTCATGGAGGAGAGAACAGGTCGCAGTCACGCCGAATCTACATAGGTAGATCCGACGTTACCACTACTTTTCTAGACGAGATGGAGCGGAACTGCTGCATTAGCAGTTGCCTCGACGGTATGGATGACAACGCTATCTGCGACAATGAAGGACCAAGCGACGAGTGCATTCAAAATAGAGGTATTGTTTCTAACACGATTCGGACATTACTTTGAGTAACTAGTGCGGGTAATATGAGAGGAATTTTTTTGCTTTTTCTGGGAGTAGTAAGTTGGGGTGCGGGTTATGTACAGGGGGTAATATGTGCGAAAATACATACCTCTCCCTCTTGTACTCTGTGCACACTGCCATATTGAATTTACGAGTGCAGTCCATCTAGAAACACAACCGGAAGTACATTGCCCTGCACTTTTCTGCACCCCGCTATACTTTACTGCACAGGTGCAGGAAGAGGCAGGTAAATCGAGCGTAAACAAGAGGAGTACATACAGCCTGGGGTTTTCGAACATGTCACTACACTGTAACAACCCGTCACACTAATCGAACCGAATCCTAGCAAGGTCGGGCAGTGTTACGGCGAAAGGGAAGTATGGACGTTCAACAAAACCCACCTGGAACTCCAGAGTCTTGGGGTTGGAAATGTGAACCGCAATCTTGTCCCCCTCGGGCTTCAGAATTCTGTCCGAGATGTCCAGCTTGGAGCACTGTCATCCGAGAAAAGAAAAACCTTTTGTCACTATAAAACAAAGCAGGACGTAAGGTAAATATGTTACGCAACATAAGGCATTATGTGCTGTAAGGTGAACGTGTCGTATGACTCGCTCCTTTCAACACCCAACGTATTGACCTTGTGCCCTTGCGTCACCCCCCGACGTTCCAAATGGAGTCAAGTAAAGAAAGTTTTTGGCTAGGAACAGCCAAATAGATACCACAATTACCCGATTCTAACGCACACCCAGTTTTTGCACCCAAAAATCAGGATTCTAATGTGTCCACGTTTCTAACGCGCACCCGGTTCTCATGCTCAATGTCTGGGTTGTCACCGGCATTTGGTCGGCTCCAAGCTTCTTCACCTAGTCGACCAGGGCATCTTTGATGTCGGGGAAACGTCCTGTCCGTGGCCCGTTCAACCTCTTCCGGGTCAACTTGCTAGCAAAGATCTTGTCTCTCTGCTTTCGCCAGTCATGAGCACCAGTTTCGAATTTCACAACTCCTCGAGTTACGAAATTCAAGACAAGATATCAACCACCATTGTTGGCAACTCAAGCGTTAAGCAGAAAAGCTACGCTGCTGTCTTGCAATAGCGATGACAGTAGGACTGTCGGTAGCGTGATTTTGGCTTCTGTTTTGGTTTCATATCCAATTGTGACGTGCATGCCATTTCTAGCTGTATTTTTCTTTAAAAAATGTGAGCATTAGAATTGGCTAATTACGGTACCCATGTCTCAGAAACTGCAAGTGCTACCTGGTATAATGTCTCTCTACCCAACCAGACCTACTGCTATATTACCCAAGCATCAAGGAGAATGCAGGGATTGGTGTTCCACGCGCCACAAGTGCTGGCCTCAGCAGTAGTAATTTTTCTAAAGCAGATACCTAAAACAAATGGCATCTTGCACGTGCATTCGTCAACGCTTTATTTTGGTTATTTATTTCCAATCTTTTATACGGGGAAGGCGTGTGCTTGTGGAACACCAATCCCTGCATTCTCCTTGATGCATGGGTAATATAGCAAATGGTCTATTGCAAGTTACAGCATTTCTCGAACTCTTGACAAGCCCTATATAACACATTCCATCGTAAAAAATTAAAGGGGTCCTGCAATCATATTTAAGCGTCTACCTTTTTTTGCGGTTTCCATGTCCCTTGGTGTTCGGGCAAGCCAGCGGGCATGGAGAGAGTAACTAAATATCAGTGCGTCATATTTTAACCGGACGACGTGGCAACCTCCTCCACCGACGGGGGCGACCCGCGGTACCGAAAGCGCGCAAAATGTGACATCTTTGGTCCTGGGCTTACTACTGGTCAGAGCTTCTTCGTAGTCGAAATACAAAATATAAGTGGCGCGAACCGTTTCAATTATTTATAAAAGTAGTTTTGGTTCAGTATTTTAGATCAGAAAAGAAACAAATGCAGTTTATAAAGTACGGAAACAAGAAAAGACCCGTCGACAAACCCGCCACCAAGTGGCGGAAAAAACGGCGCATACTAGAAAGGGCTAGTGGGATGACGCTCTGACGAACAGCGAGCGTAGAAAGGTCCCGGATGTACGAGGCGGCGCTACGGTCGTATACCGGCTCGAGGATCCGACTGGTTCCGAGCATTCCAAAGGCTCTTGGCGCGGGCTTGGATGGCGATTTGGCCCTTTGGCGGTATGGCAGCGCGAAGTGGCTCCCATTCTGAACTGATCGTTACCCAGTGTTTGCTGTCGCTTGTGGCCAATGAAGTGTTATGCCGAATTAGTCTTTAATCGTGCAGCAAATGCAATGCGAGCCGCCCTGGCTGCCCGCTTCATACAGCCCATCCAACACGTGCTTTAGTGGCGCCCTCTCGAGCCGTCGACATGGAGTGCGGCAGCCGTGAGCGCTCGATGAGCTCACTACTCCTCCTCTAGTTCACGGCCACTCAAGCCAGGACCTACGACGTCATGAAGGAGGTTATTTTTTGCTTGTTTTTGTAATTCTAATTTGCCTATAACTTTTAAAATAAAGCGAAATTTGAGAAAAGTTTCTTTAAGTTACTACGTTCAGTGCGCTCACGTTCGGTGCAAATTAAAAACCAGTAAAAAAAGTCTTTGCAGGGCCTCTTTAAGCCGCTCCATGGATTCACAACCAAAATGTCCGATGTACAGAATTCATTAGCAATAACACGCAAATCTGGGCAGCGCGACGACTGAATGTCTGGTCACGTTAAGTCATGGACTTTGTCAAAACGTTATTAGATCTATAACACTGGGTGTCATGCCGTAGTGCAACGTGATGTCACGTCCCGCGATTCCACGGTTTTACACCGCGAGTCACGTGACACTGTGACACGAGGAGATGGCACCACATTGTGAAACTACGACGTCACGTGACCTAGTGCGGCGCGATGCGCGTCACACGGTCGTGCAACCTGTACTAACGTTTTGCTCAATTTAGCGAGAAGTTAGCCAGTTAGATTTAGCCAACGGCTGCATGGTGGGGCTATGGCTACAGTGACAACAACGCGACACAAATCTCAACTTTACTTCCGTTTAAATGCGTTCCTCAATAAAAAAAAAACAAGCGCCGTCTCGAGCGTCCTCTCAACCGGCGACCGTCGTCCGCCCCCTTACCAGAGCAAAGGTGAGTGCCTCGGTGAAGCCGGCCTGAGCCAGCTCCGAGCGCAGCTGTTCGGTGAGCTTGTTGAGGGGGAACTGCCTGGCCACGGTGGCCGTGGGCGGCAGGTGCCGGGGTATCTGGTCGTAGCCCACCGACACCGCCACGTCCTCCAGGAGGTCCGCCACGTGCAGCACGTCGTGGCGCGTAGGTGGGATCTCCACCCTCAGTGTGCCGCCACCACCCTCCTTGGCGCCCAGCCCCATTCGCGTCAGCAGGCGTGCCAGCTCGGACTCGCTCTTCCTGCAGAGGCGCCGGCAACCAACGATCATCTTTGGTTTGCCCGCTGGGCAGGGACGGATTAAGGAAGCAGAGAGGGGAGGGAAGGGGGGGGGACAGGAAAAATGACATACACTAACCTTTTTTAGGAAGAAATGTTTACTTTTTGGTAAAATGGCACATTAGGTCAACAACATAGATCTACACAATGCATTGTCCATGACGTCACATCTGCCCGTGGCGTCAGGTCTTTCCGCAGACCCCGAGGGGGGCGCTCAGCACCAGGACTCTGCCCCCCCCCCCCCCCCCCCCTTGCCCCAGCCCAACGCCCACTGCAGATCAATTATAGGCCTGAGAGAGCAGAGCCTAGAAGTAGAGCTCCGTGTTTTCGAATGTGAAAGTCATATTTGAGGGTTTTATTTGCCAAACTGATGAAGGACATTTGGCGTAAACCAGCGGAGGACTGAGAATTAATTTTGACCACCAGAGGCCCTGACCTATGTGGCGAACCAAGGGACCGGGACCACACCGCCTACTGTGATTGGTCGACGGTGTGGAGCTCGCCAATCGCAACAGGTGGCCGATGTCCTGGTCCCTTGGTCCCACTTGGTGCCTCCGTGTAGGTTAGGACCTCTGGGGACCTTTTGACGCACAACCACAGTATCGGTTATACGGCGCCTTCTCCGCCTTCTCTGGATTGTGCATTTTCAGGGGTTTCTGTTTGCTCAAAATTGAAAGTATTCCAGTGTCTCACAAAAAAAAAAATTGGCATTTACCAGGAATTAGGTAGAAGACAGTGCACGGGCATGGCATTTCCAAACTTCCAGAGATGACGCCTGTGACCCATATTTTTGTAAAAACGTCTCGATCTTGATAACAAGAAAACGATACAAGGGTGTGGTTTCCGAAGAAAGAGCACGTTTGCAGACTGCGAGCTGTGTTCTGGGCAATGACGAAATAGAACTGCAAACAAAATATTTCTTCCAGGAAAGCTTGCGTTTTTCTTATTCGAGGAAAGCTCTGAATCATATATTTCGGCTTTCCCAAATTTCGGTAAAAGCAGCTCGGAGGAAAAATTTGGGGTTTATCGGTACATTTGTATACCGAGGACACGGAATCTTAGTAATGGCTTGTCGACGGACGGTCGGACGGACGTCTCGCAATACCTCTAGCATATACGCGAATGAATGGCGTCATGTGTTTCTTCAGCACTTGTCTCGAAATACCAAAGAAGAGAATTTTGATATCACACCAAAATTCTCTCATCAAAACTTGACAAATCACCTGCTCCAAACAAGCTTCCTCAAGTTTTGAAAATACCTGGGTCCTGTGTTTTTGGAAACATCAAGCACTAAATATTTTGCAAATTCATATATATTTGAAAAACAGAAATCTTTAAAATTGTGAGAACATTTTTATTTATTTATTTATTTCAGGAATAGCGCCGGCCCACTCTTGTGGGCCAAGGCATAGTAGTTGCATGTACAGTTGCAGAGCAGGCATTTTTAAAATATACAATGCGATATAACACATTTTAAATTATACAAAAATATTGATCAATTCATGGAATCACCTAAAGTTCCAGTGAGACAATGATATGTAGCAAGACTTGTCACACTTTGAGGAAAGTCGTTCCAATCACGGACATTTCTAGGGAAAAAAAGAATGTCTAAAAATGGCTTTCTTACACTGAAACTTGTGAAGCAAATTTTTGTGCTTCAGCCTTGTGTCACGGCTGTCGTTACATTTCAGATAGCCGTTGAAATTTAACCGAATCTTATCACGTATTAGATTATACCAAAACTTCGAGCACTTGACTTTCCTTCGACATAACTGCGGTGATGGCGATGAGGCATACAAGGGTGACATAGACGTTTCCCTGTCGTATGCATTATAAATGAATCCAAGTGCCTCTTTCTAGATGCCTTCCAATTGATTGATGGGTGTCTGAGAATGCGGGTCCCATAAAATATTTGCATAATCCAATAGTGAACAAATCAAGGAAGTTTAAGCCATGGGCTTTGTTTCTGCAGTACAGTGACACATACTCTTTCGTAAACACCACAGTTTACGAGAAGCATTCGCTGTAATTTTCACAAAATGAGCAGACCAACTTAAATTTGACGTAATGATTACATTTCAATACTTATATGTAGTGACACACTATTTGTAAAGGAACAAAGTTTATAACATAGTAAAACAGACGTGAAGACCTCTTTAGTCTTAGTGTCATTTCAACACATTACTTTACATTTAATTTCATCTGCCGAATTTGGTACCAGGAAAATACCATGTGCAGACTATCATTTAGGCATTCCTGATCGGCAAACATGACTGGTATGTATTTAATGTTAGAGCGCAGCTCTTAGGCGCCCATTCTCGCCAGGGTCTCACAGCGTCGGTATAACCGCGCTAAATTTAGGAAAAAATTGACGTCATGTGACCTCAACCCCAATTCAATTTCCCACTAAATTTAGCGGGGAAAATGACGTCACTTGACTTGGTGTCACGTCACCTATGAACAAATTGAGTTTCTCTGCTAGCTTTAGTGGGAAAACTGACGTCACATGACCTCAACAGCAATTCGATTCTCTGCTATATTTAGCGGGAAAACTGACGTCCCGTGACCTCAACACATATTCAGTTTCCCCGCTAGATTTAGTGGGAAAATTGATGTCACGTGCAAAGGAGGAGAAAAGGAGGAAGAGGGGAGGAGGGGAGAGGAGGGGGTGCAAAGGCGGGGAGGACGAGGAGCAGAGGAGGAGGTTAGAGGAGGAGGGCCATACCCTCCCCTTTTCCTCCTCAAGAGCTGCGCTCTAATTTTGCGTTACAGAGATTTGTAAATGTCCAATTAATTTTGAAAGAAACTGTTGGACAACCAATTTAATTTGTACTTTTTCGACATAACTAGCGTTCGGAAGCATCAGAGAATAATGTCCTTTTCCCAGGACGAGCATTGCCGAAAAAGGAGGTCACGTCTTGCCTTCAGAATCCCTTGACTTGTAGAGGCTTTGCTCCCAGATATGTGCCATTCCTTTTGTCGACGTTCAATGACTTTTTACACTTCAACCAGGTGACAGTTGGATGTCTAGTGCAGTAGTTCTCAAATGGGGTCCGCAGACCCATTGGGGTCCGTGAAGGCATTCTAAGGGTTCGCAAGGACATGCCTCACCAGCGAAGCCCGGCAATAAAAGTTGTCTTTTTTCAGATTGAGAAGAAACCTTCAAGTTTCAGAGCGAGTTTTCTCGCGTGTATGTCAAAGAGAGAAGTCTGCTTCACACTAGCCCTTAGTTATATCCATTTATTAAATCATTATTATATTTAACCTATACCTTTCCTCTCCCCTCACCATGAACGGGGTCTCCGCCAATCCAAAGGGGTGTCCGCGAAACATCAGTGGCTGAGAACCACTGGTCCAGTGCATCCAGCACACTCGTTACTTCACAAGACATTCGGAATTATGTGCAGTTCCATGCGCTTTTAGTGCTCAAGCAATTGCACCCCACAGAAATGATGCGAAGGAATATCCGGATATTTAAAACGAGACTGGCAGTGACATTTCCACTGTCTGTACGCTTCGATGCATGCAAGTGAGTAGTGCCAGCGAAAAGATTGCCCTGCAGACTGCGGAGCACCAAACATTTTTCTGGCAAATCCAGTTCAAGGAACCTTGTGATGGAATCAGTCGGAGCATGTACTATTTATATTGAGTTGGGCCTCTTGGGTGTCTGCATTTGCACGGAAATGCCTCGTTGCAGAAAGCATGAAATCCTCTATTTTACGAAGAACTGTCGGCGCGGTTTCCGCTCGGCAGTTGTCGAGCGTTGGTGACAAAAATGCCCGTGTGACTGGGCGATGGCATTAGACACCGTTCAGATGCCCACGTAATGCCATTATGTAGAACACTATGAACACATTGACTACACGCCTGCCATTAGAAATTTCCCAAGTTGAACTGTGGGAGTCACTCACTCAATGCCAAGAAACTTGTTAGCCTGGCTGGCCTTGAGGTCCATTTCCCAATACTTTAGTTCCTGTAAAACGACACAAAGTGATCAGTCCACCATTAGTTCAACCTCGGTTAATTAGACTTCTCTTTTAATTTGATTGTGTTCAAAAGTCCCGGCGAGCGCCCATACATTTCTATGGGAGGAAAAGTTTGATAGTTTGAACTCGGGAAGACTCCGCATCGGATAATTTGTCTCGAGCGAAAGCGCGCGGTCTCACTTTGCACGGCACTACGGCAGAAAAACCACTAACGTACGGCGAAACACCGGCCCTTCGCTGCAAAACCAAACGTCTGCAAATATGCGTTTGCTCCTCTACGCCGCTGAGATGGACTGCAACGAATGACACGAGCCAGCGCAACCAATCTGGCGTGGAGTAGCGCGGAGCACAGCACATGGTCGGGCGCGGAGACAGCGTGCGCTATCAAAGTGCTTTCTGTAGCATCGCGTGCAATGCATCTCGCGCGCTGGAGAGTATGAGTTCTTTTTTCATTTTTTTTTTTTCTTTTGTTGTTATTTTTCTCTGACGCCGACGGTCTGGCCGCCCGGCACCAAAACTGGCTCATAGAGCTTTCTCTGCGTGCGCTCTCAGAGTGCTTTTCTGTAGCATTGTGTGCGGTCCATCTTGCGCACCGCCGGAAAGCGCAAGTTCTTTTTTTCTTTCTTTTTTTTTTGTTATTTTTCTCTGTCGCCGACGGTCTGGCTGCTTGGCGCCAAAATCAACTCGTAAAACTTTTTTTTTTTTTTTTTTTTTTTTTTGTGCGCGATTTTTTGGGGACGTGACGTTTAGTTACGTTGCTCTGTGGAGCATCCCTTTGGACACGCGTTTTAAGCGCAGACGGCAGCAGACCACTTGTGAGTACTTCGAACAATAAAAGGAAATTTAATTTTAATCGTTTTTCTGTCGTTTTTTTTTCTATCATTCGAATAATTCAATCAAATTTAGAGGTCCCGTCGAGGTCGAATGAACGGAAGTTTACTGCAGTAAATATTGTGTAAAAAAATGCTGATACAGGTAATGAAATAGGCACGTGTAAACTAAACATAATCAGAACAGCTCATTCCTAGCTACTAAAAAAAGAAAACAAAATGTAGCAGAAACCCGAATTTAGTAAATGATAACAAACATTTGCAGGGTGTAAAAAAAGGTGGAACTTTGCAAACATAGTACTAAGTGATAAGTGATTTATGAGCACGAAACAGGTGCGCACACGACAGCTTGCCAGGCAGGATCTTACACACTATCTGTAACCTGAAAGTTTTATTCGATGGGCTCCGCAGATTACTCTTTCTGACCGTGCTTTCAGACAAAACCAATAAAATCTAAAAAGAACTGCCACCTAAAATATTTCTAAATTTGCATTTATAGAAAAAAGAACTTTCAATATTCAAGGTCACACCATTACCTCAGGTAAGGTTAAGATTAAAGCAGCAATTTATGTTTTGCCAATGGAGATCGCTTGCAGTATTTTCTCGCTTTTTCATTGAGCAAAATAACTTTCGGTTAACGCTGTTTATGACTGGGGCAGCCACAAAGCAGGTGCGCAAACTCATCTCAGCAATGCTCGCTTAGGCGGCATCGTCCGTGACTGGAACGGCTATTGGAGGTTGCACCGATGGCGCTGGCAACATGCAAACTTCTTGCTCCTCACTTCCTGGCCAGTACAAGGGACGAATCAAACAAGCGGGGCCCGGATTCCCAGATGCCTCGACGGTGTAGCAGACCGTGACTCGCATGCCTCGCTGGAAGGCCCATCCGCATGAAGCAACCCCGTGAGCATGTACACCTAGCTTGCCGTAAAAGTTCTTTTAGATATCTCGATTTCATTAAGAAAAACTCCTGCAAAGCCTATTCTTTTTAGCTCAGATATTTTTTACCGAGGGTAAAATTGCAAGATGCAACAGCGAGATGCGAAAACGTTATGACTGAGAGAATGATAAACAAGTGTCACAGCCGGAGCAAAGCTCCCTCGCAGGCGGTGCCTCATTCTCATTGGCTGGTATGGACTGTGCAACCATAGCAAGAACCAACGGCGTTCTTGTAAAAAGTTGCGGTATGAGTCTAGATACTGAAACGATCATACCGAGATTTACTGACCCAAAACCATAATTTATGTATGACGATTTATAGAAGCAATACTGACTTCATTACATTGCAGCTAAATACACATGGGGGGGTATTTATGGAAAAGTTGCGAAAAAATCAATGGTACCTCGTTGAATTAATGACTTTGTTACATTGAATATTGAGGTTCAACTGTAGTGCTTCTAATCGTAAAAAATTGCTTCTGGCAAAAGGGAGTTGTAAATGTTACTGAAATACATTTCCAAAGAAACTTATTCGAGCATGCAGCCCTAAGAAAAAAAAAATTAGGCAGGCACTGTCTTCAGCTTACGGTTAACTGCTTTAAAAAGGGGTGGATGATTAGGGTATTTTCAGCTGGCCTACATCACTGTCCGGGAAAGGAAGGAATGTTTGGCTAGGACAGCTACAAAGATGATCCATACTGTGGTTTGTGCCCGTTCAAAGGAGAATAGCCTACAAAGCCAAATCTATCTGTCAAAGCCGAAAGCAGGAGAAACCGGCAACGTACCGGATGCACAGAGGTAGTTCCGTCGGGCATCACCACTTGCACTTTCTCGGCGCTGCAACCACAAAGAAGGACATCAGGAGAAAAAAAAGTGAAAGCCGTTTACAAGTCCCTGTAACGCCGAATTGGAGTGCAGCTCTTGAGGAGGAGTAGGGAAGGGTACTGAGGGGGTTCACGTGACCTCGAGGGAGGGGGTCACGTGACCTCGGAGTGGTCACGTGATCTCGGGGGAGGGGGGTCACGTGACCTCGGGGGGTCACGTGACCTTGGGGGGATCACGTGACCTCGAGGGGGGGGGGGGGGGGGTCACGTAACCTTGGGGGTCACGTGACCCCCCCCCCCCCCCCCCCGGTTACGCCGACGCCGCTCAGGCTGGAAACGGGCCCCTAAGAGCTGCGCTCTAAAAAAGTGGCTCAGTGACACTGAAACTCCGCCTGCTAGAGTTGGGAAACCACTGCAGGGCATCCAACTACAGGCGGCCACGACTCACTGGTCTTGGTGTGTTTGAGCTAATAGTACTACTGCACAAACTCTCTATGGTCTTGTCACAAAAGACAATTGATGAGGTGACGAATGGCCAAACGGGAATTAAACGTTTAACGGGGCAAGCTTGCACCCAACACAAAATAGAAGAGGGCTAGTGTTGCAGGCGTCGACGGCAGCGTAACAGCAGGATTGAGCACTGGGTCGAGACTGACCCCGGCTCGCCACGTGGAGCTCCTTATGTACATGTGTGGGCTTCTGGAACAACCAGCGTAAAACGTTCAGCGCGTAGAACATTCAAACCTCAAACAAGCCACAGGGTTCTCGAATTTACCCGAACGTAACGTTTACAGAAATAACAAAGAGGTACTTCTGCTTCCAGGAATCGAACCTCGGCCCTTTGCGTGGGAGTCAAGTATAATAACCGTTTGGCCATGGACGTGCTTGCTCGGAGACGCGTGTGGTAGTACGATATCCTTTTATTCGGAAAAGACCTCCACCATCCAGTATCTTCACTATACAGTGTGGCACAGTCTCCGATTAATACGTTTTCCTGGCTGTTACGTTCACAAACGCCGGTCCCCGCTGAACACTCGCAGGAATGTGTGTATCAATTTTCTGTCCGTTGTGTTTCCTTTCCCGGTTGTTATGTCCAAAAACCGTTCGCGTAGTTCACGGTTATACCCACTTATGCAAGAACAGACCAGAAGTATGACCCAGGGAGGCAGAAAGGTGATAAAAAGGGGGCGGCAGAACAAAACGCAGAGGGTGGTCATAGGTGGCCAGCCCGACAAGGCACATCAGCCGCTGCCCCTATTTTTTGCCTTTTCGCCTCTCTGGGCCAGGCTCCTTGCCCAAACGGGCATGACCTCGGACTAGGCTTGGAAGGAATTGAGGCTTTTGCAACAGCCATTCAGTCTTTTTGTCTCTTTCTTCAGTACACATCCGTAATGATGATCTAATCCAAGACCAATAAGCATAAGAACTGCTCCAGTTCGAAAAAGATGACAAGAAAAAAACAAACAAAATGTTTAACAGATATAGATTTACCGCGTAATTGCGTGTATGGCTGCACTCATGTAAGTGTTGCACCCCCTCACGTTTAGACCAAAAAGATCTACAAAAAAGATAAAAAGTTATTTGTGTATTAGCTGCACCCCGTCTTCTGAGGTGCGCCAACCGCTTCTGCGACGTGACGCACGCGCCCATCCGTTTCTCTACACGTCTCCGCCATGCCCGCAGCAACTCTACTCCAGTCTTTCACCCCAATTCATAGCACGGGTAAGAAAGGTTATGAGCGTAAAGCTTCGGAAAGCTATCCTTCCAATGCTTCTCGTATCATCTTTGACCACCTTCGACCCATGCAACAATAGCCACCGTGAACTCGGGCCCTCGAGCTTCCGAACGCTGCCGTTAGGCTCTGTAAAAGTTTTGTTTCGCTAAGTTGGCTTATGCATTCTCTACAACCTGAGAGCAATGGGCAAGTACTCTTAAACTGTCGCTTGTGCTCGGGAGTGAGGCAGACGTACAAGGGGAAAATGGTGTCGACACAAAATGCGTACGGCCCCGGTTACAAGCGAGGCAAAATGTGAAGTCCAGAAGATGCGCTCGTTAGTAACCTGCAGCGATTCGACGTCGGCATCAAAACGGTCCTTGAGCTGATATCCTATTGGCGTTATACAGAATAAGTGGCTAGCACTAACCCCGAAAATGCACTTACTGGACGGCTCAAGAGAGCAGCTCCGGCAACTTCCGTCGCCAGTCAGACACGAGCACTGAGGATACTGCAGGTAGCGACGATCGAGACCAAGATGAAGGCATTGCAGCCCACTGTGTCTGACCTCAAGTATACTACCGCAGACAACATGAGGTGAAACCGTCCTTGGTGCTTTTTTGGCATTCCCGCCAATTTTCGAGAAAGCAGTGGTCCGAAGCAGGAACTGAATGCAAAGTTGAGGTCCCGTGCTTTGACAAATAGGAAGATATAAAGCTTGTGGAGACCGCGAACCCAGAAAAAGAGCGGAAAGGGTGTTTCAGTGCATGCTGTCCGAGGGGGGCACATCCATTCTTTGATGGTCATCCATAAGCATTCCATTTTTATCACAAAATGTGTAAAAAAAAAAATATTACCGCATCTTTACGTGGTGAATGATGTTGATTGGGGCGGAGCTCCGGTGATGCTGATGATACTGATTTTGTTCATAGGTAGTGCTGATGGTGCTGATTCGATTATATACGCATTTGACCGCAGCGTCCTCTCCGGTATAGATGTTGAGCGGCTACATGCAACGTTTCATCCATGACATCCCCAGCTCTTGAGTTACTGCCACATCTCAGAGCCCCCTACTTGTCCCGCAGTCGTGGCCGAGTGGTTAAGGCGGTGGACTAGAAATCCATTGGGGTTTCCCCGCACAGGTTTGAATCCTGTCGACTGCGCAAATATTTTTTTATTTTTTTAAAAAGACAGATGGGATGGCAATCGATGTGAGCACGGACGCCGGACGAACAAAACTAGACCCTAAGGAGCTTCGCCCCTAAAAAGTTTTTACGAGTGTTTATTTGGTACTTTGTTAAACGCGCATTTTCATAGAGGAAGTGTCCACTATTAGGCACCTAGACTGTAACTCAAGCAAAACTGGTTGTTCCCTTCGCCTTAGTAATGCTACGACCAGAGCCGCATATTGGGAGAGTTTGGCCAGTTTATAATCTCGCCGCCGTAACGCCCCCTTTCCGAGTGAGCCAATCAGCCCTTGGCACAGAGTGAGAGGCGCGAGCGAGAGGCGCGAGCGCATGCGCGTGAACTCCCGGCTACTCTCAGCCGTGCGGGGAGGGCTGCCGTTTTCATTTATTCGCCCGGTGGAATGCGTGGGGTCGACATCCATATTTCGCTTCTTTCTTTTTAATTTGCTGGCTCTGGCAAGAAAATGATACACAGTGTAGACCGCATATAAAGTATGTCGCGGGAGTCGCGAAAATCCGCACAATAAGCGGTACCGCATTATAACCAAAACATCAATTTTTCAGGCCAAAATACATGCCATGAGACATCTTACCTTTGTAAAAGAATTTATTTTATGTTAGATGAAGAATAAAGCTTAGTTTGAGGAAAGTCTTTATTTCACCAGACTAGTGCACTTCTCTCTCAAGTGTGTCACACATTTCGAAAGAAATGAGCGACTTTTGCCTGGTGCAGCCTTTTAACGGCGTCGCGGGTTGCGGACGGACGTTGCCAGCGTTCAGGATTGCTAACCCTAATCACTTTTCTCCGGCGATGAAAACGCGTGAAAATTTGCATCCTTTATACGGTACGCGCCAGTAATACTTTCAACTTGAGCACAGGCATGAAATGCTCCAAATAAAAAATCCGGGCAATGTTCGAAAACACAAATGCTTAGAAAGCACCACTGTAGTCGAAATAAATTCAAACACGACGACACGGGCGTTTCTGCCGTCTTGAGAGTGCCGCCACGACATCGCCGCACGAGTAGGTGGATCTTCCCTTCTAGTACGTGCTGGGTTATCATAGCGACACACAACGAAAATTTACAGTCAAGGATAGCGCTTTTACGCGGAACGATGGGCTTCCACCACGCCGTCGACGATCACAACCGACGCCATGTTTGCGGATCGAAGCAGCCGGCCCGCGACCGGCATGCAATGCGCGCAAACACTTCTCCTCGACCTGCGATTGGTCTGTCGTTGCGGTTGTCTCCAACCAGCGCCTCCCATAGAGGAGGCGCTGCTCCAATGCAGTGGAGGGACGCACGCACGTGAACGACACGTGCGTGCGTCCTTCCGTCGCTATGGCAACTGAAGCCTCTCTCTTCGCTTCTCCCCGCTTCTTCGGGCAACCTCCTTGCCCCGCGGGTGCCGCTTGATATCTAGTGTCGCACAGGGAAGCGTGCTCGCTGCGCTGGTCGGTCGGCGCGGTCGGCGGGCTGTTCCGGAAACCGCACTATAACTGGTATTTCCCTACGCGCGCCTGCATTTTAAGCGGTATGTAATTACATGGAGTTCTATGGGAGGCGAACCGGTGGTTTAAAAAAGCCGCGTTATACCCGGTCCTGCACTATAAGCGGTTACGTTGTAAGTGGTCTATACGGTATTGTTATTTTTCGGTGGGTTAAAAAGCTCTAACGAATTAAGTTTTCTCGACGTTTGACTGCAAACTTTCATTCGGTCAAAAAAAAAGTCGGTCCGTAGCAGACGACGCATAGCCTCAACAGTGCTCTGCGCCAAAAGCGTGTTGCGTCAAAAAGGCAGTCGTTTCCTCTTTGCTCCCTCCTTCCTCTCTTGCTCCTTCGGCACTCTCCACCCTTCCTTTACTTTTCTTCTTTTCAGCGCCTTTGTCGCCACGCCTACTGGCCAGACTCTCCCAATACACGGCTCTGGCTACGACTGGCTGCAGTACTCACACGAAAGGTGTCGCACAGTACTGGCTGAACATGGTGACAAGGGTGTCCAGAGCCACCTTGGACTTGTGTAGGTCTGTGGAGGTCACCTCGATGAAGACATTCTTGGTGTCAAGGGTGATCTTGGAGTGGTTTCCTGTCAAGCACACGGTACAACATCATTGACGTGGCCGAGGGACTAGCAAACTGGACATTGTGAACATTAACACTGCCAGAAGTAGGGCTGCTGTTGCCCCTGGAGGTCAAAAGTTGTAAAACCTACCAGGCTGCAGAAGGGACATAGAGAGCAGCGCAATAAGACAAGGGTAATAAATATTTTTTTATTAACTCGTTTATGAAAATATTTTTCTAAAATTTCTCAACTTGCCCAGGTTCTCCCTGATTACTTCGAATAAATTCCTCGATTACTAAAGAAGGGGTCAAACGCTTAGTTTTCTACTTTCACATTACCGACTTGGATTGGAAAATATACACCTAGAGTGTATCAGCTCAATTCCCCCCCATCACTCGCCGATCATTCCTGGAAGCCACTCTGGGCCTCCAGAATTAATCGATAACCAGCCACTTTGGTGGGAACCATCAAATTGAAACTGGAGGAGGGGATGAGTTACAAACTTATCCAAAAGTAAAAACGAAGTGGGCAAAGAAAAACTCAGCACAAGCTGCAAAAGTATGGTTACGGGGTGGTACTAATTTTTCCTAGCAAGCATGGTAAGAGGGCAGAGCGGAGTCTGATATCGTCAAATTCCCTACACCTGTTCCATGATTGTAAAATGAAGGTTGAATTGGCGTCAGCCACGAAAACGTCGGAAATCATAAAACTCTCCCAATTTGCTCACCGCTATAACACTCGTTTATTTTTCACTGTGAGGGGCTTGAGTCAAAATGATGATCCCTCGGTTCTGCAGTGTGAGCTTTTGTTCTATGCTTCCAGGACAGACGCAAACTTTGGATGAAGGGCAAACAATAGTGCAAGGAAGGGACATCTCGTGAAAAGAAAGAGAAGGTATCGCGGTAACAGAATTGAATTTCTCTTCTCTGCAAACACAACAAACTGCCTTTACGGCTGTCCGAATGAGCAGAGCATGCCCGGTCATCCTCTCGCTCAAACCGTTGACGGCTTGAGAATGCGGTGTGACGGTGGTTGATGCCGAGCCGTGCTCACCGTTGATGATGGGTGGCAGAGAGAGCACGGTGTCATTTTTGTCCAGGATGACGGGGTAGACCGGCTTGTCCCTCAAGATGTGCAGGTAGTGCCGTAAGTGGCTGTCCTTCTGCGAGGGTTCACGATGACCATTGAGAGTTTAATGACGCAAAAGCGAGGGCCGCAAAGAAAAAGTGACGGCGAGCACTCGCTACGAACAACTTTTACACGCAGAATCGTTGATGCAAACGAGTCAATCGATTTAGCGTACCCACTATAGTTCAGAGTACTATACGAAGGAGTGCGAGAGAAGGAAGTGTAAGTGAGTCACACGAGAGGCCAATAAAAGGTTCTTCGGTCTTTGTTTTGGTATGAGCTGCGAGTACACGACATTGCCGTTGCGCCCAATAACTTGGCGTGAACCACCGTCGAAAAGGTTCTCCGTTTTTCATTTCGGTCTGAACGAGCCTTGACGAGAACTCGGTCATTGTACCATCTGTTAAACACTTGAAGTGTTTATATACCGTAGTCGCAGCAGATTTAGTGTGCCAGGGTTTACATATCCATTGGCATGCCCGGTGCCAAGACGTTCATTACGACTGCGACGTGTGTACCGGTCGGCCACTGTTTGGTACAGGTAGTATTTAGACTCTTTTTATTACTATTCTTACTGCACCAATGACATCATTCAGATAAGTGCACATACGACATCATTCCTATAAAAAAAACATTTATCTGTTTTGAAAATAACATAAGGCACAGGTTCTCGCACTGGGCTCCTAGGAACCCAGGGGTTCCCCAGAGTACCCTCGGCGGTTCCCCAAGGTCCCGAATTTCCTTGACCGTCTCTTGCCTAACTAAACGTTTTTCCAGCCCTATCTTAGGAGGCCCGAGCCATCTAATGATGCCCACTAACCCAACACTCCTTAAGGTGTGCATTATTGCTTCTGCACTGTTTTAATGGGTGAATGCCGAGACTGACGGGGGTTCGCTGGCTGCAATTCGAGGCAAAATTAAGTTCCTCGAGATTAAAGAGTTTGAAAAAAACCCCAATCTTAGGTTTAAAACACGCTGAACTTCATATAGCTTTTGGGTCGTACAAAAAAAACTAAAAAGGCCAGTTAAGCGCACAACAGTTTGGAGCACGTGGAGCAAAAGCTCACACTGCATTTCATGAGTAAAATAAAAATTGTTACTGTATCTTGGTGGCGTTGCAAGAACAAGATGCTTGGGTTTTTGTGTTGTGGCGGGGGAACGCTGTTCTAAAACTCTTTCCTAGTGTGCGCTAACGCAAGCACTGAATTGAACGCTAGAGTGTGCTAAAATAATGTATGTTATTCTAAACCTTACTATTAAGGATTAACTTTGCTACTTCAAAGCAGAAAATAAATTTGCTCGTCGAAATGCTAGAAAAGAATTAAAAAAGCAATCGGCTGGAACTTACTAAAATCCTCGGGATTTTCACTTACTGTACAATTGTGCTGCCTAGAGAGCAATTATACCTTAGTAAAATAATGTTCTCTGCTACCTTAACCCTTTCCTGATAACATTTGCTTTTTTTCTCCAAAAGATATGGCCCAGTGAATGGGATTCATTTACAAAGGAATAATACAAAGAAAAAGTAAATACAAAGGTGTTTTTTTCTTAATTCTCTAACGGGATCACATACAGTGCTTGGGAGCCGTTCAGGTTGAGAAGCTCGAATGGAAATATTGAGGGACAAGGGTTGTTGCCTTTCTTCCATTCGGTGTCATTTTGGAGTGTCCGCTTCACCAATGTTCCGGCAGTCTCAAACTCCGAACCACAGGTATTTTACGGAGCTCCTCCGTCGGACGATGAGCTCTCACGCTCCGGCCTTAATTTCGAGAAGTGTTGGAAAAGTCTGGATCAGAAGAGCTGGTATTCCGACTGCCACTACAGCCAGAGCAGCCGGCAGATGAAGCGACAATCTCGTGAGTACCAAGCTCAGGGTGTCTAATTTAAAAACCACAATTAACCGCAACAAGGCAAAACATGGTGGCACTAGATAAGTTACCGCCGTATCCTATGCATGACAATGACCATCAAAAGGTTAAATAATGATTTAAAAAAAAATTATTATTTGGGTAAGACTAGCACATTTTTAATGGCCTCCATTCACACCATACTACGCTTTTGTGTAAGGATCAGGTAAGATCTAGCCGCATCGTCGGGCGGTTGGGCATGAACTGGCACGGCGACCTTTCAAACGATGCCATGCGAAGGTGTTCACACTTCCGAAGAAATCGTATGGCTCCCTTCCTATCGAAAACCAGGTAACAAAAGACTCACGGCGTAGAGCTCCATGAGTTCTTTGGCTGTCCGTTCCACAGTGTCGTTCAGGGGCACGAAGCGAATGTCCTCGGGCGCTCTGGCGTCGTACCGGAAAGGGCCTTCTATGGTGTCCAGGTCGTGGGTTCCGATGGACACCAGGGAGCGCTTCCTGCGCCGAAGACAACCAGCACGACATCGAACCAACTCAATTTTAACGGGCTCGGTTTAGGTCTTTCAAGAATGGTTTCAAGGCTGGTTCACACGTCTGCATTGGAGTGCGCTCGAGTGCCTTGCCTGGCTACAATGAGAGGGCATACCAGCCCAATGGTGCCACCTAACTGATATTATTGGAAGCACTCTCTATCTGTATATGAATTCACTGAAGGCATCGCAGTGTTTGCGAGATAAAATCTATGCACCATCTACAAAAAAACAGTCGCTTATAACGTTGTCAGAATTATGTCAAGCACCACGACAAAAGAATGATTTGTAAGAAATTATAAAGATGATATGTAGGCAGCTGGGAAGCATTTCGAGGCTTCCTGATAGGTGGCGCAAGCCTGTTCTCTCATCATAAGTCGTTACGAGGGAACTAGACACGCTCGAGCACACTGAAACGCAAAAAAGCAAACCGGCCTTAGGGGAAATGAGCTCAAACCTCACTGCTGGCACAGCAAAAGCTCCTGCCTGAGAAAACAAATCAATCGGACCCGTCGCAAACTTCCAGTGGTTCGAGGGCGATAGGGCTTCGAATTTTGCGGAAGAATTTTTTATTGCTATGAAAGTTGTAAACCTCTCAGTCACTCAAGTTTGATGGGTCTGAATGCAGCATGCTTTTCGAGAATTTAAGCTAGAATGCGGGAAAACATTTGGAGAGCCAAGTTCTACGAGGTCGCACATTACAAAACATTTTTGAGTGACAGGTTTGAGGGGGTGTAGAATTTTGAAACACAAACCGAGCCTCCTCAAACGTCTTTCGATGAATACTCCGGAACGGTTGTGTGCTGGAGTTTCCCTTGCAAGTCCTGAGAAATCTCTCAACTTCTAAAGTTTCGTAGAAGGTAATGTGCCGTTAGTAAAACTTGTCACCTCGGTAGATACAAAAATTGGAAGTTTACCAAAATTGCCCACTAACGAATTCAAGGTATGAAGGGCGTGTAATTTCGAGCGACACTAAGCCTTTCGAGCTATGGCTATGCAGTCCTGTCGTCGAACACCCCGGTTTGGAACCACCACGCTAGTAGCTTTGATGACAACATCTCAATTCCAAAAAGAAAAAAAAAAAGAAAAAGAAAAAAAGAAATGGTGATCTTCTGTTTATGTTAGCAGAGCCGCGCAATGTACTTCAGGTTTGCTTCGGTACATTAATTTCTTTACTATATCAGTCTTGACAAAAAAAAAAGGCTCTATTGGAGTAAGTAGTTACTGCAGGCAGCACGCAGGTGCAAAAATAAAAAGGCGAAGCTAACCCGGAAAGCGGCGACGAAGTGTAAATTGCACTGTCAGCGCAAACACAATGAGGTGCCTTTTTCTCATTTCACTTAAAAGGGCCCGAAACTAGCACTTTCCAACACAATAGTTTCAATGATGGCCTTTTGATTCGAGAAACAAACAGGAAAACTCAACGACTGCTTGTTCGTGCCAACAGTGTCGTGCGGCTTACACAAAAATGTGTCCCACCTTCCGATGTTCTGGTGCAGCTTGTCCTGCAGATCGATGAAGCTGTTGTAGCTGTCCTTGGTGAAGCGCAGGTTGCGCAAGATGGCCGCCACCACGAAGGGACGCACTCGCGCCGTGTCTGGAAGCACCGTGATCGTCTGCAAGGCGTCGGGAGTGGTCGCCAGGTAGCGTGGCGAGGAAATCCTGGTGGCCAAATCGGGACCGTTTAAAGCTTAGCCTCGAATAAAAAATACTTGCAGGCATGGACATTTCCAGAAACACGATGGAGGTGCAACAGTGCTTGACGGGGTTTTCAACAAGCAACATTTTCTGTCGGAATGATATGCAATGCGACATAAGGCAAAGGAATTGTGAATGTATAAACGACTTCTTCATCCATGCACCCCTTCTTTGGAGGAGGAGGAGGAGGGGGGGGGCATTGCATCGCAGCAACATACATGTATGATTCCCCCACAAGGCTGTTGTTTTAAAACAATTTAGAAATGTCACTCTACCACAAAATACCGAGCCACGTGCCCGCGTCAAATAAAGCACCCATCCACCAATTTGAAAAAAAAAAAAAAAGTTTGAAAACTGAGCAAAGGACATATTAGGTGCCCAACCCACACTTCCAAGTGCACCAGGCTATCGGAGATGCTCCCCCTTGTCGGCTGCTTCTCCAAGCATGTCTGTGCAAAGCAGTGAAGCCCAGTCTACCGTGTGTCCCTCCTATATTTTTCCTCTTGGACCTAACTAGCGCCCGTTCCTCAATTTTTCGAGGTTATATCCCAATTTCGGGTGGCGTTCACTCAGTAGTTTACTATCAAGGAGTCTTAACTCTTCTTTTTGGTAAGGAACCTTCTTTTTGAGACGTTCTCCTTCTCTTCCTTGTCATCGTCTGTCATCACCTCAGTCTCGGGTTTTTCACTAAAATGTTTAATATACACCAGCTAACTTGCGCCCTTACGTTCTGCTCATTAAACCTTCTGTTATAGCATGTGTTAAAATAAAAATATTATGCTTATCCAGCAACATTTAAGGGTCATTTTGCAATGATAATGATAATCCCCAGAGAAGGGGAACAAAGGCAACAAAGGACAAACATAAATATCCAAACACGGCTAGGTAACTGGAGCGTGCTAAAAAAATGTGCCTGGTCCTGGTACAGTCGACTATCATTAATTCAAACTCTTCACTCAAACTTGCCGATAATTCAAACTAACATGCAGGTCCTATCCTATGCGCTTCTATGGGAGGAGACTACCAATAATTCAAACTTCGCTTTATTCAAACAAATTTTCAGTCCCACTCGGGTTTGAATTAACAAGATTCGACTGTATTGAACCAGGGACTTCTCTTTGTTTAGCTTGCTTGCACCTTTGCATAAACTGCATTATCATCATTCTGCAGTCGCTTTGGAACTTCCTATAGGAGTAATGAGATGCAAAATTTTACTACTTTTTGAGGCAATTATTTGAATTAAATCCCTAACAATTATGTATTTAATTCAAACCAGTTCATTCTGTTGGACCAAAGCAAGAGGAGCTAAGGAAGTCTCACACAAGAACAACTTCAGCAAATAAGCCGCAAATGCTCGTTGAAATATACAGGCATAATAACATGACTGCCACAGAGTACCGAAGAAGCGTCCATCCAAGAATCAGGCAAGAATAGAGTGAAATAAAATCATAAATGCACACTCAGAAAGTTAACAAAGCAAACTACTAATAAAAAACAATTTTAACTGAGAGAAACTTTAAATAAACTCTCCAGAAATAGCGAGTGCACCAAGCATATAAAAATAAAGTTGCGTAACAGCAATCAGCATTCTCAGATGTTGCGCAACACATTTCAAGGGGGTTTGTTTGTTTTTTTCTTTTACGGTAGGCGCGGTAACTAGCGAGGCATTCTATAGAATCAATATTTCGAGATATGTGACACCAAATTACAATAAAGAAGAATTTCAAGTCCAGTGAAAAACAAGATGTGCACATGTATCAAGAAATAAAGAAATCCCAGTGGTACCTGGTATATGTCACTCTACAATTTCATGCCTCACGAAACCAGGTTTGCCACGCTGAAAGTGCATTATGGTCACCACTGCCCTTCCAGGCATTTCAAATGCCCACATAGGGTCGCAGCTCACGCAATGCCAGTGCACTGTTGAAGCGAGCAAGCTCAAGATTAGAGCCAGAGCGCCTCAGGAACCTCGCAACTGTTTTAAAACTACCATTACAGTCCAAACCAAGAGCAAAAACTATAGAAAAAAAATCTAACCAGAAAGAAACATATTGTGAAAAGCAGTTCGAAATCACACTCATACGTGGCTGTTACCTCAAAAGAACTGAAGGTGACCAATATAGTGGCAAAAACAACTAAACAGAATCACATTGCAACCATATTTTAGATGTTGTTGCCTAAATGTGCTGCCACAGCTTTCTTAAAATTTGTAGGAAGTCCCAAGGTACACCATACGAACAGCTAAACTAAAAACCTTAGGCGTAAACCCGAGGAGGAAAGGGACTTGACGTTCAGTTGAACTCGACGCAGATGGATATAAAAGACAAATGTCACATGTGTTCTCATCCTTCCACTCTGTGATCATGGCACCACCAGTACAGGTGGATCATTCTCTTCCTGGTAAATTTGTTGAGGAAGAAGTCACCTGTTTGCAATACTTGTTATATCCATCAAGTAACAAACACATAAAGTAAGCATACCTGGGTATGCCCTTAAAATAGCCATGGTGAATAGGGCACACCAGGGTCGCTAAACTCGTCAACAAAAATATTCTTTGTATTATGACATAGTGGGGGGAGGAGCCGAAAGATTGCTGCGAAGTTTTCTTTTCTCACAAACCCGCAGATCCGTCCGTCTTCGTGACGTTTTTCGTTGAGGGGACGAAAAATCCCTACGCCTCCCTAGGCACCGAACAAGAGCAGCACTAGAGAGCGCGCGGAGACGACCGTGGCTCATACGTGTGACGTCACAACAAAGATTATCAGCTGCGACCGTCATGTTTGATGGTCTCTAAAAAGCACAATGGATGCTTGGGGAATTGCATCCTAAGATCAACACCGCCGAAGTTGATAGTCTGGTATCGTTCTTATTTCCGCCGATAAAGCAGAATTTACTAAAAAGCGTTCCTGTCGTTTTTTTTATTTATCTCGGCCTTCCGAATCTGGCCAAAATGTAGCCCGACGTGGCTAGGTCACAACCAGCCGACTACCGTTGTCCACTTTCGGGCGAATTTTGCCTCCGGGCAGTTGTCCCTTCATCGGCAGGATAAAATAATTTTAAGGTAGACATTCGGAGATCAGTCAGTTTGGCATTAAGTATGTTTATCAACGGAAATAAGGAAATAAAAGTAATGTCAGGTTGTCAATATTGGCGGTGATGCTTCAAGAACGCAAGGACACTAAACTTGACATCGTCGATTTGAACACGCACCATCAAATTTGTCGTTCACAACTGATAATCATGACTCCATCGTCAAAGGTATCAACTATAGAATGACGTCACTGAACGCCCTCGCACACTATATACGTGTCCTGGCACGAGTCTTTCACTTGAAAGTCTGTCATGGCCACTCTTGAGTTCAAGGAACGCGAGCCGTTTTAATTCCAGAATATCTTGAACCGTTATTTCGAAAATTGCAGGCTGTGCTGTTCCTCGTCATTGCTCAATGGAACACCTCTAAGCAGGGTCGTCGAAACAGGAGGATGGGGAGGGGGGATTTAGCCCCCTCCCCCAGTTGCGTCAAAAGAGGGGGCAAGGGGCATAAGGGTGGAGAGGGCGGGGAGGGGGGGGGGGGGGGGCGTATCGCCCCAGTCCCGAACCACCATAGCATTTCAGAGAGTTATAATAAAATATTAGGGGTAAGGAATATCCCCCTTCTTCACCACCCCCATCACCTCCTCTCTCTCTCTCTCCCGTACAATTTCTATGGCCCTTCTTGAGACTCCTATTCGTTTGTGCGTGTGTGTTTGTGTGTGTGTGTGTGTGTGTGTGTGTGTGTGTGCGCGCGTGCGTGTGTGTGCGTGTGTGTGTGTGTGTGTTTGTGTTGGTCGTACCTTAATTCTTTCTTTAGAGCGCAGCTCTTCGGTGCCCGTTTCCGGGTTTCGCGGTGTGGGCGTCGCCGTCGGCGTAACCGGCCCGCTAAATTTAGCGCGAAATTGACGTCGCATGACCTCAACACCAATTTAATTCCCAGCTACGTGACTTCAATGCCAATTCACTTCTCCGCTAGATTGTCATGTGATGTCCTTTTCCCTGCTAAATTTAGCGGAGAAACTGAATGGGAGAAGGGGGGGAGGAGAGGAAAAGGGGAGGAGGAGGGGCATACCCTCCTCTCCGTACCCTCCCTTATTCCTCCTCAAGAGTTGAGCTCTAATTTCTCATTTCAAAGATTTGTAAACGTCTTTTTTTTTTCCCTTCGGCATTTTTTTTTTTTTTGTTATCCCCCGTTTTCTTTCATCTCAGACATTACCGACGTTTTTACACAAACCGGCTGTGGGTGACCCCGGCGGCGTTGTTGACAGTGGCGGAAGATGATCTCTATAAAGCCGGCCGCGTACACCGCGCACGGCTCCACAACATCACAAAGTTCAATCTTCGCCTCGATTCCGAAGCGGAGATTTTGGCCTCAAATAACTCCTTCCCAAAGTTGTGAAACGTCACTTTGTCGTCACGAATAACTTCCACAAACGACGATCTTGCGACGAGAAAGTTCAGAGTATTTACCGGCCGCCTAGGTACAATCTACGCATCATTGACTCGAACGCGGCGTAGGGATGTAGGGACACTCGGGCGAGACGTCATCAGTGCAGCCGTTCAATCGGCTGGCACCACGGTGTTGCTCGCACGCGCTTTGATGGAGCTCGCTACGACTTTGTGTTTTACATTCTTGCTGGAATTTGAGCACCGAGAGAGCTTGGATGATTGACACCTCGCTCGGCTTGACGTCAGCGTCGCGAGAGTCCAATTAGCGCGTTCCGCAATTTTCGGACACAAAGTTGTGCTCGACGAGTTTAGCTACCCAGACGTACTACAAAAAGTTTTAGATGAATAATTAAAGAAAACAGTGACACTCACTTTCCCTTGAATATAAGCAGGGCTCTTGCAATTCCCTCCAGGCAGAGCAGGTCATACCTTTGAGAGAAAAAAAAAAGACATCATCAATTAAATGAGGATGAAGACAGACAGATGAATGTGGACACACAGTGACATGCGGCGGATTTCTTCCGTTTCTTCGACAACTCCATAGCCGCATGCTAGAGAAGCGACAGACAGGGTTCCTATTCACAAACAATGTTTCCGATAAGCGTGAAATTTCACAAAAATGGGCAGGAGCAGGGTTGAAAGCCTGCCTCTACGCCCCTACCTGTTTCGATCGGGATGAGCATCATACTGGCGTGCGACTGTGCAATGACCACTTCATGATAAACATGATTAAAGACCCCAGGTTAGCAGCCGTACTGCACTGGGTAGGTTTCTGGTCTGCAGAGGGGCCAGCGTCACCATACATTAAAGGCAGACCTATCTCCTATTGTGTGAACAGTTGTATAATCTGCTCTCACTTTGTCATTCACAAGCGGAAAAAGGGGGATCAACTGAAGAAAACCATCAGCTGGGATTGTTTGTGCAGGGGGCGGAAAGGAGGATAATTCTGGCAAAAGATAAGCATGCAAAGCACACAGAGGTTCGTAAGAAAGAAAGAAAAAATGGAAGATGTTTACAAATCTCTGTAATGCAAAACCAGAGTGCAGATCTTGAGGAGGAGGAGGGGAGGTTACGGTAGGGAGGGTGTGTCCCTCCTCTTCCTCCATACCCTCTCCTCCTGGGTGATGTGACACGAAGTCGTGACATCATTAGCCCCGCTAAATTTAGCAAAGAAACTGAATTGCTTTTGAGGTCACATGACGTCCATTTCCCCATTAAATTTAGCGGGGAAACTCAAAGGGCCCATGAAATGATTTTTGGGCTGGAATAAATCAATTTATATTGGGATTTTACAACTAGCACATCGTTCAGTGGGCCAAAAGAAAAAAGAAAGTCAAAATCTTGACTTTCGGTACGAAAATTTGAAAACACAGCGAACTATTTCGTACCTCCTTCCCTTCGTAAGCTCTCTGCCATTTCACTGTGATACATCCGCAGTCCCCAAAGCGCGTCACCGGGCCCAAACGAACGTCACACGAGCTCACTTATTTCCTTCACCTCCAAGCTGACATTGTGGTGGAAGCTACGTGCTTGCCAATCCAATCAGCCGCCCCCCTTTCATCACCTGACCTCATTCTCTGCGCGTCGGTATCCACGAGAGAGCGTGATCACGTGGCAAAAGTGTGGCTGGCCCAAGGAGCACGTAGCTTCCGCAGAACTGTCAGCTTCGGGGTGAACGGAGTGGGGAAAGCAACTTTTGTGTGAATTTTGAGCGACGGGCTAATCTTCTAAGGGGAGAATGGACGTGTCCGGATTACACAAACGAGAGTCCGAGCAAGAGGGGACTCCCACTTTCCGTCTTCTTGAACTGTAAGGTAGAATGCGCGATTTACGAGTTGAGGAAGAAAGCTAAACAGGAAAAAGTTGGAAAAGCGTTTCATGACTCCTTTAACCCGCTAAAGTTAGCGGGGAAATTTTTCCACTAAATTTAGCAGGAAATTTTCCGCTAAATTTAGCGGGAATATTTCCACAATAACTTTAGTGAAAAAATTTCCCCACTAAATTTAGCGGGGAAATTTTTCCGCTAAATTTAGCGGGAAATTTTCCCTGCCAACTTTAGCGGGACAATTTCCCGCTAAATTTCCCTGTCAACTTTAGCGGGGAAACGCCTCATAATGCAAGGCATCGGTTACGCCGACGCCGTTCAACCAGGGAACGGGCGCCTAAGAGCTGCGCTCTAAAGGAACGAAGGCACTTTTATTCGCAGCATCTAGCTGTGAACAGAGCTGATAAATGAGCATCCTAAAATTAATACATGGTTGCTTGGAGCTTTCAAATTCCTGCACAGCTGTACTATCATAGACCCAGCTGGCTATAACATCAAGAAATGCTGCGGCATCATCTGCTTCATGCCTAGCAGACGACCAAACGTAAAATGGAAGTCCAATCAATCTCCGAGAGGAATCACGTTTGATTCCTCTAGGAGGGCATGTGGGCCTGGGAACACAAAAAAGCCACCACTCTATGTTACAGCCAGCTGTGTCTGCGATAGTAAATGCACATATCCGCGTAGTTGAGAGATGGGCAGACAGAAATATCCACCCACAGTTTGCGGTATGCCGTGAGGATCGCAGAAATCTTATATTTGTGGAAATTTTAAAGAAGATAGCATTCCATAGAGATCTCAATATCATCATCATCATTGTCATCATCGTCATTATGTTTTAATTTCTGTGCCCATAAGCAACACTTTTCTGTAATGTGGCACAACATAAAATGTAAAATGTGCAGAAATAAGTGAAATGCTAGATAATAGAAACAATAAAACATAAAGAGTGTACTTTACCAACATGCTCAATATGAATATAAGTAAAATTCACTTTCACAAATATGTGTGCATATATAAAAAACAGATGCAAGCGAAGCAAAAATGCACTACTAAAAAAGGATAAGCATATCATTCAGCCACATCATAAAATTATTATAATTGCAAAAACATGTTGAAGTTTCTATCTCCAAAATCATTTACATATGACTGAATTCTGGTTATAGAATTTTGGTTATAGGGTAAAATGTAAAAGTACTCCTAATTAAACGAGCAGGTACATTAAAGTTCACTGTGCAGGAAAGCTCCAAGTCTATAACAATGTGAATTATTTTGTGCAGAAAGGTAACATCACATGACAGCCTTCTAAGTTCTAACGGACAGAACTTGATGACCTGGCCTGATCAGTAAGTGCCTATAACTATAAAAGTGTATTCGGCCAAATTATCTGTCATAAACTATACCAGAGGTTCTCAACCACTGATGTTTTGCGGACCCCTTGTGGATCGTCGGAGGTGATGGAAGACATTGTTCATGGTAAAGGGAAGGGAAAAGTAGGGGTTAATTATGATAATGATTTCATAAATTGGTAATAATAACAATGGCTAGTGTAAAGTAGATTTCCCTCATTGACATACACATGAAAAGCTCACCAAAAATTATAACGTTTTTCTCAAAGTAAAAAAAAGCAACTTTTATTGCAGGGCTTGACTGATCCGCGGATCCCCATTTGAGAACCACTGGACTATGCAAACAAAATGTTTCAGCGAATTCCATACTATGGAACAAAACTGTAGCCTGCATCTGGTGAGTGTTGAGAATAAATGAAGTATGCATGCTACATTAACAAGGCTTCGAGTTATGCGAGAGGTTAAACCACACATTCTAACTGCAGAACAGACAATATGAGTGACATGGCAGCCAAATGATAAAGAACTACCAGAAAAAGACTCCAAGATCACGAATCATTCACACACAAGCAATAGTCTTACTGTCAAGTGCATACTCGTTTTTTAAAAAATGACAAAACTTAACATCAAGATAAATTACAAAAAATATGCTGACCAACAATTTAGTACACACGAGGCATCGCCCTGCAGACCCGCTACAGTCATCGATTGAGCAAATTCTCAGAATTTTCTTAATGTCATCAGCAAATAGCAAGACATTTAATTTATTGCACATGTGTCAATGTCGTTGATAAAAATAAGAAGCAAAAAGAGGTCCCAAATTGGATCCCTGTAATAGTCCTGATGACGGGAAAAAGGGGTTTGAAAAGCTTTTTGAAACAGGCACAACACACTGATGGTCCGTGAGACAGCTAGCTATCAAACCACTTTAGGATAATCAGCAAAAGCCCATTCAGTGACAATTTCTGTAAAAGCAAACCATGATTCACCTTGTCGAATGCCCTTGATAGATCAAAATAAATAACATAACTGAATTTTCTAGAAAGCTGCAAAGATATGCCTCAATGAAACGACCCTTACAGGCCAACATACCAACCTCTGTTTTCAGCAGGGAAGATAATCCTCTTAGCACTCCCCTCTGCTAAGCTGCAAGGGGAGCCAAGTTGGGACAAGGTAAAAAGTGGAGAGGATATAGGAAAGGAGGAGGCGGGCAAAAGTGGAAAGCCCGAAGCGTACGTCGGCATTCAAAGAAGCCATGTTGATGGGAAATAATGCATTGTTTGAGATAAAAACACATACGTGCATGCATTAGAATCTGAAACACTTATGAAAAAGAACAAAGCAAAGGTACAGGACGATAGTTATTTACGGTAGAGACATTTCTTGCCTTAAGTTTAGGCACAACAATGGACTCTATCCACACTGATGGAAACATACCAGCAGACAAGGAATATTAAAAATATGCTCTAATATTGAAGCAAATACATCTTCACGGCCTTTAAAAAGAACATTTAGAATAGAATCAGAGCCAAATAATAATTTCGGCTTTAGCTTTTTTTATAGCGTTCATGTGCAGACAAGCAGCATCTGCTGCTAACGAGTGATCCTAGAAGAAAATTGCTTCAACATAGCTCCTTTTACGGGCAGTTGTTTTGTTTTATATGTCCAGGTAGAGTGTCAGTATTGTTTTGATATCTGGGGGAAGTGTCAGTTGGGCAGAATGTCGGCTTTCTGCGATGTACAAGTCATGTGTGTGATATGAGTGGCTCCACAATTCTCGTATGTGGTGCACCTGGTGCATACGAATGTCTTACCTATTGGCCGGAATGTCGATGCGGAAGATCACTTCCTCGGACGCTCCTTCCGATTTGTCTTCTCCCCTTTCTTTGGACAGCATCTGTTTCTCGCTCGTCTAGAATGAGGGAAAAATAAAATAAATAAAAGAAATTACAAATTGGTGTGGTTACTTGTGAGGAGCAAATAGGCCCTCGCTGTAACACATCAATCAATCAATTTCTCAAGATCTCATTTGTTGCAGCAGGCACTACGGAATGGTACTACATTTCATATCATGTCATGGAGCACTACATTGCGCAGCTTCTGCCGAGAAGGAAACTAAAGAGCAATGATTTGTTGCTGGATACTATACTGCCGCAAGTTGGAGCAGCCAAGCTGAAGCAGCTTAATGGCATGCAGTAAAGTGCACATAAATTTTCTGACATCCAAAAAAACCTTGTTTAGACTGAGTACAAGCTACTCATAATAGAGAGTTTTAAGATAGTGTATCCAATAGCTTTACGCACGCAAAGAACAGTTTGGTTGCCCCTGCACATATGCAAAAAACTAACCGCATTTTGTGCTCTGCGTGTGCTATTTTAGCATATGCTATTTTTTAGAAATTGCGTGCGTATGGAGGTCCACCAAGGAGGATTTGTGATGCGTGAGATTTTGGCTGAAGCCAAGACGAGCACAGTTTTAAAACGGTGGTCGTCGTGAGCGGCATCTTTGCGACTGCGATCTTCGATACAGGACTACATTTCACTCCTACTGGAGGTGCACATTACAAATGGTTTGGAAGACCCAGCTAAGGGGGCAACGATTGCCGGCAACTTGCTGTTTGCAATGCGCAAACATTTTTCGACAAAGGTACAGTGTGTGAAGGTCAGTACACGACATCTTCCTTGCCAAGGTGGTGCAAGTGGGCATAATCGGTTGAACACTCGCGTCGCATTCTCGTATTTAAACAAATCTACAAAATTACTATAAACCAGGTTTCTTTTTGTTTTTTTTCTAAAGGTACAGCATTTTGTTTGTGAAATAAAAATTGTTACTGTATCTTGGTGGCATTGCAAGCTCGAGATGCTTATGTTTTTGCGTCGCAATGCAGAGACACTATTCTAAAACACTCTTGTAATGCGTGCACTAACGCAAGCGCTACATTTAGTGCTAGCATGCACTAAAATTTCATTCATTATTCTAAAACTGCCTAATGTATTACAGGATATTCCACCGAAGCCTTAGAATAATTTGGGAAAAAGGTCCCTGAAGTGAAGAAATCATTTCTTCGGGATAACGGTGTCGTGTGGCTGTCAGACTTCTGTACAACACCATCAAGGATCCGCTGAACCCAAGTGCCTTAAGGTGGAACGGTAAAAAAGTGTTTCATGCACACGTTACATTCTGACGACAGTCCAGACTTTTGCACTGCCATTAAAAACACCCGAGAGCGCCAACTTCCTTGTAATTCTAAATTAGAAGCGCAGACTAAATCCCCAATTACAAAGCCCACAAACCTCTCTCATCCATCACTTAGTTCACACTTCCTTTCACCATCCACGAGGTAGTGACTTTCCCTCAGAGCAGAGGACCACACCTCTCAGGGTTCCCACTAGGGCATCTTAGTTGCCAACTAATACATATTGGCGAAAAGATCGAACTACAGGGGGTGGAATTACATTATATCATCACCACCACAAGCAATTGCTGTGTGGCAAACAACTCCGACGCCAGCACTTGCCTAGTGTATGTCGCATTGTTTCCGCGCTTGCTGTATATTTGCTTGTGGCAACATGATAAGCACTTGCTGTGCACCGCAGTGCTCAAACCGTGCTTCTGAGCTGGGCTATGCAGTGTAGACGACTGCAGCACGTGTACAACAATGCGGATACTGTCCGCCGTCGGCTCTGGTGCAACGCTGCACTCAATGACATAATCGCAGTTGAGCACATCCTCTCCTTCAACAAAATAATGCTTGCTTTCGCCGACGTCGTCCCCGAGTGTCGCAAGAAACGGACGGGGTAACTGAAAAGTGATGTGCGTGTTTTGCAAATCATTCAGGAAAATACGGGCACAGCGCCAGCCACGCACAATCCACGACGCGTGGCCGGCACAACGCGGCTGGCCCGGCACGCGCACGTGAGGGCGGATGCAGGTATTTCCAGAGAAAGGGGTCAGCGTATCATATGTTCAAGAACCCCCCTCCCCCCCATTTCCCAGATTTAAATTTTTTACACATACAGAATTCAAGACATCCGAACCACCCCTCTGGATCCATCACTACCACGCATGCGCTTGCTTTGCCTTCTGTGAGAACTTCGATGACATTGAATGCAAAAGGGGACTAGATTACTTTTATCTAGATGCATTTAAGAAAAAAGAAGTGTTATATATCTTTCACAAGCCTTGCGTCATTGCCTTCTATGGCAGCGAATGCATTAATGGCCGCGGTCGAAGGGTTTGTTTGCCACACTGTGTTAGTTCCCGAGGTGGCCGCTAGGGAGCGCCACTCCTTGATCTCCTGCCCAACAGTTGAAGTTGTATAGTACCGAGTTTCCACTCTAGCTGTGGCAGGAAACTAATACGTGTACAACTGGTCGTTCAAACAAAACATTGACATAGATATTGGTGCTCTGTACAAAATTTAAGAACTATTACTATTATTGGCCGTCCTATTACTACTATTATTAGGTAACCGGCATGTAACCACCGCAGTGATACGACATAAAATTCCAGCCACGTAGGGATCGGAGGAAGGCAAAGTTTGTTTCACTTACCACTTCGTCAAGCTCCAGGCCGTACTCGAAGCACAGATCCGCGAACTCCTCTTCCGCTGCGTCAGAATAACACTCGCAATGTAACCACACAATACCCGAAATACAAAGAAAAAAAAAAAGAAAAAAAAAAAAAGGTGAATGATGCAAGATTTTCACATCAGTCCCGAACTACGAAGGCACCGAGAAACTGAACGTCGTTCGCTCGGCGAGCGATACATTATGTTACTCTAACTACACCGTCATAGCTGGTGTCTTTTACGAACAATCAAACTTCTCAAGAAACTGCACAAAAAATTAAAAAAAGTAAAAAAAAAATGCTTCGATGGATTTGCTTGAAAGCCGTCACTGCAGGGACCGCAAACGCAGCAACATGACAGCATATGTCCAACTCACTGTATGTTCTTCCCAGCACATCGAAGAGTAAGGCGGCTTTAACTCCCACAGTAGGCATGATTAAATTAGGTGTAAGTAGGTGTCACGGTGTCTTTTCCAGCAACGGAATTCGGCGGGTCGTGGACACAGGAGGACCACGGAAGAGCAGACGTGAAAACGTGAAAGTAAATTGGATAGTGGATTGGATTTAGCATTTTTGTGGCTCCATATTTAGCCTGTTTAGGTAACTGAATAGAGAGGTACTCAAGAACGCGAGTCAATGAAAAGATGGATGGATGGATGGATGAATACGGCTGAGCCCTTTGGATCGGGCGGTAGCTTACGCCACCTAGCCATTTTGTTTTACCATTTAAGCTTAGAATATTTAAATGTGAAATCTATATTCACTCCGCAGTGCAAAGAAAGTGAGGCTATGAAACCCCCTTGCCATCAGTGGATAAGAAAATACCTAGTTTTCTCTCGATTTCTGCCACCATTCACTTAATCTTTGCTTGGTAATCTCTACAGTCTTGAAATCCACTCTCCCTTCGCTGTCTCTAAAACCCAATGACTTTATTAAATCTATGTTGTCTTCGGTAGGCATAGGGTGAAGCCCTTTACAGTAGAGTATCAAGTGCTCAGCCGTCTCGTCCTCCTCTCCACAAGCAGTGCACACTGTATCAATTTCCTGGTACTTCACTCTGTATGTTCTGGTTCGCAGAACACCCGTTCTTGCCTCAAACAGCAATGAGCTTCCCCTAGAATTGTCATAAATGCTTTCTTTGGCAATAACTCTTTTGTTTAATCTATAGCTTTCCAGAGCCGTCTTTGTCTGCATTCCCTCTAGCCACCAATCTCTTTCTGTGGCCTTAACTTTCTTCTTAAAGGGACACTGACACCCCCCAAAAATTTTTTTTAATTTTTTGCCAGGCGCTTCATTATGGTGTCGGAGGACTACCCAATCAATATTTTGCAACAGAGTAGCGTATTTTTTTAATAAAGCCAAAAGACGCAACTGCTCGAAATCGAAACCGAAACCCGACGGAGGTCGGAGAAGTGGAGAGAAGAGAGTGTGTGGCGGAAGTCACGTGGCTACACCCGACCGTATTTTCTTTTTTTTTGTTCTCCTTCCCGGTAGCAGACGACATGCGGCGTATGGGAACTGGTCGCCGTGGGATTCTTTTGCAGTTCTGTATGTTCCGCTCGTTGTTCTGTACTCCAAGATGAGTTGTTTTGTACATTGAGGAGTTGCAGATGAGTAGTGAGTGCCCGTGGTGGATTTTGATCGGCTCCGAAAAGAATACACCCAAGATGTTGCGTGAAGAGCTGGCTCACATGTCCTGCGTCCGAAACAGAAGTGGCATTGTGCGACAGAGTTTCCGAAAGATCAACGGGATCGGGACCAATGGCTGGCTGCAATTCCTGTAGACCATTTATGGGCACCTCGGAAAGCGGACGCTACCTGATTTATATGCTCCTTGCATTTTGTGGAAAGTGATTACATTGAGTTCGCAGGTGTCAAAAAGGAAATCTCATACCATTTAATTCAGCGACGTGTCGTCCACAACATTTGTTTCTTATATTGTTTTTTTGTTTCTTCAGTAATAATTGTAAAAAAAAATGTAGACATCAAAGAATATTTGAAAAAAAAAAAAAAAATTTGACGGGGGATCGAACCCGGTCCTACCGCGTGTGATGGGGACGTCTTCCCCACTGCGCTACTGGGGCACATTGAAACTGGAGTATCTCTTTCCTTAGTAATCAGCCGATAAACTGTAAGTGGGAAAGTTTGCTGCCGATTTTCCTCTAGCAAAAGCACTTCCGGGTCGAAGTCGGGATGCACCACGCATTGGCGACATTCTCACCTAGTAAAGAAATCGTACGCGTGCATATTCAAGTCGAAGTAGACACGTCGCGCTTGACGTTTGCGCGAGCGATGTCTTCAGCCACAAGAAGGGAGCGACGGCTCGGCGACGTCTTCGTGCAAATCGGCTTGGTGGTCGGGCGTGTCGTACGGGATGAATGCTAATTCTTTTGACCAGTCCCAAATTTCTCTTTTAAAGGCAGACAAAATTCGCCGGTACCGCGAACGACAGTTCTGAAATAGAGGTCCCACGCCCGTCGTCCGCTGCCATCGCCGTCCCTACGAGTCCCACGATACGCGAAACGACGCACGCACAGAATGCTTCCGGTTGTCTGTGGAACTTTTTTTTTCAATCAACGTATTTGCAGCTTTTTAGAAGCCACAAAAAATGGGTTTCATATTTTTTTCTATTTTTAATATTGAGTGTGTGCTTTCAGTGACCCACGACTTTGATTAAATTTGGTGGTCGCATCGATACCTTAGAAAACGGCCCGTGACCGGGAAAAAGAGAGTGAGCGAGACTCGAACCGGCCAGTTCTTGATCGGCGGTTTTCGGGCGGAAAGAAACCGAATTTCGAGCCGCAAATTCTGTTCTGGGTAGTTGAGCTCTCATATGTCACGTACAACTAAAAACCTCGGCGAGCATAAATACCCTGTCAGTGTCCCTTTAACTGAGACTTGCTCTTCGGTATCTTCGCTATAGCCCAAAAACTTTCCTCTTAATTTCCTAGTGCGCTGTCTCCACTTTGTGTCTACACTCTTCATGTATAAATAGCTGAAAACCTTTCGTGCCCATTGCTCCCCGTCCATTTGCCTCAACCTATCCTCAAATTCTACCTTGCTCACCGCTTCCCTGCTCTCAAATGATGCCCATCCCATGTCTCCTTGTACTCCCTGGTTTGGCGTTTTGCAATGTGCCCCCAAAGCCAGTCTACCTACTCCGCGCTGTTTTATTTCTAGTCTCGCATGCACTTCTGCTGCATGCGAGATAACTGATAACTTGCGCCATCTAGCGTGAAGCTCTCAGCCCGTGCATTTTTACTTGTTCGCTGCAGCGCAAGTGAAGCCACCGGACTTCACTCGCTTGGGAGCTTGGGATACGATTTGCCGTTTTTGCTAGCCTTTGCTGCGGTTTTCCAGCGTGCTGTAGACACGTTTTCTACTCGTTCGTCGTCATTCGCCGAAGAAGTTCTTTGAAGACTGTGTATTGTTGAGGCTTGCCGTTGTGAACACGTGGAAAATTTTACGAAAGTGCAGTGTCGCAGGAAAAAGGCACAAGACAACGCGTCGAAAGGAAGGGCTGGTGGCGTGTTCAAAGCTTCCTTGGCACGCCGAAGTGCCGTGTCTCTGTGCCTTCGCACGCTTGGATACCGACCAAGAACCGACGCCGTGTGTATGTGTTTAGCGAGTGCCTCGCTGAGCGCGACTGCGGCCGTTGGACGGCCATCTTGCATGCGAATTTTTTTCGTTTTGCTAGCATTGCAGAGGCTGGCGGCAGCGTTTACTTGATCGTCGTCATTCGCTGAAAGAGGAGTTTTTTTTTTTTTTTTTTTTTTTTTAAACTCTTTGTATCCGATGAGACTTCCGTTGAGAACACAAGGAAAATTTTTACGAAAGCGCAGTGCCGCAGGAAAAAAGCCCAATTCGTCGAAAGCAAGTTTCGCCGATCTCGCGGCGTGTTCAAAGCTTCCCTGGTACGCCGAAGCACTGTATCTCTGTGCCTTCGCACGCTTGGATACCGATCAAGAATAGACCCAGTGTGGATGTGTTTTGCGGGCGCAATGTGCGTGAAGCCGTATGTGCCTCTGAAGCAGCGTCTTACTTTAAGGCCCGTTCACACTCTTACGACCGAGTACGACTGAGAGAGACGAGATCTCTTACAACTTCTTAAATGTTTTTAGAATGAGGGAACACACTGACATTGTGGCGCCATCTATGCGATGACCCTGGAACTGCATTTCACAAGAGCGAAGGTTTTGCGGGATTTTCGAGGTCAAATGTGCGTAATACCCATAGAAAGGCTCGTTTATAACATTGTCAAAAGTTTTTCGAGCCAAGAAAGAACGGATAATGCTCGAGAAATAAAAAAAAATATGCCGGACCGCCGAGTTTACACTGCTTCCCAATAGATGGCGCCAGTGTGTTTTCTAGTTTAACAAGTTTTAAGGAACCCAGGTTTAAGAGGTCGCAAGCAGTCGCAAGAGTGTGAACGGGCCTTTACTTTGACGACTGTATTTGTAACTTGCGGCATTCGCGGTCCAGGAACGAGCTTGATCCAGCGTCCAGTAGCGACGGAAGAGGGGGGAAAGGTACGCCTTTTTTTCCTCGTATGACGATTTACAGGATACCGTGCACAACAGCTCCTCTAAGTGCACCGATCAGTGCTGGCTCACTATTAAGCTACTTAATAGCACCCGACGTTTGAGCGCAGCTCGGCTAATTGTGATTAGTCAACCCCAGGCGAAAATTTTCAACTGGGACCAATTGGTCCCAGTTGCAACTGGTTTATGGAGCAATTCCCAGTTGCAACTGGTCCCAGTTGGTGTTGGTCCCAGCTGGAATCGGTCGCAGTTACAACTGGTCCCAGTTGGAGTGTGTCCCAGTTACCGCTGGTACCAACTCCAGCAACAATGAAACACGGCACAAAATGGAAGGTTGACAAGACTTTTTTGTCAAAGACTTGGAGAATGAAACTAAATAATAGGTTCGGTGACGTACACGCTTCGGGTTTAGCCACTTGCTTGCGACGGTTGAATTGCTTTTTCAGAGGTAGTATTCGTGAGATGAAGGAAGATCGGCCGCTGGCGTTTGTTAGTGAAGACGTCCTCAGCTTCTCTCCCCATCGCGTGAAGGTGCTCACCCGTGATCCCGCGTTGCGCAGGTGAAGTCCTGATAGGATGCGGTAGCGCTCCTACCTTGCAATCTCTGTCACAACAGTCGAACATTTTCGAGGTAGACCTCCCGCCATTAGGTTGGTTAGGTCATTTTCATAACGACGCCAACTTGGGCTCTACCACTGATCTCTATGACAATTGCTGGATCGCGCTTCCCCGCTTGTTCGCTGCAGCGCAAGTGAAGCCACCGGACTTCACTCGCTTGGGATACGATTTGCCGTTTTTGCTAGCCTTTGCTGCGGTTTTCCAGCGTGCTGTAGACACGTTTTCTACTCGTTCGTCGTCATTCGCCGAAGAAGTTTTTTGAAGACTCTGTGTATTGTTGAGACTTGCCGTTGTGAACACGTGGAAAATTTTACGAAAGTGCAGTGTCGCAGGAAAAAGGCACAACGCGTCGAAAGGAAGGGCTGGCGGCGTGTTCAAAGCTTCCTTGGCACGCCGAAGTGCCGTGTCTCTGTGCCTTCGCACGCTTGGATACCGACCA